CACCGGGGGGTCCACCAACGGCAAATTGCCCTCCGAGAAGGGGGGAAGGGGGGCAATCGACTTTGCGGGGGGGGGGGGGGGGCGCCCCCCCCCCCCCTCCCCCCCTTGGATCCGCCACTGCCGCGAAGCCCTGTCTCATCAGTCAGGCCCGGCATGAAAGTTGTCTATTTTCAGATTGAGAAGAAGCATTCCAATTTTCGGGTGAGCTTTCTGTGTGTATGTCGATGAGAGAAGTATACTACAAACTAGCCCTTAGTTATATCCATTTATTAAATAAATATGGTAATTAACCTATATCTTTCCCTTCCCCTCGCCACGAACAGGATCCTCCATCATCTCCGTCGATCCACATAGGGTCCGCGAAACATCAGTGGTTGAGAACCACTGGACTAACGAATCTAATATGCTATATAATCTGTTTAATCCTTCACCTGAACTGCCGACAAAACGACGTGCAATATGATTAGTATTAGTTCTGACATATTTATTTATGTCGATTTTACCGCATGTTGCAAACATTTACATAATAGGCTCATTAATTATTAAAATTAATTGGGTCTCGTTTTTTTTATTTACGCTTCTTATGCAAAAAAAAAAAATATTTTTTCTATTTTTTATTTTTTTATTTTTTTGAGCCCTATTATATATACGGTTCGGAGTTTTCGGTTCAAACCGATAAAACTATGCCGATTCCATTTTCGGAAATTCGGTTTCAACCGAAAAAGTTTCGGCGTTTTCGATTTAAGCCAATAAAAAACTACTAAAACTACGTCTAATCCGTTTCCTAGAATTCGGTTTTAACCGAAAAAAAAGGTCAGTTTTTCAGGGCCGCGTCGAGGTGGGGGCAGAGGGGGGGGGGGGGGGGGGAGAGGGAGAGAGAGATAGAGGACTTTGCAAGGTTCGACATTGTATGACCTGTTCGTGATTGCCCTATTCGAAGATTCGACATGCAACAAACGATGTCTTGGATTGGCTTTTGCCGGACATCTGTGCCCTTTCTGTGATCGGGCTTAGTGTTCAAAAATCCCAAAGCCCCCCCCCCCCCTCTCTAAAAAAAAAAAAAAAAAAAAAAAAAAAGTTAGGATGTGGGCTAGTATAAAGTTTTTCGCTTCATGCACTTCAGAGGTCATCGAGGAAAGCCGTCAATACCTTTCTTAACACCCTCTCTCCAACTTCCCTGTAATTAAAAAACAAATACAATGATTTTTTTTTTTCTTCTTTTGCCATTCCGCTGGGTCCTGTACGGTCATCACCTCGGACGGTCACGTCGTCAAAATGGGAAGGAAAAAGAAGCGCGCTGAAGATTATGCCCGCAAATTCCGCGATTTTGAGGTGTGTCCTGACGGAAGTTGTAGCGAAGAGTGATCACAAATATCACAGCTACAAGGATCATCTGATCCGGTGTCTGATGATGTTTCTTTCAAATTCTTTGAAAGAAGAAAAAAAAAGAAAAAAAGGTAAACTTCTTTGGGAATAAATATATCCCGAATAAAAAAAAAACGAAAAATTAATATTAAAATAAACACCGAAAAATTACGCCGAATTAAAAAGAAATAAAAACCGAAAACGCGGAACCCTAATTATATATAGAAGATAGAGGTACACCTAAGCACTTCTTATGAGTTGTGTATGCGAAAGCAGACTTGGACGTAGTTCAACTACTCTACTCAAACTACTGTAGTTTAACTACTTTTTCGAGTAACTTGGTAACTTTCAATTACAACTTGATTTGGGTAATTAGTAGTTTAATTTAACTACCTTTTTTAGGTAACTTCTACTCAAATTACTAACTACTTTCGAAATTATATAGTGCTAATTTTGCCCATCACGAAAGTTTGAGCGCAGAAATGAATAAGACGCCGGCAGATGAAGTGGCATTCCCTAACAAGGGGCCCCCTTGTTCGGGAAGGCGTCCTTGGTGGCGACGAGGTGGCGACGAGCAGCCAAAACATAACACCGGCACGCACGAACGCAGGAAGAGATGCTTAACACGCCTTCGTCGGGTATTGACCTAATCCGGTAATGCACGCAGGCGCCGCGTTTCCAGCTGCAACCGTGAAAGACGGGGACACTCCGAGAGTTGTTGTCTGTCTTTAGAGAGTTCTGACTCAAGCGGTAGGTTCCACGGGACGCGCCACTGGAATGACCTCGCAGCTGGGCGCCTGTTCCCATGGTCGCCTTGTCGTCAGCGCATACGCCTTTGCAAAGCCGGACTCCCCCGCGCACAAACCCTGGCACGGATAATCCGTTCATGGGAGCACGCTCCCGCTTCCAGCTGTAACTGTATACGAGCGACGATGCTTGTTCACGTACTCCTTCGTGTCCTTCCGACCATCCATGCCTGGGAGACTTCCTCTTTGTTAAAAACGATTTACTTGTCAGGCGTGTCAGGCGCGTCAGAATATTGTAGTCGCCGGCGAGGATTGCGAGTTACCCTTGGGAGATCCTTTTGTTGGACCCGGCGTCAGCGGCGAAGTATACTTCGGTTCATCTTCTGTTAAACCAAAACATTTGTTTTTTCAGTAGCGTAGCACTAGCACTACAACGGGACGCGCAGTCGTCCGGATGATCTCATCGTCGTGGCGCGAGACTTGAATCCTTGACGGTCTGGTGCACTCGCTCAGCGTACTCTCAAACGACGTCGGAATAAAAAGGGGCCAGTCATAACAATCTCAACTTGACGAAGAAAAAAGAAAAAAGAAGGAAAGTTTGTTATAAAAGACCCTCTACCCGAGGCAAACCTCACATGTTTCGTCATGGACACCTCAGATGCCGACACTCGCTTACTCGACCCTGCACAGCCTGTTTCTCAAATTCAACGCTGCCGTTCTATTCAGTGCCACGGTGGAACGTCTATTTACCTCGGCTGGGGACGTCTTTAAAAGGAAAAGGGGAAAACTCTCCTATCAAGAACTTTGAAAGTCAATTGCTTCTGCGAGCGAATAAATTATTTTGGCGCAAACGCAAGGTATAAATAGACTGCATTTATTTTAGGCTCACAGGGTTTTTCGTTGATCAAAACTGCTGTTCATTTTGCTACCACAAAAATATAGAAAAGTAACTTCGAAAGTAACTTCAAAGTAACTCGCTACTTTTTAGAGTAGTTAGTAGTTTACTCAATTACTATTACAAATGCGTAATTTCTACTCTACTCCAATTACTTTTGGCGTCGATACTCAGTAACTTAACTACCTTTTTTGAGTAATTTGTACATGTCTGTGCGAAAGCACGCAAGCTGCTCGTTCGCTCCTTTTTTCGTCTGCTGCGTACTTTTCGTCGCCGGTCAGCGCACGTGCTCCCCGGGGCACTCCGACCGTCGCTGATGTCTGTCTGTCTGAGGGTGAAGACATGCATTCTTGCCCTGAATGTGCCAGCGCGTGACGCTCTCGCGCACTCGGTGCGTGACTTGGGCGGTAAAATGGCGTCTATGGATTAGCCAAAGCTACGCGCTCGAGCTGAGTGACACCAAATTGCGCGCGCTTCAAAATGCATAAAAGATTGGGCGGAAAAATGGTTGAGATGCCATTTTTCGCACAAGCAAAGTGCACAAGCAAAAGCGCGCGTGTATGAAGGGGCTCTATACTGTTTCATACTTCGCGTGCAACACTGTCAAAGCTACTGGCGCGAGCGTGGGGCTTGATCTCGTTGATCATTTGCACAAAGCCACGCGCTCGTTATCTAGATAACAAAGGTCGACCTTGCGACGTCGGTGGTCGGTGGTTAGGTTGTGGGTATACAAGACATTGTGGAAATAAACGCAGTAGCCGAGTTTGAGACGTTCTTTTCCCCTTTTTTCTCCGACACCGTTTTCCTGCTTTTATCACAGTCTCGGGTTTTCTACATTATGACCTAAATAATGCCGAACAACCATTCGGCTTACTCAAGAAAATTCACAATCCCCAGCCTCTTATCAACATTACGTCCAATTTTATTTTACAATGAAATTTACTTTATTGTCCAGAAGAATTTTAGCAATACCAAATGTGCACTTTCAACCCTGTAAAAAAAAAAAAAAAAAAGAGCAGTTTTTTATTTTGTTTTGTTGTAGTTCGAGGCGATATCCTTCCAATTCAAGTCACCTTAACATCAGTTCCACAGCATCATAATAATAATAATAATAATAATGATAATAATAATAATAATAAACACTTTAAAGAAAGTGTTTTGCATCTTGTAGTAAAGTAGTGATTCAACTCAAGAAGGTAGGGCGAGGGTAAGACGGGTCGGGGAGGAGGAAGCAGACGGAACGCTGGAGAAGAGAGGGGAAACCTCCTTCTCTCTTTAGCGTTCCGTCTGCTTCCTCCTCCCCGGCCCGTCTTACCCTCACCCTATGTTCTAGAGTTGCTTTTTCGTGTACTCTCGAACCCAGCCACATAATAGGCGTATCCGGTATGGGCGACGAAAAGATAATAAAACGTTTCAACCTGTAACTAGTAAAAAAAGTAGATGGGAGGTAAAACAAGAATGTGTGACGGTTACGCTTATATCCTAAATTTCTATTGGCGTGGCAACGGCGAAACAATGTTTTCACCCATACTGGAAGTGACATAAATTCAAGATGGCGGCGCCCTTGTGGAAAAGGTCTATGGTTCCACATCTTCCACACGTCCAAAATCGCTGAAAGATGGCTTTGACAAATTTTCACAAAAGTGAGATGTTTTACGATTCTCTGCAATGCCAAATTAGAGTGCAGCTCTTGAGGAGGAGGGGAGGGTACGGAGGGGACGGTATGTCCTTCCTCCTCATCCGTACTCTCCCCTCCTCCTGTCCTCCCATTTAGCGGGAAACTTTCGCTAAATTTTCTGCCAAATTTGGCGAAAAAACTTCCCTGAAAAATTTTTCAGCTAAACTTAATGGGGGAAGTTTTCCGCTAAATTTAGTGGCGGTGAAATTTTTCCGCTAAATTAAGCGGGAAATCTTTTTTGCTGAATTTAGCGGGGATTTGTTTTTCGCTAAGTTTAGCGGGGAATTTTTCCCGCTAACTTTAGCGGAGAAACGTCCCATAATGCAATGCGCGGTTATGGCAACGGCGAGGCCGCTCAACCTGAAAACGGGTGCCTAGGAGCTGCGCTCTAAAAAAGCACACCTTATAACGCAGTGCAGAACTCTCGAGATGGTCGAGTCTACAAGTTTGTGACTAAGTCAAGTGAACACATTTAAAAATATACTAAATTAACCAATTCTGCATCAGTAAGCTGGCATGTTACTCACATCTGTAGAGCAAACACAGATGCATAACAGCATACATACCATAAAATTCTGAGCAAGTGCCCACTCAAAGTTTGGAGATGATCATGTAAAACAGGGAGATGGAAGCTCCTAGGGTAAACCATGTGCAAAGATATATCCTTTGTGTATTTTCTAATGCTATAAAATTGAGGGGTGTGCGCTCGTAGAATGGGCGGATGCTCTGTATTTTACGGTAGAGCTCTAGCTGGTTTCAAGTGCAGCTTCGGGGATTATCGACTCCAGGGACTTGCTAAAAAATCGTGCACCCCTATGAAACTTCTTTCGATAATCACTCCAGCTTTCGACGACACTCGAATGGAAGGCAAAAACATCCTACAAAATTTTTATTAATTTAAATGACTTCGCAGAGATGCAGCTCAGGTAAAAGCATATATGAGCATGCGAACATTCAGAACTCAATCGAACTTAGAAAACAAATGAGTGTAATCTCGCGAGGGACATCTACTAGGCTGCGTTTGAAATCTTACCTAAACAGATCCGAGCTACTTCGGCGGGTCGTGTCACGTGATAACACAGATAGAGCGACGCTGAACGCGGGCAGGTTTTCGAACGCAGAGGTACAAAACACTTACCCTGGGGTAAAATTTAGTCAATTTTGCAACACGGTCCTAATCTTTCCAGCTGAAGCCCGACGGACAAAACGATTACACACCCAAACAAACCAAACAAGAGGCGACAATATGTTCTGTGCTGCTTCATTCTTACGAACCCCGGTCACTCGTTGTTCGGTGCCGCACCGTCGTTCGGTGCCGCACCGTCGTTCGGTGCCGCACCGTCGCTTGGTGCCACTCCATTGTCCGGTGATCCACCGGTACTCCGAAGATGACGCTGCAACGTGGTCACCGAAGGCAACGGGTAGCCTTGCTCGAGGAGTTCGGCGTAACCGCTCGTGCCGCATGCCGACCAGAGCCGCACGGCCCTCAGCATCGTGTCGTCTGTCCACTTCTGTCCCCGCGTCGAGTTACGCTCGAGCATCTCCACCTGGTTCTCGGTCAGAAACTTGCCGAGGTTCCCCCTGAGCCCCTCGCTCTTGCGCCGGGCGTCGGAGACATTCTGCGTCAGCTTCTTCTTCTGCTGCTGCAGCAGCGCGATTCGGTGACGCAGGTCGTAAACGCGCCGCTCGGACTTGCGCGCCAGCGACACTTGCACCACGGGCAGGCCGGATCCGTCCGACGAGGTTGCGTCAACTCCCCCTCGTGCCCCTTCGGACGGATTGGGTGCGAGCACCACAATCTCGATGGTCTTTCCGCCGGCTGGCCGGGCGAACTTGATTGCCGCCGGCTGCGCTGGTACTCGAGGTGCGGGCTGGTTGGACGCCCGCCGTTTCGGAAGAACACGCCGTTTGGGAGGGGGCGGGGTGCGCACCTTGGAAGGGGGCGGGGCAGGCCGTGGTCTGATCTGGTAGTCGGGACATTTCGGGATGAAAATGGTGTACTTGTACGGTGCCGGCGGGCCCAATCCCTGCAATCCGGGTCCGTCGGAGCCTTGGACTACGGAGTCTCCGGAACAGGGTGCCTCAGGTTGGGCTCCCGACACGTTCTCCGATGGAGACTGACTAACCTCTTGCACTTCGGTCGAACTGCGCGGCTCACCTTCGTGCACCGCAGCCGAGTCGGATTTGGGCGTTTCGGGATCGGCAACGTCTCGCGTGGCAAGGTGGGTTGGCTCTCCTTCCGCGGGCACGCTACCCCCTTGCACCCCGAGCAGGGTGAGCCCCTGTGCCGCAGTTAGCGTGGATTCAAGCACGGTGTGCTGCGCTGAATGCTCCGCTTCGTCCGTAGCGCGCTCTCGCTCCGGGGACGACTCGTCACGGGCTCCTGGGGAAATGAGGAAATCAAAAAAGAATGGCCGCTTGCCCACATGATGTAGCAAGCAGTTGAGGGTAAAGTTGCGTTGACTACTCTTCTGACGGCAGAATTCTTTGGACAATGTTAAAAATAGGGTTCGGAGTTTTCGGTTCAAACCGATAAAAGCATGCTGAATCCATTTTCGGAAATTCGGTTTTAACCGAAAAAGGTCAGTTTTTTAGGACCGCGTCAAGGTGGTTGGGGGAGGGAGAGAGAGAGAGGACTTTGCAAGGTTCGACATTGTGTGACATCTTCGTGATTGGCCTCTTCCAAGGTTCAGCATGCAACGAAAAAAGTCTTGGATTGGCCTTTGCGAGACATCTATGTCCTTTCTGTGATCGGGCTAAGTGTGTCAAGTTCCTGGTCCAAAAAAAGAGTTTGGATGTGGGCTAGTATAAGGTTTTTCGCTTCATGCACTTCAGAGGACATCGAGGAAAGCCATCAATACCTTTCTTAACACCCTCTCTCAAACTTCCCTGTGGTTAAAAACATAAATACAATGGATTTTTTTTTTTTGCCATTCCGTCGGGTCTTGTACGGTCATCACCTCAGTTGGTCACGTCGTCAGAATGTGAAGGAAAAAGAAGCGTGTGAAGATTATGCCCACGAATTCCCCAATTTTGAGGTGTGTCCTGACGGAAGTTGTAGCAAAGACCACATATGTATATGTGTCGTTATTCTTTGAGTGATCACAAATTTCACAGCTACAAGGATCATCTAATCTGGTGTCCGATGGTGTTTCTTTCATATTCACCGAAAGAAAAAACGGAAAAGTTTTTGGGAATAAATATATGCAGAAAAAAGTGAAAATTAAATTTTAACATAAACACCGAAAAAAGTTAGCCGAATTTCGAAAAAATAAAAACCAAAAACGTGGAACCCTGGTTATAAACAACCATTCCTCATAGATAGCACATCCATTTGATCTTTCAAATACTGCGAAATTCTTTGGTCTAGTGATAGAGTTCCAGGGTCACCTCATAGACAGCGCCAGCGTGTTGTATCGTCGCAAGAGATTGCAAGAACTCGGTCGTAAGGAAACGCAAGTGTGTGAATGGGCCTTGAAGGCCCATTCACACACTTGTGAATGCAAGATCATTTACATACTGAAGAGACTGGTAACGCAACTTGAAAATGCTTGTATTTCTCTTTTTTGTCTTATTGGACGCTGAATCAATAGAACATTCATTTCCTGAAGGAGCACAACTCATAAACATCCACCATTTACTGCCTCATTGAGAATGCACTTATTTCTCGTCTATCCAATACTTGAGTAAACCAAATTTCTGCCTCCAATTAGGAAAAGCAGACCAAAATGTGGCAATGATCGGGACATTGCCGATTCTTGAAAAAGCATGGTACAGCCTTCACGTTCATGCCAAATTTTCGTTATCAGTTCTACAGTTTCTGACGTCCAACTATGACAAAATTTACCTTTAAAAGCAAATGGACTTCATAATCTATTCCAGCATGATTTATTTTCAACACCTCACATTTGCTCAGTGACCAATAGAATGAGGAAACGCTAATCTCATTACAAAAAAAAAAAAAAATGTACCCAAACTTACTTTTTCTCTTAGTAAAGGCATAATCATGCAACCCAGCTTCAAGCGCCGACGGTTTCGGAGATTTCCGAGCAGTCCCAGTCTTTTGAACAGTTGGGGGCGTTTTGTTGGAGTGGTCAAATATCGTCGGCACCGCGTTGTACGACAGATGTCCGCTCGGCAGGAAGTAAGTCTTCTCAAAGTGTTTCTGAAATTGCATAAAAATGATAGATAGCATAGTTAAATGTCTGCAAAAAGTTGCCCACGCAGGCCACCTATGTACCATCAAAAACACACCACCATTCAACCACAATAAATAATCTTTTCCTCTCGGCACAATCGAAGCTACCGTCAAACCGAATGTATCGTTTCACATTTTTTTTTTTTCTTCTCATAAAGTCACGAAGGCAACCTAAAAAATTCCAGAGTCTTTGCAACCAATGCTTTCCCTGGTTTCTGGAAACCACTGATTGGTGCTATAGCTGATCAAATGGCAGAGCCCTTTCATCTGTAGTTACCGACGAGGTGATAACGGCGGAGACCAGCTGCAGTTTAAAGAAATACTGGGAGGGATATTCTACTATCACTAAAAACGCGAGCAGACGACGCATTGCTCAGTTTGTACCTGAGGGCGGCGTTCCCACAGCATTTCAAACTCTCGCTACTTCTCTTTTAGTCAGTGCAAGCGACGAGGCTACAAACATTTGGAGAGAACACATCTCCACAAGAGTATTGCTTGCGGTAGCTACGGGACCGACGTCATGCTCCTTCCTTCATGAAAGATTGCGTTAAAAAATACTTGTACTTTACTTTGAAAGTACATTGCATTTATAATACTTTAATTAGAGTGCATTGTGCCCTCAGTGCTTACTACCGTAATTCCCCAAGAGAAAGCCCACCTAAAATCGAGAGAAAATTGTGTGAAAATAAGAAGTGGGCTAACTTTTGTTGTGCAATCGAGAAAAGTCTTCAAAAATGCTACTTTTAAGATCATGTGCCCCTGCCAAACTTGCTATCGTGGCGAAGCAATGAAGCAAAGATGACTGTACTTACCAGTCAGCAACGTTCGATTATATCCCCCCCATAGCTAACTAGACGCATTTATGCTGAGGTCATCATTGATCCAAACACTGCGATTACTAGAAGTGGAATATCTTTCGATGTTTAAAAGAAAATAGCAAATCAAGCCAACAATAAGGGTCGGGTTACCTTTCGGGGGTGGGGCATCTCTAGAAATTTTACGGTACTTGACTTGAAGTCCATAACCTCTCGCTTACTTTCTACCTTACTTCAAGTACTTTGTAGACGTACCATCGAGTATGAATGAAATGCGAACACTGGAGGGCGTGGCCTATGTGACATGCAGTGCTACCTCGAGGCAATTAGGAACTGATAAAACTGCAGGCTGGAAAGGGGGCTGTGAGGGTGTGTGCCCACTCCAATGCATATACTCTCGAAGCCCCTCTCTCCACTCTGCAGTTTTATCTGTTCCTGGTTGCCTCTAGGTTGTGCAGCATGTATAGAAGGCCACACTGTTTACATTTCATTCAATAGTACTTTACCAAACACTGCTATAGCGCGATTGCAGACATCAACACGGATAAGAGCGGCTTGCTATGATGCACTACCAGCACTGCTTCATGAATGGTGCACATGCTTGCATATGCACAACGGTTGCCTGTCGTTATTGGCCATACTGTCGCCTTCATGCACGCATACGCAACCCCTGGCCGTGTGAACTTGAATATGTCACAACTCCAATCTTCAGTTTAACCCAAATTTTCATTTTTTTTTTAATCTATGCTTTTTACCAACTTTGGTTGCATAAGTGCGAGCGAAGGAGACGCTACAAGAGCGAGCGCAACATTTTGAGCAGGTCTGTTATGCAGGCGCGCTCGTGAAATGAAAGCGTCATCGGCTTTGCTCGCACTTCTGTTGGAAATGAGTTTTGCCGCTGTTACATTTTGTCTTCTGGAACGCTGCGTGGCCTTGCAAAACTGCTTTTCTTGTTGTGGTTTGGTCAGCAGAATTCCAACGGTGCCCTTCTCAAGCCCCGAGCAAGTTGTCGCTACTTACTTCGCAGAGGACCGAGGTAGGGTTCGGGAGGTACAACTTGCCGCTGCCTTGATCCCGCCTGTCCATGGCAACGGCCCACAAGAGTCTCCGTTTCATGTCCACCGGGAACCGATGCATCCGGAAACCCTTGACAGTGCTGTTAGTGCACCCGTCGGCCGAACACCCGGGCATGGCTCACGAGGATCGGAGGTCGAAGCCGTGGAAATGATTCAGTCAAGATGGACACGTACCGCCAGCTCTGTGGAGATCAGCGACATCAGTACCCTACGGCTTTCCTCAACTGTTCATCACCACCGTGATCTTGACCACATCACCACATATTGAAAAGCTCACGAAATCTTCATCGCTACCCTAGGCTAGCTATCGGGTGCGTTGCGAACCGTTGTGAACCTGAGGGTGGCTGAGACCAAGGCTGAGACTCCGAGGCGGTTCGAGCAGTCTGAGCACTTCGAGCGGATCCTTCCACTGAAGTTCTTTCCTAATAAATAAATGAATAAATGTATATAACTAAAACAAATAAAACAATGAAGTTCAACTTTTGTGCGCATGCGCGAAAAATGAATGAATGGATAAATAAAATCGGCTGAGCCCTTTGGATTAGGCGGTAGCTTACGCCACCTAGCCAGAACAAAAACGAGTTGACGTCACCTGGCGGAGGAAAAGTGCAATATTTTTTGGGTATATTGGTGGCACGAACGTCCATGTGTTCGCATGTTGCAGTCATAGGTTGTAATATTCTACATTGATAAACTACCTCAGAGTACGTACATTTGCAAACGAAAGATCTGTTGTTTTGTCCGGGACTTCCATGGACTCCAACCAATCTCAACAAGAAATTAAACATTTGAGAAATTTTGGCTGCTCTGGAAACAACTTTACTATAAATTGATTTTAATAAATGTAAACAGCAACGCGTTGACGCATAAATATACTACTGCCTTACGTCACAACACAATCGGTTCTCTTTTAATTCAAACAAAATTCAACTCGTGACGTCAGGAGACCTTTTATGCCCAATAAGAGTTGAATGCAGGGTAGAGTTAGCGAACGCAGCACAGTAACGATGACGTCAAGTTTAGCTTCTAAAGTGCCGATACCGTTAAAAACACAAACTGTAGCTATATTATAAAGTTAACTAGCATTATAAAAAAAGAGAGTGAAGTAAAGTGCTGTTGCAATGCAAACAAAGTAGAAATTAACTATATTTGTAAAACATCAGAGTCTGTAATTTGATTCTTTGGTGCAGGTCACTGCGGAGGAGACACAGCACGTGTCGAGTGGGTTCCTTTTTTCCAACATTTGTTAGGCAATGCTCAGGCCTCTCCTCATTATGACGACCTAATCTTTCGCCTTTTACTAAAGATTACCGTGGGGAGGGGCACTCCAATGAGCCTATAGGCCAATTTTTGGAAGGCTACTACCGTTTGGTAGAGGCCTAATATTGAAATCCAAAGAAAGAAGTGTGCGCGCTGAACCGCTTGCTGCGACTTCGGTAAGAAATGCATCAGAATCGCAAGCTAGATGAAAACGGAGAAGTGCGTTTCGCGGTTACATACAGGCTTCAGATTATATGTGCAAGCAGCGTGTCATTATCAAGGTTACCAGAGCGATCTACGTAATCCTGAGCTGTCAATGATAACAGGCTTAGTAATACAGAATTGCATTCTTATTGCACAAACAGTGTGCATGTGATCAGAAGAGCGAATGACATTTTAGCGAACGGCGACATTTGAGCGAATGGTCGTTTTAGCGAATAACGGGGGCGCGCGTTAACCCATCCGCCGCGCTGCGCTTTACGCCGCTTCGCGGCGACAGTCTACGGCAACTCATTACAAAAATATGAACTCACTTGGCCCACCCGAACACGCCGCTTCGCGGCGTCCGACTATTCGCTAAAGTGTCGTTCTATGAAACGTGGGCGTACGCTAAAACGTCATTCGATCAAGGGAGTGCCTCCCAAAGGCTGTGTACTATCTAAACAAGGACTGAGAAGTCCGTTAACTGAACCCTCGCCCCCAAAATGACCGAGGAAATAAAAGCAGTAGCCGAGGACGCTCAACTTCCTCTATCATTTTTCATCCACCAACTAAGTTCTCCCCTTTTACCACAGTCTAGAGTATTCTACATCATGATCAGCATTCTTATTAAAGCTAAATTTGACTTAGCCTTGGAAAGTGGAGCATGCCGTGGTGGAAACTGTGGTGGAAACCACTGAACACCTGCGCAGCGAGCTCCGCCAGCCATGCAGTGCAACTTGAATGCAACGCAAACGAACGCGACTGTGACAGAAACCAGAAGAGGCAGGAAAGAAGAATTCACCAGCAGTGGACACTTTGATCTTACCTTGTCCATTTCTGCAATAGATAAATAGCTTTACCGATTTCACGTTGACGTAGACCTACAGGAAGGGCTTCGGAAAATAACGGTCCCTCATAATTACCACATTCAGTAAGGAACAAAGTATGTTAATGTTATCAAGCCACCTGTTTGTATAGTTTTTCAGTAAACAAATTATCTACATGGCAATTTGCTAAATGCTGCAAAATACCAACCAAAAATCGCGTGAAATTCGCAACACTAGAAAATGGCTCTTTTTTTTTAAACGAACCATGGGGAAACCATATTTCCAACTTTAATGCAGTCAATACCCTATAATATATATATATTGTGGAACAACATACGCATATATGAAACGGGTGATTTTCCACCAAAGGTTTTGTAGTGTAATGAAACACTGCCGCCTCTTAAATAAAAATCAGCCCCATGCAGTGCAGCATTCTACAACTGCTTTGAAGTCTTTTATTTTCCCTTATGTACAGTTGCCTAGAGTCAACCCCAAACATTGCGCCGGCATCTAGTGACTAGGCCAGGATTACTTTGTGAAAGGCATTACAACGTTCCTTTGATCTTTCCTTAAAAACAAACAAAAACAAATTGCACAGTTGCATGCTCTCACGTTACATTCTCGTTCCAAACAATTTGTCGAATTGAACCCTACAGGCTACTAATACCGTAGCAATTAAAAACAAAACAAGAAAGGCTCCACCTAGTTTGGATAGTTGACGGCGATTAAATAATTAAGTACAAAGATGACTTTGAAAACGCCGCAACAATGCAAGCCATAAAAACAAGCGCGAGCATCCAAGCATCTTTTTTTATATATGTATATATATATATATATATACCCCATTTTCTCTATGAAGTGAAAAAATAAAAGAGGTTACACGATGCGATGCTCCGAGTGCGTCACCTTCGGAATAAAACAAATAGGACTAAATAATCGACTACATATATACTCTCGAACCCAGACTCCAAACCGGCTAAAAAATAGGGGGGAGGGGAAAGGGCGCCTCGATTGCGAAAATCAATAAATAGAAAGCGTCTCGGCGTGCATTAAAAACGAAGCCCCGCGGCGGCGCTTAGCGAAGAGCCGCACACCTATAGATGTGCGCACGCGTAACCTCTAAAAGAGTGTGCTGTAGAAACCGACGGTGGCAGTCTCCGAATAATATTGCTCGCCCCGTGTGACCAGCGTTTCTCGCAACTGTTCGGAGACGACTCTGAGACGGCTGCCAGAACTGCAAAGCAGTCGGACTCTGTGTTTGTATCCACTCTGCAAGTTACGGGCGGCATCCTTTTTGCGTTTTACTTTTTTTCTCCCCGGTCGCCAGATTCTGCGACGCGCCCCCGATAGAATGCTAAAACACCCCCTATATACATATCGACATAAGCCGGTCAGTACAAGGCCTTGTGCGTTGACGCGCGCCAGTTGCGTACATACGAGATCCTTCAGAGACACTTTTGATCACGTGGAGCCGAAGCGACACTGTCCTCGTGCACTTGCGACGCGTCGCACCCTTCTCAGATTTCGCCGCTCGGACGCCTGCCAGACGGAGACTTTGGTGACGGAGCAGGCAAAGTTCGGGCAGGAGTCGGTCTTTGGTCGACTTGGATACCCGCTGGACTTCGGAAGGGAGGCATTGGCTTCGGCTTCCAGCCGAATCGCCGGACTTGCGGTGCGCCGAAACGTTCCGTGGAACCCACCGAAGATCCGCACGGCCTCACTGGGACAATGCACGAAGTACCTTGGCCGTGCCTGCGCACAAGCTGCGAATTTTCGATCCAACCGCACTTCACCGGGTAACTGTGCCTGCAAGCGCAAAAGAAAAACACTGATGATCGAGTGATTACGGGCCGCCTGAAATTTAAGCATTTGCCTTCAAGTGATACCCTAAAACGAACAAACATGAGTGTACTCAAATTTTGGAAGCAAGAATGACTAGACGCAAGCAAAGAAATACAGTTGTTAAGTAATCATTCAATATCAAGTCATAGGTACTTCTGCTGTTAAAGACCGAAACAGCCTCAAAACACATACTTTTGGTTATACCATCACTGAATCGTTTCGATGCCTCTTTCAACATTGCCTTCTTGCAGACCGACGATTGGACGGTTACGTTCAAGTCATGATTCACAGTTTACAGTATCATTCGTGCAATTCAAATCTGATTTCTTTTCCTTACTTGCCAATGCAAGCCTTTCCAAGAAACGCTCCTAGGCCGCTGCCCTGTTGCCGATGCAACTGGTGCGACTCTCGCGGCCTCTATCAGCTAGAAATTTTCTGCCACTCTCTTGGACTGTGAAAACCCACCCAGCACGACTCCCTACCCATGTTTTGCGGTTTTGCATTCTACATTTTCAGGCCCCTCTTCAAAGTTTCCACTTAAATTTTCTAGTGCATGCTGCTGCATTCCCTTTCTGCGTTATCTTCCACTGTGAGAGATAGGGCTGGCAAGTGCCTGCCATTCAAGCGTTTCTGCTCAACATTCATCGGAAACAAAGGAGAAAAGGGCGTCGGACGGCCCTCGACGGAATTTAGCGAACAATGACAGCTGATCTTCCCCTCCCAGAGATAATCCGCGTAGAGTCCTTCTCAGCCATAGCCAAAAATAGTTGTTCGGGTTGGAGTCAGTCAAGCTCGTTCCTTTGCCTTGGTGTTGGTGTGAAAAGAAAAAGCCCTCCCCAAAACAAAGTCATCTTGGATTCCGTCCGATGAATGTCGTCGACTGTGTTATTTGCGATCTTTCTCAAAGAAATTTTTTTTCATATAATGCTGCATCGTGTGGCATGTACCATATATTGTTCGAATGTTAACACTCGCTAAATTGTATGTCCGTGTCCTGTCCATCGCAAAACACGTTATTTGTGAGCGTGACAAATGCGTGCCTTTCAGCTACCTTCTGTTGTAAATTGTTTTCGACAGCTATGTGCTTTGTCGTCTGACACGTGGCTAATTGGACGGGGCCATCAAAGCTTAGCATAAAAAAAGAAAAGTGACAACTAACATTCTAGTCACATTCGTTCTGTCGCACGTGTACCCAACAAAATTAGATTACAGTTTTTTGTTTTTTTTTTCTTTTCGAAATGTGGTACAATAGTTTTTCAACATCCTCGGGGCAATACATACAACATGAAAGACAAGATACAGCGGGAAAAGACGACAATTTAGGCGCCAGCAGTGTTTGATACTGCGCCTACGCAGGCTGTGTCTATCGACATCACAGTCCACTCGGTTAAGGGGGGACATGGGCCTAAACTTTTTATTTTTTTGAAAAAGTTCATTTTTCAATTTTGACGTTTTCAGTTTTAGAAACTAATTATACACCCTTACACCAAATTTGATAACCATACGCCAAATATTTATGTTGATATAAAATATTTTCAACACGTTGTGAGGCAGTAACAAAGTAAAGGAGTTCAATGTTTGAATGCATTTTTCTCAGCTCCACTTTTTGCTGCAAATTTCATACGAAGGAATCTTTTGTTCGAAGGTGAAAGTGTTCCAATACCACAATCAAGATGTTTCTGAACTGAAATTTACTCGGGAATCGGGCTATCTACTTTATTTTGTTTTAAGTTAAAGTCCTCAGTGATAAAAAGCTATGTTTTCAAAAATTGACATAGGACAGATTTGCATTTCATACTTTGAGGTAATCACTCTTCCTGAAATATTTACATTTGAGTTATAAAAACTAGATAGCCCGAAGTGCCACATCCCCCACTTTATATTCCAGCAGTCAAAATGGTGCTTAATAGCTTCACTTGCATATCATAGATTTCTTAACAAAGAGTGACACATCTTCTTATGCAGGTATGTAAAGTTGTCCTGGAGAGCTGAAAGTTTGCACAATACACCTACATCTGACGTTAAATCTCCTCTCTAAATTTCATTCCAATCACTTGAATAGTTAAGAAGTTTGACCTCTAGCCAGTGTCCCCCCTTAAGGTTAGCATGGATGCCGGTGAGAGTCTAGCCTAAAACGCAATCACTGGGCTCTAAAACGGTTTGTTGCTCCTGGGGTCGAGTGTTTCTTGGAAAGGTGTATAGTCCAAATAGGGAGTACTTTGAGATAAAAAAAAAAATAAACAAATAGACCTACAAAGTTTGTCTGCAAGTTGGGAACCAGCACAAGAAGGCTGGCACCGAAAACACACTGCTCTCAAATATGCTGCGCTCTGCTGAACAGAAGAAAATAGCATCCCAGTAAATGGGAAAGGTCTGCCAGACACGGCCGCTGCAGCCCAGCAATTTTGAGCGAAATACATCTTGCGTCCAACCGTGCCTCAAAGACTCGAGTCACTGGAAACTCTCGGGACAAGGCAACCAAAGAGTTTGCTTGCCGTATTCTGATCCATGGTAAACAAGGAGCTTTTTTTCCGTATCCCAAGTTACAACAAACAACGAGTTTGTTTTGCATATCCTGAGACAAGGCAAACAAGAGGCTTGTTTCTCCTACCCTGAGATACAGCGAATGGAAGGTTCATTTTCCCTATATCCCAAGATACACCAAACAAAGGATTTGTATCTTGCATTCCAAGAGACAGCAAAGGAAGGGTTTGCTCTATCCTCAAGGTTTCCAACGACTGTAGTCTTTGCAAAAAGATACGGCAAACAAACAGCTTCCCGTATCCTGAAGCTTTCCGGAGACCCTGGTCTTTCCAAAACAATATGGCTAACAAAGAGTTTGCCGCATCCTGAAGCATTCCAGTGACTTTAGTCCCCGCGACACGGCAGACAATGGGTGCTCACCTCCGCGCAGGGTGGGCGGAGCCCCCGCACCCGGCTCAGTTGGTCTGGTAGGTGGTGAGCAGGGCGGCGTCAACGGGCTCCATGCAGGAGGGGCAGGTGAAGGAGCGCATGAGCCAGTCGTCGATGCAGTCCGTATGGTAGATGTGCATGCAGGGCAGAAACCGCACCGCGTCCCCCATCGCAAACTCGCCCATGCAGATCACACACCTGGAAGAAACAGAACATACAACGCCTGTCACAACATGCAGTCTCACGTAGTTCCTCATAATTCAGACACGCTACTCGTTTCAATAATTGTTTACATGAATGCATATCAGTGACGCAGCCACAAATTTTTTGGACGGGGCGATGCAGGCGAGTTGGTTCACAATACAACTGTAAACGGCGCACAGATGACAAAGATGAGCAAGGTGTAGACGCTACGAGTGCTGGACTTCGACGGATTATTTAAGAAAAGGAAAAACATAAAACTAGCCATCTACATCATCGCATCGACACATGTTTCAAAAAGGCTACCTTCAAGTGTCCCATGTTTCCGGGAAAAGGGGTTGATAAAACCGTGGGAGAGCAGCTGGAAGCGTTCGAGATAGAGAAGGAAGGCGCAACATGCCTGGGTCAAACTTCGATTTGTACACATAAGGATGCGGTAGCCTTCTTGAAGCATGTGCCGACACAATGTGGATGGTTAGTTTGACCTTTTATTTCTTTTACTAAAAAATCAGTTGAAGCTCAGCGCTTGTCCCGCCTACACCTTGTCTGTTTATTTGTGCGCTGCTTCCAGTTGTATGTATACGCCACAGGATTAGCGAAGTTCGAAAGAGGGGGGAGATCTACGCCACTGATGTATATGTCAATACTTCTCCCATGAACCGCTAGATGCCTTTGAGGCGAGGTAAAGTAAAATAAATGGACTGTTTCCAGGGGGGATGCGCATGCGGCATTCATTAAAGCGCCACAACAAACAAGACAAAGGGTCCCACGAGATCGGACAGATGAAAGTATGTCTCAATGGTAGGTCAGCGGAGCACAAGTAGAATGTAAGCGATAGTTCACTGCTGCCCAAGTTACAGAAATGTGTCGATGCCGTTCAATCTTTGTGGCTGTGTAAGGAGCTAAAGTCTCGGGGAAACTGATACCACTTCAAAAGCTTGCATTAGGCTAGCTTCAATGGCACTGAAGCAGTTTTTGCACTGTATTGGCGTTCATTCCTCTTTTTAAGCGACTCTTCAAAGCATGCGTATTTTCGTCGTAGGCAGTTGTAGAGGAACAAGTGCTTCTCCTCCTTCTGTGCTGCCTACAGGCACGTAGCCTGGGGGGGGGGGCATGGCACCCGCCCGCCGCCGCCCCCCCTCCCCCGAAATCTTCCATTTTGCTGGGACCTCCTCTCCCCCCTCCCGCTCATACAGCATTTTGTCATCGGCGGAAAAAAGAAACTTTTCTTTGAGAAAAGAAAAGTTTCATCAAGTTGCGACGTTCAGTGCACCCAGGTTCGGTGCAAATTAAATACCAGGGGCCAATTTTTGCAGAAAAAAAAAATGCGCTATTTTTTCGTATTAACCCATGGACTATAGCCTAAAAAATATGGTACACCAATGAAGATTTAAATCGTGACTTAAGTCGTACAGAAACTCCAATGATGACTTAAATCAATCCTTTTCCGCACAAAAAATCCCCCAAATATTTTCTTTTTATCTACAGTTGGTCTATCATCCGATGCTTTCTATGTGTATTTGTTTTGTACTTAAATTTTAAAAAAAACTATAGAGCAAGAAATATTCGTAGCAGGCTGATAATGAGTAAAAAGGGTGCTCATCCCGGCGAATCAGAGTGTTGATTGAGCTTTCTTTCTACCTGTCATTCCGTTCACCAGTTTTGTAATATATCCTATTGCAAGAAAATCTGAAAGCAAAAGGAAAGAACCAATACATACATTCAAAGGATATGATGTCACTTATAAAAAAAAAAAAATAGATAGAAGTTTTTACTTAAAGGGGGGGGGGGGGGGGGGTGCAACAATTTTCGGACTTCGGTCAAAAGTTCGTGGAAGTTGCCCTACGACACTTTTGAAGTAAAGAACAGAAACCCGTTTTCGCCTGAGTGTCCTAGTTGTTGCCTAAAAAAAATAAAGATAAATATTGTTATTTCTGGCACCCCTCAACTCACTCCCAGTCTTCAGGGTCACACCTGGTCCCCCTCCTAGTGACGTAATTCGGGGTGACGTGTAGCTTCCCGTGTGCTCTCTCGGAGGACGCTTCCTCTCCCTCTCTCTGCTGACATTAGCGGGCGTTACACTGCAGCTTAGAGCCGACTGAGGTCACGTGATCTCGCCGTAGTTCCTTCGGCTGTTACTTGCGGCTGCAGGTGGGGAAAAAAGCTAGAGTTTCGCTTTGCAATTATGCAGTGGAATCGCGACATTTTTTAATGATAATGAAGGAGATGTTTTCTCTGTCCTCCGGGACACGATAAACAACGTAAAAATGACGAGATGAAAATTTGTTTAAAGGAGCTGTGCAACAATTTCAGGACTTTGCTTAAATTATTGAGGAAGTTGATGCCTGACACTTCTGCAGTGAACTACAGAAAAGAGATTTTTCCTGGATACCCTAGTTTTTATTTTAAAAAATGAAAAAGATCCAGGTTTTTGCCGCCTCTCAACTCGTACATCGTCTTCCGGGTCACGTGCGCAGTGACGTCACTTGAGTAGGCGCGGGGTTCCGGAAAAGTTCTCTTTTTAGAGCCATCAAGCGAGCAGTGAGAACTCATCCGCTCGCGACCGCATGACCACGAAAGGAGGAAAGTCTCATCCGGGTCCGGCCATACCCGTCCTTGCCCGTCCGGCACTGTCCCCTCCCCTCCGGCTTCTGGCGGCTATTCGCGGTTTTGTGGACCTAGGATAGATGGCGCCACTAAAACTCTGTATAATAAAAGTTTTGTCGATGATACCAGGCTTTTGACGCATTTATATATATGTTGGAAGGACAAGATTTATAGAAAAGTTACCTTTTATCGAGCAGGTATTCGCACAACTTGCTATCTTTTTTACAACTACCCAAGTGACGTCACGCCGCTTGTTTCTCATGGCCGCTGCTCGTGGCTGCAGGTCGGGAAAAATTCTAAGTTTTGCCTCGCTATTACGCGGCGGAATCGCAACATTTCGATGAAAGGAGGTGTGTTTTCTGCCATTTGTGACACAGTGAACAATATCAAAAGCAGAAAATGCCAATTCTTTCAACGGTAAAATCGTTGCACAGCTCCTTTAATCATAAAATCGTTGCACCCCCTTTAAAAAAAAAAAAAGAAAAAGAAGTTTCAAGTTGCATTTTTTTAGCATGGCAGGGTTTACATCAATAAAAAATTATTGATTAGACTACTTTAAATTTACAGAAATTATTTCTTCCGCACTGTTTCCAGCGATCAGACAGATTGATCAATCAATCTGCCATTGTTTAAAAATGCGTCTAGTGCTAAAGCATCACCGTCCTCTAGCTACAGTAATTTAAATCGAAGAAATCTAATTTATTACAATCCAGAAATGCGATTGGCAACAATGGCAGAGAGCTGGCTACAATGATTCTCAGCACCAAAGTGACCATGAAGTGTTGTCACTGTGAAGCGTTGCCTATTTTGGGGCTCCAGTCACTCCCTTATACCGAGAGAAAGTAGCAGAAATGCTTGGAAATCGAGCTTAGTGATTGTTGCTAGAACACCGCACACTATGGCATTTGCTGAGAATTTAATTAGAACTCGACGATCGGTCCCCATTGTTTCCCATCTGTCCCAAACTGTTTCAACAATTTTTGAGGACGGAATGGCATTTCCTGCGATTTCGGACACCTTTTATGCACCACGGTGTATAAAAGCCTTTTATGCACCTTTTATGCACCACGGTGCATAACAGGGAACGTCTAGGGGAAAACTGAATGGTCTAGAGCAAAGTCAACTAGCTTAGCCAGAGTACAGTAGGGACTGTGGAAAATTGGGACTCTCCCCAGCATGGCTTTGGCCCAAAGTCTCAATCCTGCCCACATGGTGGGCCGGGGTCGGGGCGAAGCCGACGAGGTTTGACCAGAGGAAAATTGGCGACTCCCTTGACGGGGAGAAAAGAAAGCAAGAAGTTGATGTTTTTTTGCTCGATGACCCAAATGTCTTTTTTATGGTAACCCTCCGTGGCCTGGTAATAGTTACATAAATAGATTGGCTCAAGAGGGGAGGAGTTGCGTTTTCAAACTAGGCAGCGAGAGCTACTGCCCGTTATAAAGGGCGCAGTTTAAACATTCATCCACCCTGACGGCAGAAATGTGGCTACTTTGAAGCGTAGCTTATTCGTTGGTACTAGGTGGCGAAGGACGCAGCATGCCCGGCCCACTCACTCTCGATTCTTCTTGCTGCCGTCGTAGAGGCCAGTCGGAAGGTGCTGAATAAGGCCCATCCGCTGGGCAATCACCACCTGTTCCTCTTCCGTCAGCTGACAGGCCGGCCGACTCACGTTGGGCGACGGGTAGTAGACGGGCATCGACACTGTCTCCTGCAGACAGAGGGGCAACAATGATGACACATAGTAGGTCGAACAATGGCTCGGTGCATTGCCTGGAATGAGTCTGCAACTAGAGTGTTCTGCGTCCTAGACGAGTTGTTGAGATCGTGGCAGTCAGTTTTTACAGGGTGTTTCGGAGTGTGATTCGGGCATAAAATATATTTGTGTAAATAAATGAACGAACAGAGTGCACTGCAAGTTTTCACAGAAGTGTCTTTAGGCAGTGCACTTATTATACTCAAATATGAGTGTAGGTTTCAAAAAAAAAATTGCACAGGAAAGAAAATGACCAAAAACTCTGCTTGACACTGCTCACTCACAGATGGTATCACACATGTTCAGATCTGCTGGATCTGCTTTAGGGTATCCATCTCAAAGAAGCTTTCACAGTTTTACTTCATGTTGTCCCATCTAAGACTAGCAGCATTAACCAGATGGCTTTTGCCGTTTCACAGCCTGTGCATAGCTTTCACAGTTTTACTTCATGTTGTCCCATCTAAGACTAGCGGCATTAACCAGATGGCTTTTGCCGTTTCACAGCCTGTGCATAGAAATAAAACATTTTTTCCAGGCTTAACTTTGTGTCTCTTAAGCCAACAATCATAATATTTGAGTATGATGAATGCACCACCTAGATGCACCTTCATAAAAAGTTTTAATTCACTCCATTCATAGGTTTATTTTTACAAATATTGTTTACACCCGAATAATGCCCTGTAGGAGTGACGGCACATCGGACAAACGGGCATCACCGTCTCTGGCGGTGATGCTTATAACCTATAACCACTAGAAAGCTAGGATCAAAGTGACGGCACCCCGCCACCCCCCCCCCCCCCCCTCACCCGCCGCCGCCATGACAAGCATTCGTTTGTTTGCGTCATGTGACGCGACAAGTGAGTGCCGCCATTTTTGTGCTGAGAGTCACACGGGCACCGTTTGTGGCAGTCGTAACTCTGAAATGTGGATCTTTGAGCGGTAGACGCGGTGTCAGATTATTGCGGTATCGTGTTGTTCTGTCGTAAGCAGTTTCAGCGAGTAGGACGATGGGAAGTACCTCTTGCATCTTCCGCCAGGCATGTCGGCAAAAGCTGGCCTTTTGATTCCACGCACCAATATGGTGCAGAGAACCAAGAGCATTACAGATTTGCGAAATGACAAGAAGATTCGAGGCGTCAGAGTGAGAAGCAGTGAAAGGAAATAGCCAACAAGACCCAATCCAATCCAGTGGCTGAAGGAATCGTTGCTCTAAAGCAGTGGTTCTCAAGCACCGATGTTTCGCGGACCCCGTATGAATAGGCGGAGATGATGGAGGACCCCGTTTGTGGTGAGGGGAAGGAAAAGTTATTGGTTAAATATGATAATGATTTAATAAATGGATATAACTAAGGGCTAGTGTTAAGTAGGCTTTTTTTATTGACACATACACGTGAAAACTCATTCAAAAATTTGAACGTTTATTCTCAATCTGAAAAAAAGACAACGTTTATTGCCGGGAGGCAGGGCTTCGCGGACCCCTAGGATGACTTCGCGGACCCCAAAAGGTCCGCGGACTCCCATTTGTGAACCACTGCTCTAAAGCATGCTAGAGTAAAATGGGTGTCCGCCTTGACCACCTCCGCCGCTGTGGTACCGCCAAGCTTGCGACAATCCGCAGTGTTCCTCAACTGCGATTTCACCGGGTCGGAGTCAGGCAGCAGACGCACTACTTGGAGATGCATTCCACATGCCACAGGCTCTCCCCTGTTTTTGTGAAGAAGTTTCCGGCGTTTTCGGACACCTTGGGGGATTTGAAAAGTTAGGTACCACGTGGCACTCCAGTACACTTCCGTTCTCGTCGTCTGGAACGCGATAGCTGCCACAAATGACAGCTGCCAAGCGAGAAAAGAACATCCTTGAAAGGGCTAAAAAGAAAGAAAAAAAGAGGGAAAGAAAGAAAAAAAAATTGGCACCATCTGTGTGCTAGGTCTCCACAAGAGAAAAAACAAAAAGAAAGCTCAAATGAATAATTAAAGCGTGGTTATCTTGCAATTATATCCCAGCTGCCTCGAAGTGGCAGAAAATTACATTGTTAATCGTTGCCCCACAGCCATACCTTTTCCCCTTCCCCCTTTTACAACCTTGTCAAGGTTTTAGTGTTGCAACTTGAGTATGCGTTCACAATTCAACCCACAGTTTAGCGTGTTAGCTCGCTCGCTATTGTTTCTGGTTTCACCAGACTTCAGAATATTGTTACTAGGGGTGACTCAGCACGAACGACTGCTTAACAACGGCATGCAACAGCTGGTGGCTCATGGCCGAAAAAGAAAACCCGCGTTGGAAAAAATCAAACCAAAATAAGAAAACAAATCCGACGCAGCTCATGCTCAGGTGAAATACCAGCCAGTGTTGATCTATTTTGCTTTGGCAACATACGGGGGATCTCAACGAAACACGAGACAAGCCTGTACACATATAGACCGACACTCTGTTTACAAACAAGCCCGCCTTTGCCCACACCAGGTGTGGGCACTGCGCGTGCGCAGAAACCGAATTTGGGAGGAATGAAGCGTCTGCGCATGCGCTGTGCCGCCGACAGCGCCACCGCAGCTGCATGACGTCAGGGCCGCGTGTTGGTCTATATATAACAGCATTAATTTCTTAGGTGTCTATTTCGGAGGTTCGGGGGATGAGTATCGGGGCTCTTGTTTTTTTGTTGTTTTTTTTCCCTGCCGAAATAACGATTTTGGAGCTTTCAAATTTTCACTTCGTGTTGAAAAAAAAAATGCAACAAACTAAAACTGCACTTTAAAAAAAAAAAAAAAGAAAACATTTTGCACAGAAGGTAATTGGGCAGGCCTGGAAATGCAGTAGTTATATAATTAAACAATAATTATATATGAAAAAAAAAAAAAAAAAAACTGGTTAAACAGGACAAAGGTTAAAAAGGCCTTCAGAGAAGTTTGTTAACCCAACTTTGCAAAAGAACATTCAGCTGACAACACAGGTTCACATGAGGTCTTATGTAAAAACAAACAGCTCTCGATGACGACCAACCCTGCTGAAATAAGGGCCAGTACCAACGCATTGCCTAGAGCTAGTCATCGAAAAAGCAAATCAATGAAACAAACTGAAAAATCGGTGGACTCCGGCAAGACATCTCATGGTGGCGACAGTCCCGAGTCATAGATCTTTGTAACAGTCATACATACCACGTCTGCGAAGACGCAGCACGCATATGAAACAAAGGGCTTCCCCACAACTGCAACCTGTCACATTGTTGCCCAACATTTACGGAGAATGATTCATTACCTGCTGGGTTACGGCAAGTTTGTGGGCAAAGGAAGACTGCTGCGAAAGCAAATCTACTTCAACATGTGCCGAGCTACGCTGGGCAAAACTGAATCTCTGAAAATCTAGCACGATATACACACTCACATATATAACACTCGAGACGTGTCTCAAGAACTCGAATTCAAAAGTTTGTCTCCTCATAAAGTGTTACTCATTTTTCACTTTATGCGGTGTGCTGAGTAAACACTGTACACTTTAGACAGAGAGGGTTTTGTACGAAGCTGCAAAGGACCATCATTCTAGTCTTCCTCGCATGTGATAATGCGTACAATTATCGGCTCATTGGATACCCACTGTTGCCGAGTTGCGCAAATGTACTGGTGTTGCGAAACGACGGGAATGAATGGTCCGCAGGAAGCTAAAATGCGCAGGACACGGGTGATCATTATGATAATTAATTCACTGGGATGAGTAGAAGCCGTCGGGCCCCACAGTGGCCAAGACGGTATTTCGTCAGAAGGGCTATTTTTAGCCACCCGTCTCCCGAGCATCTAATAATCTTGGTCCACCCCGTATTTATCGAACGGCAGAGAGGGGGAGAGAGAAGGAGAGAAAAGAAAAAGAGAGCAACGCACGGAAACACCAGAATTCGCCGAAAAAGAAAGCAGAACTTTGTTTCCTAAAATAGAAGTCTCGAATCCGTGAAGCCCTCGCTCGCACGGGCGAATTTTTCCCCCCCGAATCGTAAATATCCCAGGACGCATAACAACAGGAAACAACGTTTTTACGTCAAGGTTTGAGCATGTGACCGTTTTTTTTTTTTTTTTTTTCGTTCAATAGAAGCGAAAAAAAAAAAAAAAAAAAAAAAGACAACATTGACGGTTTTTAATGAAGGCCATTTTATCGGTGTACAACAAATGCAAATTAGGCACACAGAAAAAGTCGTGGTCTGATAAGATCTGCGTGGATAGTACGTCGCATTCAATATCGAACGAGAGGTTTTTACGGACCAAAGATCCCCTACACTGCACCTACGCTTCGGAGCACGGGAACAGTGACGTGAGAGCATTACCACGCAAAAAGTAACGAGCGACAAATAAAAGAAACCAAGATTAAGGACAAGAAAAACGAAAGGAAAAAGGAACCGTGAGCGAGTGTACAAGAGAAGTTCACGACAAGCACTCTCTTTGTCGGAAGCACACGATCACGACCAACGCTGTCACGACCCACAAAAACACATCACGCATAACAAAGCGCCACAACAAACTGCCGCACGGAAACAGCTGCTGCCACGATACAGACACCCGATTTGACAGACAGACAACCCGCTACGCCGAGATGACTCAACAACATCCGTCCTTTGTGGCCCCAGAGATAATGCTCACAGTACACAAAGATAACGAACAAAGCCTGCCCTTTTTTGTAGCCGCTTTCCTTTGTTTCTGACGTCGATGATTAAAATGAAAAACGAGGTTAGAGAGGGTTCAAGCGTTGCGGCTAGCGCACGCCGTTTACCTGGTACGGAGGTGGAGGTCCCAGCGGATCAGCTGACGAGTCTCGCGTGCCTTGGTTGTCCCTCAGTAGCGAGATGTCATCGGACGACATCGACTTCAAACAATTTCCCATGTTGGAACGAATGTTCAGGGCCCGACGATCGAAGCAAGGGAAGTCGCTGCCAGCCCGGAGAAGGAAAAAACCATGTCTCCGCCACAATTTTGAGGGACTACGGACGAAGCGGAGACGAGGGGGCTAGGCTTAACGTTGCCCGAGTTGTCATCTTGCGATCGGAGCAATCACGTATCAGCCGCTGATTTGGCACTACCCGTGGCATGGACGGCGTCAGACGAGAAGAGATGAGCGTGCTGGCACATCACGGGTGACGGGAATTTTGTCGGGGAGTCCTTTGGCGAAGCCCGCTGGGGTGCTTTACTGCGCGACCGAGGCCTTTTTCACCTTTGTTGTTGCCGAGTGCCCCTCATTGGAGTGAGCTGGTTTCGCGTTGGGTTTTGTATCGGGACGTGGGAATGAAGCCCAGGCGAGCTGTCAGCCACATGCTCGGCGCCAGTCCGTCACTTTTCAGCCTGCCAACAACGCGTCAGGCACATAACCAGCGTTTACTGCGCACGGGAATAATGGGAACCCACTGCCGCACAGATGATCGAGGGGGGGATCCGAGGATCCTTCGGGACAGCGGGACGCCTAGCGGTTGGTATAAACATTTTCAAACATTTCTTGCGCAAAAAAATATTGTTTATAAAAAAATATGACAACAATAACCATAAAGTAAAATAAATTAAATACCTCGTTACAATTTTAAAATAACCAGTTTAAAACGAAACGCTATTAAATAACAAGTTTCGACATCAAATGTAGCGGATGTAGCAGACGACATAATGAGCGCAAAACAAAACAGACACACTCAGACGTTTCAGCTAAGCTTGCTGATAAATAGTAAGATAAAAATGCTGCGTTTACAATTAATTAAAACCAGATATAGATAATTCGTAATTAAATAAATAACGCGTGTAGCAGACGACGTCCGTTGATTTCTCCGCCATTGCCGCAGCCCTCGTTCCGCTGCGTGACTCGTGTATCGTAATATCCACTACTTCTCTGCCGCAAGGAATCTAAAATGCAGAGAAACAACGCCGGAGCTAGTCGGGGCCGAGCCTCCAGCCTTCGACAAACGACGCTGCCATACGGAAACCGTCCCCGCGCGCCCGTCAATCCACCGTTCCGCGCGCCGTATCAGCCATCCATGCCGCCACCGCCACAACCACCCTTCCAACAACAAAACAGGCAAAACTTCCGAACACCAGCTGAACCAAAACCCCGATCAGGACCTGGCATCCTACAGAAGCCCATACCGCAACTGCAGCGCTCCCAAAAGAGCCCAGCGCCTCAGTTACCGGTGTGGAGACCGACAGCGCAGAGCCATCCTTCCAACTCTCCGGCGCGTCCCGATGTTCCGGCGTTCGGAAACCTAGCCGGTTCTCACTTCGCTCAACAGTCTTCGAGCGCTACTTCGGCTTACAGTAACACCACAGCCCTTCAAGAGGACTCAAACAAACACCGCAAGGACGATCGCATCTTGACCGCGGGACCTGGCACGGTTCGCGGGGTGAAGGGCATCGTGGAAGTATTCGGAGTCCTGGATTCAGCTCCGACTGTCAGCCGACAGGGAATGACCAAGCACTTTACGCTGAGACAGGACAGGTTCAGCGTCAACTGTATTTTCTACCAAATGGACAGACAGCTTGGACCGCTTCAGCGTGGCAGCTGGCTGAGATGCGTTGGTTTCATGAATCGCACGGGACAACTTTCCGTTGTTTGCGCACGACCGGCTACGGGAGAAGAAAAAGCTGTCATCAACGGTCTCCTTGCAATCGCAAACATGTAGTTTCTTTTTTTTTTTTTTTTTTTTTCTTTTATCGCCGTTAATTTGAATTAATTTTTGTTATTTTTACCTTCGGAGTAGGTATCCTTCGTGTAGCGACGCACACTTGCAAAGACGGGTAGAAACGTTATTTCGCTAAAGCCCTTCCATGCAGACAAATAAAAGCATTAACGTGTTCATTATCATCGCTGAATGTATTCACCACGAGCGTAAAAATTCATTAAAAAAAAAAAAACTTCAAAAAATATTTTTTTTGAACTAAGTGGTTAAGACACGTGGTCAAAAAAAAAAAAAAAAAAATTGCGTGAAAAAAAAAAAAAAAGTTACAGCAATATTGACGAAGAGAGATTTATTCGAAATTCTGCGTGCGAAGTCCATGACGCCACTGGTCATTTCGCAATGACCATCTCGGTCGTGAAGGCGAAGCCGTTCCACTTCTCCACGTGCCCGAAATGCCGAGAAAGAAAAGAAGTGGAAAGGAGGTGTCTGCCGACTAAATCGCGTCTCGCGCCGTCAATATTGCTCTAAATATTTTTTTCCCGTAAAAACAATTTTTTATCACCCGTGTCCCAACCACGCTGTTAAAAAAATCAACTTTATTTTTCTTTTTAGGGGCCCTTGGTTGGGCTAGATGGTTATGATTATCTGTAAACTACACACACACGCACACACACACACAAAAAAAAAAAAAAAAAAGGACAGAAAGATGGGTGGCACAGACACTGATCTCTGGGCACAGAGGACGGGGCCCTGTCCTGTGTGCTACTCCGCTTTCTGTCCTCGTCTTTTTGTCGCAATCCACCGCACTGAACTTCATTTAACGTACACAAATCCATGAACACGTCTACACTATAATCGTTTACGTCAACACCAAGAGCGATCGCAGCAAATAAAAGCGTTCCCGCTCGCGTGAAGTACAGATCGTAGAGGTGCCGTTTCGACAACCAAAAATGCATAAATTCTACCACAAAAACACGAATCCACATAAAAGTCTGTACTTTTGACTCCTGAGAGGATATCACATAGCCTCAATCAATCGTTGCATCGACCGTATAACATGATTTATTTTATACAGGTGGAATCCCCTTCCCGAAAAAATAGTACATATTTTGGACCCATACATTTCACGTCATTGTACGTGGTGTTTATTACTAGTTTCTATATCTGTCATGATTTGTGTGTTTAGAAGTGTTGTATGTATTATATATTCCTACGAAACACCATGCAAAACACCATTAGGAAAAACAAATGAAATGAAACGAATGAAACAGATAAATCAGTTAGGTTTCGATATCGGTATAACCGTATAACGATTGCAGCGCCCACAGATTGTAGTGACAGCAACTGGCGAATAAAACAAACACAATGGCGGCGTGATAGCGGTGATGGCGTCCGCGGTAGCTGCCGTGTTTGCTTTTGCTCGCAGTTGAACCATTTCAGTGACAACAAAGTGTCTCAGTTTCGATGTTACGTTGTTCCCTGCCAGTGCATCGTTCCCTCCTTTGGTTTAAATCACTCAGAACAGAAGCTGCTAAGAAGCATGTGATTGCCAAAGCTTCGTAACCAATTTATAGCTGCCAAAATGTTCGCGAATTTCCAGACGACTACGGTGTGGTTTGAAGATCGCTTGTCGCAGCTGATTTTACGTGTAATGGCGAGTGCACGTGTGATGGCTAAATATGGGACCCGGTTTTCTTTTCAGGCGTACGCCGCCCATCCTCCAGATCGAGAGAAAACAAACCGACCGCAAGAATCGGCGTTCCGCAGAACAATTTGATTGCAGTGCTAGCGGTTGCCACTTCATGCAGTGGCTTTTTGTATGTGTGTGTGTCATTAGCGAATGTTATTTCAGTTACTGATGTTAGTAGTCCATGTGCATTCGACGTTTTAGTGTAGCGATGAAGTGTGCAGTCTGTCGTGCAAGCTGCGTGGTGCCCAAATATAGCCATGTTTTGATTCTCCAGAACTAGATCTAGCTTTGCTAAAAATAGGCCAGTGCATTAGCGTATGCCGCGATCGTTAGTGATTCCACCCCTACGGACGTCACGGCGGTCCTGGGTTTTTCAGAATAGATTTTCTTAGTTTCAGAGGCTAAAGAGAAAAAAACTACATTGGCTGAATGTACTTTTGTATCTTTGCTATTCGTGCCTTTTCCCTTTTTATCTATAACCGTCTAGTTCAAACGCCAGCAGCAAGCCTCCCCTGAATGTATCTTTGCACCATCTAGCTTTTTGTGTATAAGGTACGAATGAATGCCCACCCTGAGCCCATGTTCCGCAACTGTACAAACATGCGTCAGTCAGTCTATACTTTGTGGCATTCTAAACATGCATATTCATGTCAGAAGCGAACATATGCATTAGACGGTTGCCACAGCTATCCGAACCCCAACAAAACTGCCCTATACCTGGCAGTGCCCAGTGTGCCCAAACATTGCAATATCCTGGGAACACTACCAGATGTACGAGTACCGATTTTCTGCCAATCTGTGGTGCACACCATTAAAAAGTTTGTATAGGAGAACAAAACGATATACTAGATGTATGCACAAAACCATACAAAAGAACATATCTTGTAGCCTAGTGGACATGATTTGAAACCCTGGTATACCCAGGGTTGAAGTGAAGCTGAACACAATCTCTTCTCACTTTTTGCACTATGCTACATTTCCAATGGAACCAATGATGCCAAATTCTCGTGCATACAAAGTCTAACATATCTACTTTCCAGGTGCAACATGCTCAAGATAAGCTACAGAGTTCAGATGATAAAACATGTAAAACAAGCTGCCAGATGCAGGTCATAAAACATGTAAAACGAGTTCCGTTCCCCTTAATTGGAGGCGTATATCGCCGTCCGATAAAGGCCATATGCTGCTCCGGAGGTCTTTCTGAGCTTGTCGGAAAAAGTCTACAAAGCCTCTTTTTTTCTACGGCAGCCAAGATAGAATGTGCTGAAGTTACCTATACTGGGAGTTCAGCCGACGGGCGGAGCTTGTGGCTCGTTGGAAAAAGCAGACTTTACGATAACACAATATTGCACATTATCGAAAGACGGTCACATTCTCTTCTACGTCAACAAACAAGGTGGTGGAAGAAACGTGCCGTTTCCCAGACCTCCAGCCACGATAGCTATACCCTGCATCAACTGTTTTGTGCTACGTCGTCGAAGCTAGCATAGCTTCCAGTGCCACCAATGCTACTCGAGCAAGCGTGTGCAATCCAAGAGAAAGCCACATGCACACGCTCTCGCATCAACGTTGAGCTGCAGCACTGTGGAAGCTACACTGGCCTCAACGACGTAGCAGAGAATAGTCAATGCCTACTATAGGCCCCAATGGCATCTTTGAAAGAATGCGAAACTCTCCCGGTTATCAAATCAAGTCAAAGTAAAGTTTATTTAGACAACCGTCGAGGAATACAGCTGTCTGGGGGGCCGCCACAAAAGGCATCGACATGCCTGACAAGGCGACAGCCCCCTGCCCTCTCCACGGCCAGACAAAATGAAAGACTTAGCAACTCCGCAATGCACAGGAAAACGCCATCTTTCTGCTGTTTTCGCACATTGACCGTGCCCTGCTCCTCGCAGGTACGGGCGAACTGGTCCTCGACATGGAACCCTTACTGGTGCTGGTGCCGGAAGAGGACCAGTCCCGGTACCAGTGCCCGCACTGCAGCTACAGCTGCACCAACCGGGCCTACCTCCAGCGCCACATGCGGGTGCACACGGGAGAGCGCCCGTACCGGTGCGACGTGTGCCCCAGCGCCTTCAAGGACCGCAGCAACCTGAACCGACACCGCCGGTGCCACACTGGCGAGAAGCCCTTCAAGTGCCCCCACTGCTGGCGCCGCTTCAACCAGACGAGCAGCCTGCGCACCCACGTGCTTGGCCAGCACGGCACTTCGCGCTGGCGCTGAGGGCGCGTTTCTCGCCGGAACTACGCCACCGGGAACGCGTTGCCGACTGGCGCGTTTGGCGTCCCTCCCCACCCACACGTTGAAAGTAACCTCGGAGTGGCAACAAATGACTTTGCGGGAGCTAGCGCAGCATGCCGTCGGATGTTGCGGTCCTGGCGGTTGGTCATAGAAATGCCGGCAAAAAGATGGCAAGAAGTGTCCCGCTGTTGCTTGCCACGATTCCGATGGTGGTGCAGTGGCGGAAGCAGACGCAGCAAACTCCCGTTCTGCTGCAGGAGGCTCTCCGGCTTCACAGTTCATAGAGACTTCTGCAGTTAGGACGCTGCGACAATGTTGACTCCCGCATTCGCTTGTACATTCCGACGGAACTCCTACCGTCTACCGCCGGTACTGCGACACCCAACGGCCCGACACGCCATCTCTTGTGGCGTTGTTTGTTGCCGCTTCTGGACGACCTACGGTGTGTGGACAATGTAGGACGCCAAACTCGCGAGTCGAAGACGCGTTGCGCGCTGTACCGGAATGCTTCGTCAGTTGCGAGACACTAGTCATTGAGTACTTGCAGGGTATACTGGGACTTGCCAAGCTTCTGCTCAGCGCTGTCCAATGGCACAAACAGTTGGCTGGCACCAAAGACAAATCAATGCGAGGGTTTGTTAGAACGGTATCGCGCACGTTTCACACGCTTTGGCGTAGATCCGAGGCTGGAAAGATAGTGGCGGAGACGGCGAAAACTGTTTTCAAGTGCGACAAGTCTTCAACTGTTATGAACTTGTGTTTTAAGGCAAGGCAGATAATATGGTCACAAGTGACCAATTGGCGAGCTCCATTTTGGTCCCCGACGGGTGCTTTGAATGTGGTACTCTGTGTGCACTCGGTGGATCTCCGGTATTGCACATTACAAACGACTGTTACGGTTTGCTTTGTAACTCCAAGAGACTGGCTACAATATTTAGCTATAGAAAATGTTTCATTTTTAATGATTGTCAAACTTAATATGCAGTTAGGCATCCACTAATGGACAATGACCGGTGGCAATTCGTCAGCTGACGACAACCACCTGTGGTTTGCCGATGAAGTTTTGGTTGCTTCGTCGGTACACAACCAGCAGGAGCGACATCTGGCCCAATGGCTAAAAACCAAACTAACTAAAGCTGTTTTTTTTTCTTCACTATTTTACAAATATTCATATTCCTAAAGGGACGAATACATGCGAGAGTATAGAGGAGCTTTAGATAACGGCGGCACGTGGTACAACCGGCTGGTTAGTGAAACTTGTGAAGAGTCGCTGGTAAGTCGACGATCTAAAGGCGTGTAGAAGAGATAGTGTTAACTTTCTCCGCATGGATTAGAAACATAGTTTAAACATCCTCAAACAATTGAATGTAAAAAAAAACAAAAAACGAGAGCATGCCCTTTTTTTTTTCCCCTGGCCTGGGTGGCTTGAAATATGTGGATGTTTAGTGTGGACGATCGCTTTCTCTTGTGTAAAAGTGACATCAGCAAAATCACCCGTTTTAAAGCTTGTGGATGTAAGGTGCGGCTCTATAGTCGAAACCCCATTGTCTGCATCTTGAGAAAATAACCAGAGATGCTGTCATATCCCTGGTTGTTGTGCGGTGGAATGCCTTCTGGAATAGACTGCACTCTGCTAAGCTCCAGGTTGTGCATGCTGCAAACCTCCGGTGATTTTTATGTGGCCTGTGGGCAATCAATGGTGACCTTCAGTGTTCTCGGTGAAGTATCCCGTGCGAAGTCAAACAGTTCTGTATTTTCAAAGATTCTGCCTATATAAAAGGAAGTGGCAAATATTTTGCCCTTTTGTCCGAGCCTATGTCTAAGACCATTTTTGTTTTATTGAGATTTATACCGTGGTTGAAAGGGTACAAAAAAAATCGTGCAAGTGTCTTTCAGTTTACTTTTCTACAAACTGCGCACATATACTGGCACCAACATACCTGTAGGTGTACATAAGTATAGTTTGCATCTCTTGATCCAGACATGCACATTTCAAGCACATTAGTTTTCCTCTAGCTAGTGAATCTTGCAACTAGTATTTTACACAGCACATTAACTATCAACAAAACTTGCTTTTTTATTTTTATCTTGAGGAGACAAGTTTTATGAAGCACCAGCATTGGCAGCAAATGCCTGCCTCGCGCCTAGAAGCTGCCAGTCGCCAAAACACGCCGCAGGTAATGGTACTTGGCAGGTTGGCTGCTGAAAAGGCAAATCTTTTACTGGTTCCTGCAAGACTAGTTTGCATGATGCGAGACTATGCCACACGATGCGACACGTTTTGGATACCGCCGTCAAAGGCAGCCCATCCAACTTGTTGCAGCAATGCTTGCACCTTAGAAAGTATGTCTTCCTTTAGGTTTCCAGGCTCAATGTTCCAGTATGTAGGGAAAACTTGAAAACCACAGCTGTTGGCTCGAGGTTTTCAATGTTCATTCATCACACTTGCTTTCGTCTCGAGAACTATCGTGCAAAAACTTGAGAACCTTGCAGAGCGTTTCTCATTCATTCAATTACGTGGTGAACTAACAGACCCCATTTGTTATTTTATCGAAACATACATGTTTAAAAGGCAAAGAGCATAATTTTTTTCCTCTGGTAACCAGGCCTCGCAAGAACGACCTTGCATAATGTAAAGGCCACACAAAAAACTTACTTTTGTTTCTTGAGGCAACAGTGAATATGAGTAACATAAAAGAACACAAAAACATATATGAGCCTGTTTCAGCACCACTGAACAAAATCTTGCAACATGGCCAATTGCTTTATTTTCCTTTCTTTTCTTGAGGGGAAAGTCGATTTGTGGCACACTCGTCCTATCTAAGCCACCTTCGTGACCCCGAGGGCAAAGCGCCAGCCAACGGATTCCCAGGTGGCGGGTTCGAATCTAGGTTGAAGTGTCCGCAATCCGACGGAGGCTTGCTGCGGAGAAGGAGCCGTGTAACCGAGATTTCCGTCGCACTTGAACAGATTCCGAGGTGGTTAATCCTTAGTCCTTCGTTGCGGCAATGCCAGATGCCCGTCTTCGTCGGTTTGGCACGTAAAACCCCCAAACTCGACTTCTGCGTTCCATCCAAATGCACGAAAAAATAAGGAAATCTTTTTTCGAGCTGGAGCTTGACGGACTTCTTTAACGCCACGATTGCCAACACACCGTTCCGACGACCTTCCTTCCGCAGGGTACGGTCCGTTTGACGCGGGGAGCCGGGCGGCGCCGCACGACGAGCGCGGAGACCCGCAAGAAGACGCTGCCGCCACCCACAGCCCGCTCCGGTGTCCTCAGTGCGGCTACCGGAGCGGCAGCCGGAGCTACATGCGCATCCACGCCCGCGTCCACACGGGGGAGCGCCCGTTCCGGTGCCAGCTGTGCCCCAGCGCCTTCAAAGACCCGAGCAACCTCAAACGCCACCGGCGCTGCCACACCGGAGAGCGCCCTTTCCTCTGCCCGTACTGTCGCCAGGCGTTCAGCCAGAGCGGGAGTCTCCGCACTCACCTTCTCTACAAGCACGGGGAAGCACCCTGAGGGCGTGTTCGCACCCCAGACCTTTACCTCCCGAGGAAACCGAGCATGTCGTAGATGTTGTTCCGTATTTTTGGTAAAAGCCGATAAACCCGGAAAAATCGCCTTGTAGCCAGTTTTATCAAAATCCGGAAAACCGCGAACCGGAGCTGTCCGTTGAATTTAAGGCTGGATCTTATTTTGGAAACCACACTCTTTATACTATTTTTCAAAAAAATTAGTACCGCATTTTCCGGTGTATAAGACGTGTCGTTGTACGAGACACACCCCCCACTTTTCGCTAGTTTCTAAGTAAAAAATAGTATGTAAGACGCACCTGTGTAAGAACGCACCGCCGAAAATATTGGAAAAAAAGTGTGTCTTATACTCTGGAAAATATGGTATTAATCCTTTAAATACTCAGTTCACAGACATGTTTCCAGGCTACTGGAAAAACTTACAACCCAACCCTGTCCCGTTTTCTTCGACACGAGCCCCGGTACACTTGCAGGTTTTGTCCGGCATCGAAAATGGATGCCGAAAAATACAGAATTTGTGGGAAAATATATCCCCCCAAGAAAATTGTCGGGAATATATGAAAACGAAAACAACCTTGATATCACAGAACGTTGGTCATAGAGCTGCAAGAAAAGGCGACAAAGAGGTGGTGGTGCATAAAGTTTGTGCGACGATTCACACGATGGAGTCGCATTATTGTACCGTAATATACCAAGAAAGCGCACACTTTGCTCAAGTGCCCACTACTATTAACATTTCAAAAACTTTGGAATTCTACAAATATTCGTTAAGTGCCCGATTTGACTGAACAAGCACTCGTGTCTAGATTAACCCAGTTTTTAGTAAAAGTTGGGTGGGCGCTCCTCCCGTATTTTACAATAAAAAAGTTGACGGAGTCTTTTCTTTTTTTTTCTCATGAACTACGGTTTGAGTCTTTTGAGGACTCGTCAAACAAAAGATGGAAAAAGAGAGAAAAAAGAAAAGCACTCCACAGCTCACTGCTGCCGACCTTTTCCAAAAGGATTTCGGACAAGATGAATGATCTACGGGCCGGTCGCAGCTCCCCGCAGGCTCTAGAGATTGGCGAACGTCCCTGACGTGTCGCATGTGACTTCAAAACTTGACATCTAATCCCCTCCTCAGACAAAAATCACCAACGTGTAAACACGCCGCGAATGACGCGGCGCTTCCTCGGATGCTGAAATAAGCTGCCTGCCTCCTTTTCTCGAAGCTAGTCTCGCTGGTGATGCAATATTTGAGTTCAGAGCCGTAACAATTGCTCTCGAAGCGTAATTAAAGGGACTGTGAAGCAATTTTCTTTCGCTCCGTCCAATTATAGATGACTTGCACGCGACATCGTTACACCATACGGGTCAACGCTCCAAAGCACGCTCGATGCTCGCGAGATGCCAAAGCGCCGTCGGGAGTGGAGCTTTGCCTGTTCGACCGCAGTGCTTGCAGCTTTCACGCGTTGGAGCACAGCGTACAACCCTCGAGTGACACAAACGAAGCTGCCAGCGAGCTGGCATGAGCTCGAGACGAATCTGAGATCGAGAAACACAAAGAAAGGAAGACTGCTAAAACATAAACGGCGTGCACAGAGTCGAGGACGAATCGGTAACAATTTTGGGGGTAGCACGGCCGGATCCGACGCCGTAAAACGAGCCGGGAAAAATCGGCGCCTGATTGAGGAAAACCCAGAGTGTGTCGCTCTCATTTTTTGCGAGAAGAGAACTGAGCCCCGAAAATTTGCATGGTAATACTGACCTGCTCGGTGCACATTCGGTGAAAGCTCCAAAGTTTTATACGAAGGTGTCGATTTTTCAGACTCGTTTTACGGTGTCGGATTCGCTCCGGGCACCCTACGAGATGAGTGTGAATGTAGAAAGCTGCGTCGAAATGCAGCTCTATCCGAGAGGTATCGTCGCTCCTGGCTACGAGATCTGTAGCTCGTAAACAACAATCAGCAAACATTTTGTATTGTCAAATACCTTACCAGAAAAGAAAAAAAAAATGTTGCAATTAGAAAAATTACTTACCCATTTTCTTTCGACAAAATATAGAAACAAATGTGCACTTCCAGTGCACAAGATTTTTTCTTTTTTCCGATACAAAAATTGAAGTTTAAAAAGTAACTGTGTTATTGAAAGGCAGGCACATGTCGTGCATTTTGAAACTAAAGTAAAACTAAGACATTTTGCACTACGCAGAACTTTATACCAACCAAAGGAAAATTCCTTAGCCAACGAGAAGCACACATTAAATCAAATTTTTGGGAAAAAAAAAAAGAGGAAAACATAATAACCAATCAACATACAAAACAAAACAACATGCATTTGAGTCCGGCAAATCGTGGCAGTTAAACAAACTTCCACACAGGCTTGAAGTTCCTCCAATTGCTTTAGAGCGTCCTTCGTTTTCGCAAAAGATGAGCATCTTGTTAGAATCCTTCCCCAAGTTTGCCTTACGCCCAATCTTTCGTGAGACAAGCCCAATCCTGAAAGCTGCTTCCTGGCAATGCTGCTTGTATTAACCATATTCCTAATCGTGTTGTTCCACTTCATGCCAACGTGTGTCCGTGTATGCAGCAGGATGTCTTTTGTCTTTTCCAATTTCATTCGTAACCTTCTCGTTCCAGTTCATATTTACGGTCAGTGTCCAGTGTTTCGTCGCGTTTCATGATATAGTATCTTCGTAGCTGCACTGTCGCAAACGCCACATCGTCACGTTTGTGTCTGTCTCGTTTGTTGGCACTCGCAGAATTGAGGAGGCGAAAGACGTCTAGAAGTGCGTCGGTGCCAGCAGTTTATTCCCTAGACGCAAGCGGCAGACACATAATTCTTATACGAAAAAAAAAAAAAAAAAAGTTTCAGGGGATGTTACACTGTTAGGTGGAGAAAGGGGCAGCACGACACAGCTGAATAAGTGAAACTGCGTCGTCTCCGACTAACCGTGGAATGACGCGCGGACCAACCGGGGAGGGGAGGGGGGAGGGAGGGAGGGGGCCGAACCGACGACCTCCCTAGTCGCTTTCTTCCGTGTCGTCGTCGTCACTGATGTATCGCTTCACCTGCCGGCTCTTGCGCTTTTTCGTCTTCTCCTGGAAGATGCGACGAAACCAAGGGTCAAACACTGGGCGGTCGACGCCTTGAAACACTCTTTCAGTGATTGCGGCGTGCTGGCTCAAGTTTGGCGTGCGAGCGCTTTTGGCCGGCGGTTGTCGGATTTTTAGGTAAAGAATGATGAAGTTGCCGGAGAGGCGCCATATCCTTGAAGAGGCTCTAGAAGCAATCGGCCTTTGGCATTTGAACTCTACGAGAAAGAGAACAACAACGAGGCTCCAGGTTTAGCATTGCACTTCGTCAACAAGTGAGGCAAAGCAACGTGAGCGGCGACTTTACAAAATTTTCGGAAATGAAATGGCGAAGCAATGACTGATACGAGCTAGTGATACTAACACTACACGGGTCAGAGAGGTTCTAATGACGTGTGCACTCCTCAGGAGAGTCAGAAAACACTCCTAAAATGCAAAACAAAATAAAAAAAGATGCTAATGAAACAACACACATTTGATCCCAGCTGTCCACAGCAGCATCCATCTTTTAGGGAAGCCTTCTAGTGAGATTAGTACATTGAAAACCACCTACACTTAAGTCTATTCTTTTCTTTTTCAACAAAGTTCACACTTTCACAGCTGGTTTCAATGCCACTGAGTACACACTTTAAGATGTAAATTAGTAGTTCACAACAAACTGGTTACACATTTACTGGCCGTCATATTTTGAAAAAGAGCACAACTCTAATACCACAAGTTTAAAAAATTGCTCGAGAAAAACACTGCACCTTAGAAACACATTTTTTCCTTGTTTTTTAGAGGTTTGCTCACCGACTAATTCTAGAACCATTCCAAGCAACGACATAATCATTTTTTTTTTTTTCGAGAGTTCCCCCAGTTGCCCAGAAATTACCTACCAGCCCTGCGTCGCAGTGAACTTTTAGAATGCGGCGTAAAATATAGAAACAAGGACTGTGCACTTGACTGCAGAACGAGGGCATGACAGACGGACTAGCAGTTCTTGTTATCGGTATACCTCATTTCAGCATACCGTGGCAAACGGCAGCCAATATGAGTGTTGAAACAGGGCAGATGAAAATGTACCGTCGAATGCATTCCTGCTAAGAGCCATAATGCGCTTCACGGTCGTTGTTTGCACTCCGCCTTTTGCCAAATTACGCTGAAACGGAGTATAGCTGTTGCCAGCTCTGAGTGAAGATGCAAACACGCGCACTTCGTGTTGCGCAACAATTGTGAGACAGAAGTCGCGGCAGCCATTTCTGTGGCTTCGTGGTAATTGCATACAACGCCTGTCTACACTCCGCGCGACGCTAGTGTAGTTTTCATAGCTATCCAACCCCACGCTGCTAGAGGGAAGGGGGTAAGTGGTCCCCCTTTTGTGCTCGACAACACCGACGCGAATCGAAGGGAAGTGTCAGGGGGGACCAGTCCCCTACACCTCGCAACCCGCTTTGCTTCAGAACTTGAGTGAAACTTTGCTAGACGCACAAATGTCCAACACAAAAGTTAATGGTAAGTATAGCTTGGTTGTGAGGCACGGAAAACACGGCATGCGAGCTCAAACACTGCAAGCACTGTTATTGTAGCTCTCAAAGAGAGGCCTAACCAGTGACTCTCATGCGACAAGCTTTCATTGGGAGGCCCCACAGTCCAAGCTCTCGGGGTGTGGCCTCTCGGAGTGCATTCTCTCACAATGAAAGCTCGCACAATCCAAGCGCTCACAGTCCAAGCCCTTACAGTTCATGCTCTCACCGTGCATGCTCTCAGTGTGAGCTCCCACAGCAAAGAGTCTCAGTGCGAACTCTTACAGTGGGAGCTCCCACAGAGCAAGCGAGAGAGCGGGATTGAAACGAAAAGATCGGCAAAAAGGAGGAAGGGGAGAATGCAGCTGAACGTTCCCTCCCTAGTCGTCCTATTTCTTTTGTTCGGCAACAAATTTAGTGGCACTACCTATTAGGTGGCCCTTGTACACTTCTGGTTCGTGCATATTTCATAATCTTTTAAGCATCATCCTTTCCCGGTAACAATGAATTACATCCGACAGTGCCACAAGCGCCCCTTCCCGAAGACTGCGCGTAGATTCAATCTCGTAAATACCGCGAAACCCGCCGTCTGGTTCAGAACCAGAAGCGTTCAAGGGCCGTCTGCACACCGATGCCGCCACGTGTGGACCCGCGCGAGCGGGGAGGTCTACCTCCGAGCCGTGGCCGTCGGCCGAGGTGCCCTGCCCCTCCTGGTCCGTGTCCTGGTCCTGGTCCGGCCCCAGGGCCAGGTCGCCGTCCTTCTCCAGCCGCTCCCGGGCGCTGGTGAACACCGACTGGAGCACGATGGAGTCCTCGTAGATGAGCGACCCCTCCACGTTGTACGTCTGGGCGTTGATGCACAGCAGCATGAAGTCGTCCTCCAGGTCGTCCAGTGTGCGGTAGCGGTGCTCCCGGATTCGCGCCTGCGCAAGCGCGGGGGTAAAGACGGGAGCAGAACGCGGAAAATTGCGAGCACTCACATCGGCGGGCCAGATGCCGCAACAAGTTGAAGTTGCTCGAATGCTCGTCATCTTTCTAACGTGAAACATTCTTTGGCTAGGTGTTGGAAATTTCGTGAAGCCCAGACAAAAGTGAAGCCTAGATAAAAGAGTGACCACGAGGCATGACACTGATTATCATTGTTATTGGATGGGAAAGGAGAGAGAGGTGCTCGATGCCGATTGGTTAACGGAGAGGTCATGTGACCAGAGGGATAAGCAGGGAGCAGTGATTACATTAACTCTACGGTGCGCACATACGGCCCACTCTTGGTGCCGCCCGCGAACCGCCGATCTTCAGGGGAGAGATTTACTAGCTGCGTTCGATTTACTTGCACCTCCTGCACCGGTGCAGAAAAGTGTAGGGCCTTGTACTTCCGGTCATATCTAAATACACATACTGGAAGTAGACTGCCCTACACTTTTCTGCACCGGTGTGGGAGGTGTAAGTAAATTGAACGCAGCTACTGTAGACCCTTTCCGAAATTCAGTGCCATCTGGTGACTCAAGGAGCAGTTTCAGTTTTGACAAACCACTGGCGGTCACGAAATTGTGTTGCGCCAATGCGTCAATGGCGTACCGCCTACTCGGGGCCGGCTGGGAACCGGTCTCGAGAGAAACACTTACCACCTTGAGCACCTCTCGAGTACACTTTTCCTTTGTTTCCAAATTACGCAAGTCTCTTGGTGCGTACAGGCACCGATGCAGAAAATTAAACACTTGTTTTAGCCCGCATAATTAAACTGCGCATTACGGAAAGCCAAAACTCCGTTAAATTGTGGCGCTAGTGGCAGTGATAGGATGCAAAAGTTTGACAACATGACGTTGCCTAGATCAAAACATAAAGCGGGGAAATCAAATTTCTCCGAGTGTACCATAAAGGATGCCAAAGTGTAGAGTCTGATGTACTTTACTTCGCTTTAAGCACAGAATCTTTCAGTGAGTTTTATATTTCATTCTAGGCACGTTTCACAAGTAACTTACCCCACACCTTTTATGAGACGAGAAGGAGAAACCCTCACCTTAATCTTCTTCAAATCCACCGGTTTCTTAATCACGTCGTAGTAATCCGGAAGTTCTCGCTTCGAAGGGAGCTGCAGGAAGGCTTCGCTCAGCACGCGGCTATCGCTGCAAAGACCAACATATTCGGTGGTTAGGGCAACGTCAACTGACAACAGTGTCAACAGAGAAACGATTTCCCCCCAAAAAAGAACCAGGACTTAAAAAACATAAATTTAATTGCCGACCGATTTTTCTAACTTTGTGGGGACCGACCGAAAAAGCATCCAAATCATAAAGCAATTAGAAAAATCCACAGATTACAAAACTTGGCCTTATTGAGCCTAAGCACACTTAGTACCTTGTCTCATGTTCCTCAAGATAATAATAATAATAAAGCAAAGCAAAAAAAAAAAAAAAAGGAAAACATTTATACCATAGGACACCTAACGGCTGGTTCAGCAGCACTAAAATAGTGCTCTGCCAAACCTATCCAATTCCACTTGAAACATTATGTCAGCAAACAATCCAAGGTAGTTTCCTCTTGGTGGCCGACACTCGTATATTAGGCCGAAAATAGAATTTTCGCGCTGCAAACTTTCTGAAAAACTGGTTGTTAATATATACTATTTCAATCAGGTCAGTCGCAGTTCCTTGTCAATGTCCGGAATGAGGAGCAAGTCCAAATTTGCAGCGTCCGAAAAATCGGTCGGCGACTGTAGGTTTCTGTTCAAGGACTTGCACTAAAAAACCTATTTTAACCCCTTTTAGCCATTTTTACTTTTAGGGAATTTCTGACCCACAACTACTTTACTGTATTTACTCGCATAATGAACGCATCCCCCACAACAAACATCAATATTTTGACTTCTTTTTCCTTGCATAATGAACGCACCTCTAATTTTCAGCTTCGTGAGTCTCGAACTGCGTCCAACTTAGCTAGCCACCAAGCCAATTTTCTTTTGCCGCCAAGCGGCCAGGCCAAGTCAAGTCAAGTCAAGCCAAGCCCAAGCCACACCACGCCACTCTTGTAATGGCTGCGGGTGCATAGTTGCGGAAGTGGTCAACCATGGAACCAAGCAGCGCACACACCTAGCGAAGCTGGGGTCGAGGAGGGAGATTGGTGGCTGAGTGGGCTAGCGCACACCAGCTCGGAGCACATGGAGCGAAAGCTTGCGCTGCAGAACCTAGCGATCCCGGGCTCGATCCCCACCCCTGCCCGTTTCGATCTGGATGAGCATCGTACCGGGGTGCGGTCGTGTATCACTACTGCGTGAACCACGTTAAAGACCTCAGGCTAGCGGTTGTACTGCACTGGCTAGATTTCTCATACAGAGCAAGTGACTTGTCACAACTTTGAAAATGGCTGACCAACTACAAGCTGTATAAATATCCACACAACCCCAATTACTGGGGTAGAGGAATTGTCCAGCGCCGGACATGTTTCGCCCATCGGATGCATTGATGTCAACAAACACGCCATTGTCTGTGGTCTGCTTTTGGACAGAAATCGTGAAAGTGGCTAGGCCCAAGAACGGTCGCGTCTCTCTCCTCGCTGATTGAGCTTCGTAGGGTAGTTTTCCTTTGGCAAAAGGCATGCCGAATCTGCCCTTAAAAAGGTTTGCAATTTATAGCCATGGTTACTATGGCGCGCCCACGAACAGCCCTGGGTACGCATCCATCACTGGGGATGTGCCTCATCACCCCGTCGTGTCATATGGGCACCTATAATGATATTTGCGCAAAGTGTGTAAATGCAAAAATTTTTACCCGCAATAATGAACACACCAACTAGAAATGTGTCAATTTTACGGGGAAAAAAGTGTATTTATTATGCGAGTAAATACGGTAATCGTTGTCTTCAAAGTTATGTTCGTTGCCTTAAAAATCAAGTTTGTAGCCAGAAACAAAATAAAAGCAAAATAAAAAAAAAAAAAAAAAAATCAGTGTTACCATTTAACTTCTCAAGTGACCCCCCTCCCTTTTTTTTTTTTTCAAAAAGTAACCTAAAAGTGCCATACAAATCAAATTTCAAGTTTATTACGCAAAAATCAGCAGCGCGAAAAAGAAATAAAAAAAAAAAATGCGGCAACTAAAACGAGAGCTGCCATCTATAATCAGCGCCGCAAACTACTCGGACGAGCCTAGCTCATCCGTGGAACTGAGGGCTACCGAAAAAACCACTGGATGAGCCGAGCTCGTCCATGGCATTTTTAGCGAAAAAGCGGCCGACGAGCTCAGCTCGTCCAAGGCACTTAAAGGGATACTGAACCGAAATTTGGATTTCGCAAAGTAAGGCTGCAGAAGTGTTGAACCGGATGCTACGAACTTCAAAACATCGCTCGTACATCGATATCTCAAACGGATGGCTGTACTTTTGGAAAAGAAGGGCGCGATCAAGCGAGTTCTTTGACGTAACTGTCCTCCGGGAGAATTTGAGGATGAGGAGAAGCGGCCTTGCTTCTCTCCTCCTCGCTTCGGTTCACCAGCGTGACGGGACGTAGCGAGGACAAGAGGGAATGGGAATAGTGACGTGCCTTGTCTCGTCGGCCTCGTCGGCCGAATTCAATCGCGCACTTCTTTTAAAAAAAATACAGCGATCCGTTAGATACCCACAAACTAAGCCACGAGCGAGCCTGGTTCATTTTAAAACGATGGAGTGCGTGAACCGGGGAAGGCAGGCGAGCAACACTTCTCCTGAACGGTTTGAAGACGGCTCCACATTGACAAGCTAGGCTCGTCCAAAAAGATTAAGGGGTTAAACCATGCCTAATGGCATTGCTTTGTAGAGATAAGATGCATGTGTGAGGTGCATGGGCACATGTATGTGGCTTTACATTGCAGGTGTTTCTCACACTTCTAAACTTCTGGATCCACAGATGCACCACAGAGAAAGGCAGGTCGCAGGTATTGCTCGTGACCAACCTTTTACTGCGCTGCTGTGCTAAGAGGTTGGTCGTAAGTATGGTGTGTCAAAAATATGCGAAAAAGCGAACGTCGACGTCGCCATTGAGCCGAAATCGGGGGCCACTTTTTCGGATGCGCAAAACACGCCAGTCGGATATGACGGCAGGCGGTCCTCACCTGTCTTTGTAGTTGATGACGATGTCGATGAGCTTCTTCATTTGCTTGGTGAGCGACGGGGGGTTGGGCGACGCCTTCTCCACGGGGGGCCGTCCCCTCCGCTTCTTGGCGGGTGGCTCTTCCTCCTGGATGAGCCGCGAGGCCCCGCCCCCCTTCCGCTTCCCGCCACTCCGCTCCACGCTGGCGGACGGGCCGGCCCCGCCTCCGTTGTTGCTCGGGCAGACCGACTTGCGGGACCGCTTCCTCGTCTCCATCTCGTCCAGGTTGCCGTCTTCGACCGCCTGTCGTTCCGGAAACGAGCCGACGTTGTATCGCTCGGAAGGTAAATTGGAGAAGGATGTTTCGAGCGGAGGTGCGCCCACTTGAAGCCCCAAATTCGTGTTGACATTTATGGCGGCGTTCCATCTGACTGTAACTGAAACTAACGATAACCTCGCCGTAATCCCAAATTACAGTAACCTAGCCATAATTTGAAGATACGAAGACCTCGCCATAAGCTGTTGTTTTGGTAACCTCACGTTAGGCTAGTGCTACAATTAGGGGTGTCGCAAACGTTCGTTGAACGGGAGATCCAACTGGTTTGTCATCAAATTTTTGGAAAAATTTGGCGAAAAAATTTGGCGAAAAAATTTGGCGAAGGTTGACTGCCAACTGGTGTTGCCAAACTTCACAGAAAAGTTGCAAATTTGCGAGACAAATTATTTACCCGGTAGGTTCTCCAATTTAGAAAAATGATTACTAATGGTTATGCAATTTATAAATATCAGTGTGGTTTCCGAAAAGGCTTCTCGTGTGATAGGCAACTGCTCGAATTCACTCATGACCTTCATGTTAATATGAACACTAACTCTCAAACCGATGCCGTATTTCTTGATTTCTCTAAAGCATTTGATCGCGTACCTCATTGTCGTTTAATATCTAAACTCTCCTCGCTCAATCTTGATTCTCTAACTCTCTCGTGGATTCGAAACTTTCTCTCTCTCCGTTCTCAGTTTACTGTCAATGGAGATTTTCAATCTGACATTTCTAACGTAACTTCGGGAGTCCCTCAAGGCACCGTCTTAGGGCCTCTTCTCTTTCTTATCTATATTAACGACCTTCCTGATTCGCTGTCCTCTAACATACGTTTGTTTGCAGATGACTGTGTGCTATACCGAAAAATTAATCATCCAAATGACCATCTAATCCTTCAGCGAGATCTCGACAATATTCATAATTGGTGTGACAAATGGTTAATGCCCCTAAACACGTCAAAATGCAAATTACTTAATTTTACTCGCAAAAAAACCCTTTCATCATTCCCCTATTCTCTTGGTAACACGCCTGTTAGCGTTGCTTCTTCTTACAAATATCTGGGAGTTCACCTCACTTCTAACCTCTCATGGATCACCCACGTTAACAACGTAATTGCTAATGCTTCTCGAACCCTCGGATACATTAAGCGTAACCTCAAGGCAGCACATCCTCAACTCCGTAAACTAGCCTACGAAACTTACGTTCGCCGAAAACTTGATTATGCTTCACCAATCTGGAACCCCCATCAAGTCTACTTAACCAAACGTATCGAAGCCGTCCAAAATCGAGCGGCACGTTTTATAACATCGAGTTATTCGTATAACATAAGTGTTTCTACTCTAAAAGATCAGTGTTCTCTCCCTCTACTCGAAAACCGCCGTAAAATTGCTCTTCTGTGCCTCATCCATAAGCTCTACTATCACGATAATAATATACCTTTTCTTGAGCCTCCTAACAGATCTTCCCATCGAACCACTAACAGCAAAAGTTTCAAGCACCTAACCGGTAAAACTAATGCGTTTATTAACTCCGCTGTCCCGCGAGGCATCCGCGATTGGAACGACCTTCCCAACACCATAGTCGACATTAGTGACGCCGGCCTGTTCCGTGAGGCGATTTCTACATTGTTTTCATAGTTGGCTACCTTATTTTTATACTTTATTTTATATTTCTTATTTTGTTTTATTCTTTTAATATTTTTTTTTTTGTTGAGTGCTTACATAGACGATATGTTGGTGATTTTTGACCTCATTTGTTTCTGTGTGGATTTTCCCTGCTATTTTTATAGCGTTTACAAATGTATAATTGATGTGTTTTTTTGTTTGTTTTTTTTTCGCTTCGTGCGGTGTTCTGTATTTTTGATTTTATATTCCTTGCCCCCCCCTTATGTAATGCCCATTGAGCCTTTAAGGGTTGAATAAATGAAATGAAAAAGCGAATATATATCCTTTAAATGATTTAGTCAGCTTGTTACCATCCTTTGCCAGGTGACGTCGGCTTGTCCTCAATTCCCGCGCGTCTGCACACTAGTCAAACCTCAGTTGAACTAAAAATACAAAAGCAAAGAGGGGAAGAAGACGGACGTGCACAGCCTTTTTATTCCTAGCAACTATGCCAACACGCTCGTCAAAATCTTCAGCTGAACTCTGCGCGAGAGGTTCAAGAAATCTGAAACCTGCCGGAACTCGAGCCTCAAAAGATTCATTACACAATATCTTCAACACAAGTTAAAAGTTACCTAAATGACGACCTAGTTGTCACTTAGTTACGGCATCCTAACCGTAAATTGAAGTTACAAGTTTTCTGTAACATAAAAAAAAAACAAAAAAACGAAAAGAATATTTTTTTTTAAACATTCTAATTGGGACACATATGTCAAAAAAAAAAAATTTTTATGCGAAAAAAAAAAAAGAAAAGAAAATTGGAGCAAAATTGATGGTGCAAGGTTTATTTTAGTTACACCTGAATTATGTGCCAAAGTCCATGACGTCACGGAATGGTCATACCCTCTTTCCACCTCAACGTGATGGCCACAGCTTCTCTCCTCCACGCTCCCAAAATGCAGAGAGAAAACAAGTCTAAAGGAGGCGACTACCAAGTAAATTGTGTTTTCACCGTACAAATTCCTATAAAAAATCATTGTTTTTTCTTTTTGCGTAAAATTAATTTCTTGACACACATGTCTCAGACTGTTTAAAAAAACGTTTTTTTTTCCTTTTCAGAGGCCCTTTAAGGCTCGTTAAAAGTCACACGCTCAAGAGTCCTTAGGTCTTGCAATGAGAGAATATGCTAGCACCATCTCTCGGGCAGCTGTGGAACACTTATAGCCCCTTCCCCTGGCAAATAGCGAACGCTCGGCAAGCGCTCGCCGAGCGAATTCTTGTTTCCCTCGCGAGATGCGAGGGAAACAAGAATCCGCTTGTAGATCTGGAGCCAGTGGGGCGCTCGCCGAGCAGCTCCAACCACTCCGTGGAAAAGTGGCGGAGCGCGTCGAGCGGTCCGGAGTAGTTCTCCGCGCAGCCTTTTTCGGAGGAATACGATCTGTAGTCGTCTCTCGCAACGTTTCAGTTTCGTTATCGACATTCCCACGGGGGATTGAAGGAATTTCGCGGCTTTTTTGTTTCAAGTGCTGGTTGGGCTTTCTTGGTGTGCTTGTTTTCGTTCCCCTCGTCATGACCGACTTGCCCGAGCATACTGCGACGATGACATCGTTGCAGTTAATTTCAGGAGGTCTAAGTGACAGCAACGAAGACACCAGCTTAGCTCCAGCTCGAGTGACGACGAGGCAGCCGTTCTCGGCGAAGTGTTTGCCGAGTAGTTTGGCTGGCCAGCGAAGAGGCCCAAGATACCGCATTACGTCGAAGGCGTTGTGCGCGCCGATTCGGATGAAGAGCTAGGTATATGTCGTTTGTTTGTTTTGTGGTCTCTGTAATGTAATTGGAATAATTAGAAGACAACACGCCAAATACTCCGCAGATGGAAGTCGCCTTCGGAGATGACGATCGCTTTACGGCATACGTGTTTGGTATTGCTTAATAGCATCCTACGGCTCGTACAAGTACTTCTAGTTGTCTTCATCGGGCTTATATAACTGTAGGGAAAAATAAATTGTGTCTTAACGTCGGGGTCACCCTTAGTCAAGAAGTAAACCATAAATTTTTTGTCAAGGCATAAAGTTCCGATCAGAACTTCATGCTTTCAGCAAGATAGCAATGGGAACCGCGACTGTTCAAAAGCGAGAGCAGGCGCTCTGGAAGCGGTGGCGCTGGGAGCGTTACGCTCGATTTGCGCCGCAGCGCGTGCCACTGGGATGGACTACATGATTGATCACTCACGGAGGCCGACCGCTCGACGACCCCTAGCGCGGAGCGCTCGGCATTTGTCAGGGGAAGGGGCTATTAATTTCTGCACTATCCTTTTTTTTTTTTCGCGCATAATCTTTTTTGTTTTTATCAAAAAGTTTTTGACAATGTTATAAACGACCATTTCTCAGAGATGGCACGTACATCTGATATCGCAAAAACCTTAAAACCTTCGCCCTAGAGAAATGCAGTTCCAAAATCGCCTCATAGGTGTCACCAGCAGCGTGTTCTTTCGTCCCAAGGGATACTTAAAGGATTTAAGGCACAAGGTCTTAAGGGGTCACGAGACGAGTGTGTGAAGGAGAGAAAAAGGCGTTCTCACCCGCAGCCACTCCTTGTCAGTGAGTGCATCCGAATAGTCGACCTCCTTGCGTTGGCGGTTCCCACGCCCGAAGATCTTGTCCTCCTCTTCTTCGTTGGTGAGGCGTTCCACCTGTGCAAGCACCCAGAACGCGTGCCAGCTCAGTCCCGACGCCCCAGAAAACTCGCGGAAGTCGAGGAGGGATCAACGAGGCTTAGCATTGCTTCGTTTCGGGAGATCTGCACAACGTTCCGGGAGGCACAGAGCACAAGTGTGCGGCTTTGGGAAGTGCTTTCCTTGAGCGAGCGCTCAAGGAAAGCAGTTCCGGTAATGCCGCGTGTCGTCGGGAGTAGGGAGGGGGGCGTAGTCCGGCCGTTAGAGCCTCACAAAACTTGCGAGTACGCGCTCATTTTGTACCACTAAAGCGATACCAGTCATTTATTTTGGTTTCGTTTTCAACCGGAGCAGCCCTTTAAGCGGCTTATCAATACACTAAAAACATAGCGGGACAACCAACATTTTGAAATCTGTTTGAGTTAACCAGAAGTATGGAATATCCAAGTATGATATATCGCGAGCCTACTGTACCACTGTACCGCCCCCTTAAAAAAAAATTGCGTGATCACATAACGTGATGCATTTAGACAGCTGTACTGCTTATTCAATGATATAATGATGTCGAGTGATTAACACTGCGACAATCGTGCGTCATATGGTGATCTGATATTGAAATGAGGTTGCATTGATACATTGTTGATGAATAACTTAAGGTCGTTACACATTTTCTCGCCAAATTTAACGGGGGAACTGAATTGGAGCATAGGTCATATGACGTAATTTTTTCCACTAAATCTAGCGGGGAACCTGAATATTTCTGAGGTCAGGTGATAACCGGTTATGTGACATTAGTTTTCCCGCCGAATATAGCGGGGAAACTGACGGTGTTCAAGTTCACGCTGTCATGAAATCGGGGAATGAGCCACTAACAATTTTCACTAAAGAAAACTGAGCAGTCCCAAGTTAATCCACAACAGACTCACAGCGATAGCTGGGACACATCACGGCGAATTCGTTGGGCAGCGGCGTCGTATTCTCGCATTTTTAACAAAAGCGTTCGGAATAAAATAGCCAACTGACTATTTTGTTTCGAAAGCTTTTGTTACCTTTTTCTTCCACAGCGTGTGAAAGCACGTCTCTTGGCACAAACTTTTGGCACTGACAGCGCTAAGATGGCATTTTGTTATTAAGCATATGCTTTCCCAGAGAGTACATGCAGTGGGCATCGGGCACTCCAAAAACCTCAAGTATAGAGCAGGTTGTTAATGCTGTGGTGTAGCTAAGTGGTAACGCCCTACAACGCCCAGTACAACATCAACAAAGACAACTACTACAACTACACCATCAACGATGCACATTGTTTCCAGTGCTGGAAGAGCCCATGAAAGCTATCGCCGTAAGAAATGCCCGCTCGGGAGTTGCGCGCCCCCTTTGACGAGGAAGAGGCGGGACAGGAATGAGAGCCCACCTCGGCGTCGTCCTTGAGCAGCCACTTGGGGAGTTCGTCCTCCTCCATGAGCCTGGGCTTGCGCTTGATGCACCGGGCCTCGTCCCTCCTCCGGTCAATGTCCATTTTCTGGACGAGAAAACGCGCTCCAATTAACGGCGAGATCGGGCGGCCGAGAAAAAGGCTGCCACTTGGCACCTCGGAAACACCGCAGGTTCGTGGTGCCACCTTTGGTCCGAGCAAATGCGACCTGCGCTTAGAGGGATGGCTACACGGTGGTGGGCCGGTGTTCTGCTCAAAACTGGAGCCGTACGATTTTCTAGACCTGGCTCGCGCGAGACGAGCAGGACGCTGCGAAAAAGCGCCGCGGAAGACCGTTAAATGGACGTTCAGTTTGTCGGACTTGCATTCTGCTAAATTTGACGTTACAGAAAGGCTTGGCGGGCAACGTAATGCCTGCCAACATTAGCGGACATTGGTCATGCGGTGCTGCACGTGCGACTTCATCAGTGAAATGGTGGACGAATGAAACCAGCCCGACACGGCAGCACGACACCATCACAGGACTTCGCGCCGTCGCGTAAAGCTGCGTCACGCAATGCGACGTGACCCACTGCGGCACCGAGAGCGTGACAGTCGTGTGTCCTTCCGCCGTACACTTTGCGTCCCTCGACTTTGTTTGCAGGATCAAGATGCACCGCTTCCTCACCTGAAAGAGCTCCAGTTCTTCTTCGTTCCTAGCAATCATCTCGTTGATGGTCTCGTCGTCCGGGACTTCGTTCTCCTCCTGCACAACCACGAATCAAAGCGAGCATGATGCGCGATGACACAATGGCACGAGGTTGGCACGTGCCACAACGTGTGCGAAGTTAAACATTTACGGACTTAAGGTCTGCCACGTCGGGTGTAGCGAACTACGGTTCAATGCCCGGAGTGCATCTCCAACCGGTGTGCTCGTCGTCCCATTCTGCAAATACATCGAAAGCTCTCCCAAACCGTCGACAAACTACATCGTAGGAGCCGACATGCCACGCCACCGTACATCGCCGTCCTAGCAGCCGATCGCAGAAACGCCGGCGACAAAGGTGAGCAGACGAAACAGTTGCCGCCCCGGCATCCCATCCCGCGTCTGCTTCGATTTCTGTCGACCATCCGGCAGGGGAGCAACCCGCGACAAAACAGGCATCCGCTGCAACCACGCAACGCTTTTGCGACGCGGTCGGGAGGAAATCGAGGGACCTTTTGAGGACGCGGTAAGCGCACATTTATGAGACGTGCCCCCAGGTGCCGTCCTAAAGAGGGAAGAGAGCGGACCACTCGCCTCCTCGTCGTTCTCGTCCTGCGTGAGGATGGCCTGGAGGAACTGTTTGCGCTCCGAGCCCGTCGACTTCTGGTCGAACATGCCCGCCTGGATCACTTTCTCGTCGAGGTTCAGCTTGTACTTGGCTGCGGCCAGGATGCGTTCCTCCACTGAATTGACCGTGACGAGGCGCAGCACACGCACCTCATTCTTTTGGCCAATCCGGTGGGCACGGTCCTGGGCTTGCAGGTCCTGAAAGCGGACAGTCGGAGCCCGTCATGAAAGCTGCCTCTGATCCAATCACCTACCGTAAAATCCCGAGCAAGTGCCCACTCTAAATTCAGGGATAATCTAATAAAAATTGGGGACAGGCGCGCCGCCCCCCCCCCCCCCCCCCCCCTTCTTTGGTCAACAATACGTAAAGACATGTCTTTTGTGTATCTTCATACAAAATTGAGGGGTAGGAGTTTATTGTGGAATGGGCGGATGCTCGATATTTTACGGTAAGTGATGGGCAAGTAGTTATCAGTCACTTGTATGCCAATCACCGAATATAATGAAGTGATCAGTCAATTGCACGAGTGATTAGCAGGTTCACTGACCACTGGGTGTCAATACCCTAACACGATTGACTAGTGGTTACTAATCCCTGAGGTGGCAACCACCTAAAAAATTAGCAATTCGTTGCCGATCACTTAGGTGCCAACCGCCAATGACTGCAGGCAGCCAATCACACACACACAATTGGCTACTAGCAGCCACGGCGATGAAACCATATATTACCGGAACAACGTGCGAAAGACTATTGAAAATATGATATGACTCGCAGGTAAGTGATAACGAAGTGGATGCCCGTCGTTCGTGTGCCAATAACCTAACATGACTGGCAAGTCCTAGTCGCGAATCGCCAATGTGACAATCCCGATATAATCAGAAGTAGCCGCCCATCACTCGAACGACTGGCTACTTGCAACTAAACCGATGAAACTATAAATAAAAGGATGGCGCCGGCGAGCTCAACAGGCAGCCTGCATGCACACCTGGTGGGGGTTCCAGTCCGAGTCAAAGATGATGACAGTGTCGGCGGCTTGCAGGTTGAGCCCCAGGCCCCCAGCCCGGGTGCTCAGCAGGAAGATGAAGTAGGGCGAATCCTTGGCGTTGAACATCTCCAGCAGCTGACCACGGTCCTCCGCTTTGGTTGTACCGTCGAGGCGTAGATACCGGTACCCTGCAACACCCGCCCGGTGTTAGGAGCACTCAACCGCGGAGGCACGTACAAGCACATGTGCCCATGATTTCGGCGACCATCATTCATTAATACATCTATCAGTCTAACAAGTCCTAAGTGATGCCGCTACGGCATAATCTACTACTGTGAAGATGCTGAAGGTCGACATCAGACCACACATGCAACGTATTACGTGCTATTGGGCAAGTGGCATAATTATGCGGGCTCCATTTCGACATTGAGCGTCTGAGCACTTATCACACTCAACTTATTCCTGCTTTTTTTTTCGACTTCTACTCCTTTCAAAGACTTCAACTCTTTACTTACAAAGTGGATTACATTTATGTTAATGGTATCACATGACCTAGGAGCAAACACTTAGTTTTGAAACTAAAACAAGTATGCAGGCAAGCTAGTTCAATCCAGACATAGTAAACCAGGAGCGAGGAAAATGGGATGGATAGCACAAAGCTCCAAACACAGCAAATACACAGCGCTCTGTTTGGAGCTCTGTGTTGTTTGTCCCATTTTCCCCTGCTCCTGGGTTACTGTGTAAGACTTAAGGGGAGACTTCGAAGATTGGCAGGCACTTATTATCTTGTACAGAAAGATTTCTGTGAAATCTGTCTTTCTTATCTTGAAATATTGTCTTGGAAACAAAAAAAAAATGGGTCTGTGGATGTTGTTATTATTTCTGAGTGAACTGCACTACATTTTGCTATTTTATGGAAGCCATATGTTCCACTTGTACATATCACATATCCAATCTTCACAATTTTTTTTCTCTGGTAGGTGTATGTGTGATGCATGCATTAAGGGGTATGAGTATATGAAATATGGTATCACACTTTTTCTAGGTACGTTGGGCATTTTGCAATACATCATTTGAAACTGGGAAATTTGTCCTAAAAAGCCTGTAAATCATCCAGAGTTTTTATTTAGGGCTCATTAGATTCCGGAGATCTTTAGTTTGCTGATACATGTTTATTTTCTGATTTTAGTATTTCGAGTTGTCTTAATTGTTCCTATAATCTTTGCAAATGACATCTCCAATAATAACAAAACAAATTAGGTTACATCGGAACCAAGTTCATACTTGTAGTCGGATTGTAACAGGGGATAAGCTATGTAAATTTCATTTGTATTGAGTCACAAGTTATATGAAAAAGCTCTAGAGGCAGTGCTGCCCCTTAATTTTTAACCGCGAGAAAAAAAAAGAAAATCTAAAATCTAAGCAGTAAAGATTACACAACAAGCTGATAACTGGAAATGCTGGGCATTCCATTGACTTGCCAAGTCTACGAAAATATGGGAGCAAAATAACAGATTAGATCGCGGTAATAGTTTGTAAAATTTTTTCTCTTGCAGATAATTTTCTTTGCTTTTTCATATACATGCAATTTGCCCGGAGGGGGAAAAAGAAAAGTGGTTAGAAAATAGATGGGAGACAAAGAAAAAAGAAAATAGATGCAATGACACAGCAGAACTTTAAGACAATAGCAGGAGGGTCAAACAACAAACACAACAAAGTTTTGCAGACGCTGGTAGACACAGAACACTATCTGAACTTGGTACTGACAGCAGCAAAAGCTGCAAACCACACAAATGAACATAGCAATCAAGAATGAACACATTGTACATATGGTACTGTTCTTAGACTCCACTGCTGCCTAAGTTAAAAGGGCACTAAGACAAGAGATTTGAAACATTTTCTTTAATTAGAGTGCCGTTTCACAGCACAAAATAATACTGAGAAACCAACCTATCAAGAAAATACAACAATTACTCCGACAAAAGTGGAAGTGGCCACCAATCTAAGTGAAATCTATGTATATCTTACTGGCTTTCGATGACTTTCAAGTTTACGAAAACTAGCCTTGAAAGCTTAAAAAGAGCAGGGCACGTTCACGCTCTCCACTTTGGGATTGGTCCTTCCACGTTTTTATTGGCTAATGCTGCAAACTGATCAGCTGCGAAGAATAACAAGATGCTTGGCATCTTCTTCAGTCGTCCGCAACTATAAATGGCGGGCGTTCGCACGACAGTGGCATAACCTAACAACAGTTTCACGTCGGAAAGCACCGACCCCACAACACTTTTGGAGGTGCCGTATACTGCACTCAAGCTGTACAATACACTCATACTTGTCTTAGTGCCCTTCCGAAGGCCTGAAATGGAGCGCCACGGTTTCAAGGGGAAAAAAAAGCGGTAGAAACGAGAAGTCAAAACGAAATATCTGTGTTTCCGGCGGTGCTCCAATCGGCCACCCAAACAACAGGGACGGCAACCAGCGTCGGCAAACGGGAACGTGGCTCGGTGGCGAGGGGGGGAAGGGGGGAACGAGGGAGGGAGCAGGTCGAGGGTCAGTTACCACCTCTGTAGGTTAGGTAGTCTTCCATGATGGTCATCAGGGTGGTCATCTGGCAGAAGAGCAGCACCCTGTGCCCCTTGCAGCGGAGCTTGGGAAGAATCCGGTCCAGCAGTTCAAACTTGCCGGACACTCGGTACAGGTCGGGTCTGCGTGGGACCAACCGAAACCCATCCAATTAGCAAACTCCACAATATGGTCTCCAGAGGTACGGCGAAAGCAACTGCGGTCGCGGACAGTAAGGCGCCTGGACAAGTCCTCGACAGGTGCGTTTACCGCGTGCTGAAAGGAGAGGTTCGGGACCACTTTCGACGAATGGGCGGAACGGGACGCCGCACGCACCAGTTGGGGATGCGTTCTGGGCAGCGTACTTGAGCGTGCAAGGAAGAAGCCCGCCACGCCGACATGCGCCAAGCAAAGCGTCGCTCGCTCACCCCTGGACTACGCCCCCGCTGCAACCAATGTGCTCAGCGTAGGCCTCCTCAATGTGCTGGAACATGAACGGGTGGTTGCAGATCTTCCGCAGTTGCATGATGGTGTTCATCAGCGTCTTGGTTCCACCCTTACCCTGCGCGAGATAAAAAAAAAAAAGAATTGAACATTTGCATTTAGTCGGCTTAGGTTAGTCTGTCTTCGAGGTACAGCGACGCTGGTTTACGCCGTAGAGGAAAAATTTAGCTGGTGTAGCACCATTGCTGCCTGGGCTCTTTAGGGCCGGTTTATGCGCTTGCGATTGCTTACGACTAGGAGCCTTAAAACTCCTTAAAATCTCTTATGACCGGAGAGCGCAGTGGTGCCATCCATCGTAACGACCGTGCAACGCTCGGCACTTCCGTATATTTCCATTTTCTTCGCACGCACGCCCATGTCTGCCTTTTCCGAGACCTTCTGCTGATTAATTTGCCGTCTCCCGAGTTCGCGAGAAGACGTGACGGATGGGATTTTCCACCCTGTTGAAGGCTCGCTTTTGTGCGTCGGCCTTTAATCGTGACAAACCGGAGGGACCCCTCCCCACCCCTGGCAGCGACGTCGGCGACCGTTGCGGTGACCTTGCCGCCGAGTATGTTCCTTCTGCAACACGTATTTTGCACCACCAAATTTCTTTTTCTCGGCAAGGACGAGCAAAAACAACGCCAGCGTGACGGAGTGACGTCGCGCGCACTTCGGCTAAATGTCCGAGCATGCGTGGCCACGTCTGCCTGCCTTACTTCCTTCTTTCTGCTCGCTCATTTCGCAGCACTCAGGAAAGACGAAACTGACGAGATTTTCTGCCTCACCGAGGATCCGAGTTTGAGCGTCGGCCTTTCGTGGCGACAAATTCGAGAGACCCCCTCCCCCGTCGGCGTAGGAAAGAGCGCTCACCTTTTTGTCTTTTTCGGATCCGTCTGTCAGAAGAACGCCCTTCGTCTGCATGTGACGATAGAGCAGCCGCTGCAGAGCCGACATGTCACACTTCACCACGTACTCCACCTGCGGTGTGGACGAGGGAGGCGCCGGCATAAAGCGCACGTCCACTACAGCTCGAAATCACACGAGAGACCGTCGTAGAGAGACAACAGCTATTGCTCTACCCTCGTAAAGAAGGGTACTAATTACCCAGTCAGTGGCATGCATGTGGCACTGCAAACAACAGCATGCTGAGGGCAATGAAACACCATAAAGCCTTTTATTTTTGCTAAATGGGCAGAGGGATTATATTCACCAGCATTAAATTTCACCGACCAAAAAGGCTGGAATTCAGCTCTTTATACAAAACAAAATATTTGCGTGCCCTCCACGACCATAAACGCAAAGGAACCAAAGACACAATTAACGACAGAGGGCAAGTACCTCCTCCAAATACATCTCAAGGTATTTCAAAGGTAAACATCACACTGGTGTATTTGCTATTGCATGCTTCAGGCAAGTTGTTTATAGAAGGCACCAGTGGTACTACAGTCCAAACCCCCAAAAACTGGCAATACCAATTCCCTTTCAAATCAGCAGATGGAAAAAGTGCCAGATGCCGCTATAAAACAAAGTTACCGAGCAGACTCGTCTTTCTTAGAATCTTGCGCTGGATGCCGCAGATAACTTTGTCCCAGACAACAACTCTGAAGTGGTCAGAGGAGCAATCCATGACCCCAGAAAAAGTCATTTTCATCGTAGACACTCAAACTACGGTCGCGGACAGCATGGGAACGGCAGGGGGGTCTTCCAGTCGTCCCGTCCTTCGACAATGCGTGGGCGTTTCGTGAGCTTCGAGCGACCAGGCGGAGTCAAAGCCTCGCAAAAGCCAACGTGCGTTCTGGACACCCGGCATCTGATAGAGACGTCGTTCTCGTCCGACCAGTGACCAGAGTCACGAGTGACAAATCCTTTCGGTCCCACGACCTTCGATCCCCTTCGTCCTTCCATAGAGGAGGGTGAGCGATGCGCTCACCTTTTCGGGGAGTTGCGACTCCACTTCCTTCTTGAGACGGCGGAGCAGGAACGGTCGGAGCACCTTGTGCAGACGACGGATGATGAGGATCGTCTCCTCCTCGTTCAGCTCCACCTGAAACCCGTGCGTCAATCAACCGGTCGGTCAGTTAAGAGACCAATCAATTATTCGGTACATAGAACTGAATCAATTAATACACGCACCATCAATTTAATTACGGTGAACTACCCAATTAGTTGATTTGGATAATCAATAGATTGCTTGAGCAACCAAACAAGATTGCCTAAACAACCGAACAATAGACCAATCAATCAATTAATTTCCATCATGATTTCTGTCATAGAGTGCAATGCACTTATAACGATAATGAGAAAGCATGGAACTGATTATTGTTGTATCTAGAGTAGAAAATGAGCGCTTCTAGTCTAGAAACTGATCGTTATAAGCAGTACATTGTTACATGTGGTTTTGTTACAAGGGGATTGCACTGTATTCACATTTTATTGGCAGGACAACTATTAAATTACCCTCCACATGTCTTTTGCTGTATTCATTTGACTCGCTGACAAATCATTGAGTCAATAAACCAAAACATAGACTGACCAACGAAATACTTTTCTGTGTGGTTTCCACTGAACCAAATAATATACTGGTTTACAAGTGAAATGACGTCGGGTCAAACCAAGGAATCGACTGATTATTACTAGGCAACCAAGCAATCTATCATTTCTCTGCGTGCTTTATGGCAACTGGATGTTCGAAAGCACTCCTTACTTGAGGTCATCACATCTAAAGACTGTCCTAAGCAAAGCTTCCACTGTAAAACGAGCTGGAAAAATTGGCACTTGCACATAGAAAGTTCAAACTTTCACCGAATGTACACTGAGAAGGTCAGTTTTGCCGTGTAAAATGTCCAGGTGCAGTTCTCTTCCTGCAAAAAATTATAGCGAAAAACTTGACAAACTCAAAGTTGGGTGCGTTTGCAGATGACCGAGCTAGCGACGCTATTTACTTGCGGCGCCATCTCCCGACAGGTGCAGTGAGCAGACAATGGAGTGCGTCGTCCGCTCGCTGCGCCCGTCGGGAGACGGCACCACAAGTAAATAGCTTCGCTAGTTCAATCGTCCGCAAATATGCCCAACTTTGAGTTTGGCAAGTTTTTCGCTCTCAGATTTTACGGGAAGAGAACTACACCTTTAAATTTCACACGGTAAAACTGACCAGCTCGGTGCATAACCGGCTAAAAATTTATCTTTCCATCTGCTAGCACCAATTTTTCCCGCTCATTTTATGGCAGAAGGTTTGCTTGGGAAACCCTACAGTGTGCCTAGATTCGAGTATTTTCAACTGTCCAATCAGGACCAAGTTTGCAAAACGAGTTGTGAGGAGGAAAAGGAGAAAACGACTCAAATTGTGAGAGTTCTCCGCAATATGAGTCGCATCTCCCCTCCAAAAATCTAGGACCTCTGGTCGCACCACCGGCCACGTGGTGCCCTCACCTTCTCGCCGGTGGTAGCGAAGGGCGCATTGAACCACTGCTCAAAGGTGTTGCAGCTCTTGAAGATGCTTGGGAGCAGGAAGTTGAGCAGAGCCCAGAGCTCGGGAAGCTTGTTCTGCGTGGCAAGAACAAATATCGGGTTTGATCATTGAAGGGGTCACCAACCAGATGTACAAAACTATGTGCCCCAAGTGAGTAGGCTTCATTATTCTCAGTTTCAAAGCATCAGTCGTTTTGTATGTGTTTAGTTTTCTTCATTTGCTACCTTGGTGCCACCGTAACCAACCGTCCCCCCCCAACCCCTGCTGGCGGTATTCCACATCACTTTGGGTGATTCTGAACGGGTCCCCAAAACATTGGTTGAGAACTGCTGTGCTATGTTTTAGAGCGCAGCTCTTAGGCGCCCGTTTCCGTGTTTCGCGGCGTCGGCGTAACCGCGCCAAATTTAGCGGGAAAACTGACATCGTGTAACCTAAACGCCAATTCAATTCTCCGCTGAATTTAGCGGGGAAATTCAGTTTCTTCACTAAATTTGAGGGACAAATTTAGTTTCTCTGCTAGATTTAGCGGAAAAATTGACGTCACGTGCAACCAACACCAGTTCCATTCCTCGCTAACTGTGCGGCCGCTTTTGCTCCTCTTGGCGCAGAGGAACATGGCGCAACACGATATGGATGCCTGAGGTATCATGGGTGGCTGCCAACTTGGCAGTAGCGAAAGGTGGCCATCCACGCCAGTACACTGCAGACAACTAAAGGAGCGGAAGAACGAAGTTCATGCCTTCACATTCACAACTCATAAGAGGTGCTTAGGTATCCTCAAAACTTTTTATTTCAATTATAAATCAAACCTTTTTTTTTTTTTTTTCATAAATCTTGTCAAAATTTAAGGGTCAACCTACAATTGTGACTAAAGGATTTCAACCTACATTTGTGACCAAATTTCGCGATCCTACCGAGCGCATGGAGCTATCGAGTCACTGAGTCGGCGCCGTCGTAGCGCTGCGCCGGTTCTTGTTTCGGAAAACTTTTGGTGCACGAAAACAACCGAAACAGCAACTCCCAGTGGGCCGCCACTCGCGCGCATTCCTTCGGTGTCGGGTTTTGCGCTCGTCTGTGGCTGGCGCCGCTCATGTGTGCCCCTCACGACACCAGGGGGGAGGGGGAGGGAGAGGGACGTGATGCGCCATGCACCTTGCGACCTCCCCTCCACCCCTCTCCCCCTCGCGAACGTGCAGCAAAACAAAATACAGAGGTCAGTTTCGCTCCTTGTTGCTCAAGGTGGCTCGCAACGTTGCTCGCGCCTTTGTAATTGGTCTTTTTCATCGCTTCGCCTTCTTTCGTAAGTCTGGAATCACACTGTGATTTAACTGAGAGCGCTGTAAATAAAAACTTATTTCTTTCTTTAACCCAGACTTTCCACTTTTATTTAAAAAAAAAAAAAAAAAGACCAATATTTGAATTTTTTTTTATTTTAATTCTTGGCAAGTGTAATATGAAGGCTCCTCAAATTGCCGAGCTCATGCCAAGTTAGGCATTTTTTCTGGCGTGCTACCAGGGTCAGGCCAAGAATACCTCAGCACCAGCTTACCGTCGCACTCAAAACGAGCAAGGACTCACTCCGACAAAGAGCGTCGGTGCAGTTACCCACCTGCAGTGGCGTTCCCGTGAGAAGCAGCCTGTGGGGGGCGCTGTAGTGAGTGTTCAGGATCTGAGTCAGCTTGCAGTGGTGATTCTTCATGCGGTGACCCTCGTCAATGATCATGTACTTCCACCGAATCTGGATGGATGGACAAATGAAGGTTAACGGCTGCGCCCCTTACAACGGGAGGTAACTAGTGCCACCTAGCTTCGAAAACTAAACCAAAACATACAATTCTTCCTTCGCTGCAAACGGGCAGCGGAGGTCGTCGTCATGTGTACGATCTCACTACACACACCGCATCATATTACCACCAACAGGAGCGGTGTCATGGGGCTCTTGGTACGGCAACCAGTTTTTCGGCGGCATTGCGGCTTTACATAGCCAAATAGATATCATTCCTATTATAAAGTTATCCGTATTGCATAAGTGATATGCTAGTTGGCTCACAGAACTTCAAAGCTGCCTAATTCTAATTTTTGGTCAGTTCAAAAGATGGATGCTATTCTGGCAATTGTACGACAAAGCTGTGCAAGAAATAATGGTGAAATTCAATGGCTGACCTCCCAGCCCTCTTTCATTCCAAAGATTTTATTTCCTTCTGGGCTCCAGAAATGCGGAAACTCCAGGGGCACGAAAGGACCCCACGACCATCTCGACAGTGCCAAGCGTGTGACCGTACCCACTTCTATCTATTGCTGTGGCCGTGCTTTAATGGCACGGGGTGCACATTGTCATCCATTCTTTTTTCATAGGGAAGAGAGCAAATTACACCGCACGCCTTTCTCAACTAACTAACATCCGATAGGAAAATTTTAAAATGTTGCCGAAAGTGAGCCGAAATCCGAGGATCTACACACGGCACTGAAATATTAAGGCGGACTAGTTGGATGAGCAACATTAACAATGAAGAGTGCAAAGGAGAGAAAAGCACATGCACACATAACCGAGACTAGCACTAGTCCCACCCCCTTGTTCACGTCCCTGTCGGTCCTTTGCGCTATTTGTTCTCCATAATGCTGCACACACACTGCACAAAATCACCACCACCACTAAGATATTGGCAAAGGCGCAAAGGTTACATTGTCAAGTGACGTCGCAGATTAAGACACTTCTGGCTAAACTTGGCGGTGAGATTGCAAGTCACGTAACACTAGCTTCGTTCAATTTTCCCGCACCGGTGCACAAAAGTGTGGGGCAGTGCACCTCCGCTATGTGTGTTCAGATATGGTCAGAAGGGGGTCCCGCTCACCTTGGCCAGCACGGCCTTGTCCTTGATGACGTACTCGTAGGTGGTGATGAGCACGTTAAACTTGCTACTGCGCAGCATCTGAGACATCTGGCGTCGCAAGTTGGGCGAGCCCTTGTAGGCTACCTTCACCACGGACGGGGCCCATCGGTCAAACTCCAGCATCCAGTTCGACAGGGTCCTGCCGGAACGCACATATACGCTCTCAGGCTCGACGCCTCGCGACACGCCAGAGTCTGTCGGAGCGACGTCTGCACGAGGGAGCAGTCGGCAGACAGCGCAAGCAAGTTGCCCGGAGCACGCAACCAACCGGCGTTTTTTCACGACGTGCTAAAAAGTCGTCCCTCGATTTCCACCCAACAACGTCTCAAAAGCGTCGCCCCCTGCCGGCATTGCAGAAGTGGCGGCGGGGGTGGCAGACGCCTGGTCCGCCTCAGGTAGTAGCTCTCCCGCTAGACGGTCCGTGGAAGCTTTGACTGCTGAGAGTCGGAATGCCGCGACGACAATGACGCTCGCATTCTCTCGTGCTTTCCACCGGAACTTGTGTGACCGAGCGCCATGATTGCGACGTCCGACGGGAGACACTCCAGAATTTGCGACGTCATTCAATGACACCTTGGGACCACTTTCGACGCGTGAGCAGAACGGGGATGCTAAATGCGCCTGTTGGAAACGCATTTCGGGCACCGAAGTGCAAGTTCCTCCCAGGCGCCGATTTTCGCGCGGCCGAGGTACGTCGGTGCAAAAATTCCGCAGCTTCTACTTTCGACAGCAGGGCGGACGAATTCAGTGGTTTCTGCACCGGGCACAATAGCTTACCGCAATATCCCGAGAGAGATGGCCCACCTAAAATCGGTAGCAAATCCGATAAAAAATAAGGGGGGCTAACTTTCGGTGTGCCATAAAAGAAAGCCGAAAAAATGCTACCGTAGAATACCGTGCATCTGCCCATACCACACTAAGCGCCTGAAACCAAATTTGTAAGATCTGGGAAAATATGCACAGTACATTGATATGTAAAACTGATGACCGGACAAGCACCCATCCCCCATTTTTTCACGATTATCTCTAAATTTTGAGTGGGCGCTTGCCTGGTATTTTACGGTAGGTTTAGATTTTGTGACCTTCAGAACTTGTGATTGTGGGAAGGGGAAATCAACCAAAGATGACTGTCTTTCCGAGTCGGCAATGTTCGCTAGTCTCCCGCTCTGGTTAGGTAACGCCGTTTTTTCCGAGGTCACCATTGGCCGGGGCCCCGCAATTACTAGAAGTGGGCTATCTTTCGATGAATAGCAAATGATGCCAAAAATAGAGAGCAGGCCATCTTTTGACAGTAAAGCATCTCTCGGGATATTACGGTATAATGATGAAGCATTGTTAAAAGCAAACTGATCCACCACTTAACCGAAAGTTGTTTGTGCCGCTCGAGCACTGTCTCTGCCGCAAAGCCGACGCATTTGGGCGCGCTGAAACTGCACCAAGGTGTACCGAGAGCACACCAGAGTAGCTATCATATTTACACAAATCTAGGCCAACTTTCTCACGAATAAAGCAAATTAATCTACATTATTGCAGATTAATGCCTAGAACTGTCTGGAAGCTGTTCTGAAACACTGAGCAAAATTTTAAGGCACTTGGAGCCATACAGCATAGACCACTTACAACGTAACCGCTTATAGTGCAGGACTGGGTATAATGCGTTTTTTTTTTAAACTACCGGTTCGCCTCCCATAGAACTCCATGTAATTACATACCGCTTAAAACGCAGGCGTGCGAAGGGAAATACCGGTTATAGTGCGGTTTCTGGAACAGCCTGCCGACTGCGCCGACGACCAGAGCAGCGAGCACGCTTCCCTGTGTGACACTAGAAAACGGCGCTAACTGCAAGCAGCACTCGCGGGGCAAGGAGGTTGCTCGAAGAAGCGGGAAGAAGCAAAGAGAGAGGCTTCAGTTGCCATAGCGACGGAGGGACGCACGCAAGTGTCGTTCACGTGCGTGCGTCCCTCCGCTGCGTTGGAAAACATAGAGCAACGACAGACCAATCGCAAGTCGAGGAGAAGTGTTCGCGCGCGTTGCATGCCGGTCGCGGGCCGGCTTTGGCTTCTTCTATCCGCAAACATGGCGTCAATTGTGATCGTCGTCGTAGACTGCGTGTGGAAGCTCATCGTTCCGCGTAAAAGCGCTATCCTTGACTGTAAATTTTCGTTGCGTGTCGCTATGATAACCCAGCACGTACTAGAAGGGAAAATCTACCCACTCGTGCGGCGATGTCATGGCGGCGCTCTCAAGACGGCAGAAACGCCCGTGTCGTCGTGTTTGTTTACTTCGACTACAGTGGTGATTTCTAAGCATTTGTGTCCTCGAACATCGCCCAAATTTCTTATTTTGGCGCATTTCATGCGTGTGCTCAAGTTGAAGGTATTACTGGCGCGTACCGTATGAAGGATGCGAATTTTCATGCGTTTTCATCACCGGAGAAAAGTGATTAGGGTTAGCAATCCTGAACGCTCCCAACGTCCGTCCGCAACCCGCGACGCCGTTAAAAGGCTGCGCCAGGCAAAAGCCGCTAATTTCTTTTAAAATGCGTGACACACTTGAGATAGAACTGTACTAGTCTGGTGAAATAAAGACTTTCCTCAAACTAAGCTTTATTTTTCATCTAACATATAATAAATTCTTTTACAAAGGTAAGTTGTTTCATGGCATGTATTTTGGCCTGAAAAATTGATGTTTTAGTTATAGCGCGGTACCACTTATAGTGCGGATTTTCGCGACTCCCGCGACATACGTTATATGCGGTCTACACTGTATCGAGGACTCCGTTTTTTTCTCAAAGCCCCATCATATGCTGCTCTTGTTTCCTTGCTTGCCTCGATTCGCTTTCCGTCTGCTTTGCGGCAGAGTTGACCTAAATTCCGAAGGTTGGCCTAGATTCCTAAATGTATGCCCAGTGTGCGAGAAGAATGCTGGAGAATACCACGGGCGAACGAGCTCTTCCTAAAATGCGCTGTAAGCTATCCTTCCGGAGTACCAGACACGCGCTAGGATGGCTCGCCGGATCTTCTAAAATGCGCAACTAATCAGTTCGCTGCAGAAAAACAAAAATGCAGAGCAGCACAATGATCCTCAAAGCTTTAAACAGGCGCTCAGACAGCGGAGAACGGCCTCGGTCGGTTCGCGTCGAAGCGCGGAGGTTGGGGAGCGTGCAAACTCACGAGAGTGGTACGATGATCAGGTATGGTCCGTTGATACGCTTCTTTTCCATAAGGTACGTAATGACGGCTATGGTCTGAAAAAGGAAAACGGAAACGGTCCGTTTAATGTTTCACGACGTTGCCACTCCATATTAAAGGCCACTCCATTTTTTAAAGAAGTGGAATAGAGAGATTTCGATTTTTCCTAGTGCACCTAGAGCAACTAAATATGGTACTTTTCTCATCAATGACCCTTCAGTTGTTCTGTTGCTTAAAATCATTATTGCCAGTCATCCAAAGTTTACCCTGAAATCGCAGGAAACGCTTTCTTGCCCTTCAAAATGTTAAAAACCCAAGTTTTTGGAATAATGTATGCGATTGTAGCACGGGTTAGCACTAAACTTGGCGCTTGCATTAACGCACGCCACGCGAGAGTTTTAGGACAGTGTTTTCCCGCTGCGACGCGATGCCTGAGCATTTTGCGCCTGCAACGCCAAGATACAGTAACAATTTTTATTTCATGCACGAAATAGTGTAACTTCAGAGAAAAAAAAAAAGCAAGTTTCTGGTCCAGAGTAACATTTTAGATTTGTTTAAATACGTGAATGTGCCACGAGTGGTCAACTGCCCGTGTCCGCCGACCTCACATTCGCGACCGCGGAGAGAGCTGCGATCCTACAAGCTACCATTTTCTAACTATGCTCGCCTTGGCTTTAGCCAACTTCTCAGGCACAACGAATCCTACTTGGAGGAATGCAAGGACTCTTTTGTATACACGCGCAATTTACGGCAAATAGCGTACGCTGAAATAGCATTTGCAAGGCGCAAAACACGGTTAGCGTCGGGCTCATGCGCAGTAGCGACGACGCTACTCTCTGCGTACGCTACTCTTAAAACTCCCCGCTATTTAAAAAAAAAAAATATATATATACTATATTGCTGGAGTTTTCTGACACCGTTACTAAATCTAAAATACTAAAATAGTCGCACTTTCAAATTACGACTATCGTCAATTGCACCCGCTCTGCACCAAACAGCCCTAAAACACTGACGCCTACAAGATAATCTGGGAAGCCCTGGAATGGAGGACCGTCCTAAAGGCCGGTTGACACTTGCAACTGCGTACAACCGCGCGCCTTAAAACCTCTTACGACGGGGGAACACACTATGTAGCGCCCCTTGTCGGCTAGCCTCGAAACATTTGGCCTTTCCGTAGATTTCCTTTTTTCTTTTTATTCGTGCATTTTTTTTTTTGCTCAAACAATTTTAAACAATGTTATAAACAAGCATTTTGATAGATGGTAGAAACAAGTTATCTCGCAAATATTGCGAGGCCTTTGCTCTGGCGAAACGTGGTTCCAGGGCCAACTCACAGATGTCGTCAACGTGCATTCTCGTCGTAAGAGATTGCAGGAACTTGGTCCCAAACAAACGCAAGTGTGTGAATGGGCCTCAAAGGAGCCCTAGAGTAGATGCTGCGTTTGTCTCTTTAGGGCCCAAACTGAATCTGTGTCTCCTAAGCACCTCAGAAAACTGAAAAAAGCAATGAGGCGTGGCCTTTTTTTTTTATAGTTAAAAACACAACCAAATATTATGACACGCTCCTTTTCCGAGATATATCTCGGAAAAGGGAAGTGTCAGTATGTTTGCTTACGTTTTTAGTAAAAAAAACAAAATCACATAATTGTAATTTTTTTTTTAGGGATGTTTAGCACACAAAGGTTATGTTCGCATCATAAAAGCATTAGCTCAAAATTCGCTCCCTTAAGGGGAGACACTGCCCAGAAAAAAAAAATTCTGCAAAAAAAAGTTAATTTTGAAAAATGACATATTTACATCCACCAACATCTACAGAGTATTTCCAAAAAGTTTAATTAACTTTCACTGCACAGTTAATTTTTTATAAATTATTTTCTGTCCACCAAAGCTAAAGAAAAGGTAGGGTTTGGAGCACTTTGAACGCATTTTTCTCCATTCCATTTTTTGGTATAAATTCCATTTTAGTCAATCTATCGTTTGATAATGGCAAAACAGGGAAGGCTCATTCTTCCCTTTTCCTGACTGAAATTTAATAAGGAATGCGGCTATGGAACTTTTTTGTCGCTTTACGAATGTCTTTTATAAAAAATGTTGACATTTTGTCGAAGACACAGAAGACCAAAAAGTTGACTAATTTTGCAGAAGAGAAAATTTATAGAAATAAATGACTTCTTAGAAAAAACATTCCATAGCCGCACCCTCTAGGCATTCTGCTACATATCTAGCGAATAAAAATCTTGAATATCGTGATAGTTTTCTGACGATAGATTAACTAAACAATGTAGGCGTGTTGCTGATAGAAGGTACTCTAATTTCCTTCTTATTTAACCGACAGCCCTGAAATTTCGTTATACACCCTCTAGCATTACCGCCAGCCTACCCTGTAAATTTCATTCATTTTAAGACAAGGGTTCAAAAGTTGACCTTCCTAGGGGGTGTGTCCCCTTAAAGGGTGTTGATAGGTGACTGCAGGCCCGTCCCCGATCCGAAGAGGGAGTCACCCACCTGGATGGTCTTCCCAAGCCCCATCTCGTCGGCGAGAATGCCGTTGAGGTTGTTGTTGTAGAGGGAGACCAGCCACTCCAGCCCCTTCACTTGGTACTCCTTGAGCGAGCCGTTCACCATCAACGACGACTGTTCGCGCACCTCTTCGCTGATTGCGTGCGCAATGTTGTAGTAGTTCTGGTAGCCGCCTGCCTTGTACTCGTCGTCTTCCGCAGCTGCGGCCCTGCGAACATGCGCGCGATTGGTTGTTGAGGATTTGGATAAGACTAGAGACAGAATGAAGGAAGGGGCGATATTGACCAGGCGGCAGTTACAGACAGGCCCAATGCCAAATACTGGTCTGCAACTGACATTGGGCTAGAGCTGGTAGGAAGTTGGGTTCAGAACGGCACCGTGCTGGACAATGGTGCAACAGTGACCTGCGACGACCACTGGGTCAACGTAGGACCAATATCCACTGAGCATCAGTCTGCAACCGACATTGTGCGAATATCTGTTCCAATCCGGCCCTATGTAGGGTAGTGATAGAATGTCAGTCTGCAATCGACATTGAGCTACTACCAGTAGAACTTTGAAAATGTAGGAACATGGTGGAATAGTGGAATACGGCGGCTACCAGGTAAGCCTGCAAACAACCTTCGCTATGGGCTGGTCCAACGTCAGTCTTCAGTCAACATTGTGAAGACATTGGTTCCAGACTGGCCCAATGCCCTATACAGGTAGAATGTCGATCTGTGACTGACACTGCATGAATAATGGGTGAACATTGTATGCAGCGGCAAAATGCTGAACAATGGTGTGCTAGTGACCTGCAACGGCCACCCAGACAGAGCAGAACTGACGTCAGCTGTGCAGTGGACCAGCAGTGGTCTGTGGCTAACGATGTGAATATTGGTCGCAGACTGACCTACTAAGGCACACCACAATGCCTGGCAGATATTCAAAAAGTCTGGAAAAGACATTAGGTTTACATAGTTCACAACTATAGGAAACAACACTCGACAAACAAACTGAGTTTAACTTTGCACAAAATCATCATTATGCATCTGAGTGAAGGATCAAGTGCCGATGTTCCAGACATCATAATCCAAAGCATTGGGAGTTGGTCATTCCAAAAATCAAAAACTCAAAACACAAATTCCTTGGCCACGGTTTGGAGATCAAGACACGCTTTATCGAAGCGCACCCAACTTCGGAAGCATCTGTCAATCTATGCTAAATTATACATTCGCATAAGGGGCACAATTCTGTTTACAAACTATCTGTGTAATCATTAAGAAATCAAGAGGGCCAATCAATATCTGTTGTAGGACTGCCCGATCCCAGTGGCTGCAGCTACAGTACCACACAGGCATTGTCAGCCTATAGTTTGCATAAGCTTAAGCACCTCTTGAAATAAGAAGCTTATGATCACAAACCTTTGCCCAACAGCTCGCACACAGCAAAACGTGTAAAAACAAGGGCTACAGGCCAAAAAAAAAATCGGTGCTTGTACGAGAAAAAAAACCGCTGCAGTTACGCACTGAATGACAGTCTTCACATGGTCATCCGTCGAAGACGACGACATCTTGGGCGCCGCTGGCACCGCCTGGTGCTGGATCGGAGCCTCTTCCCCTTCGTCCTCAGACTGTCGTCATGCGAGGAAAAAAAAAACCAACATAATTAGACGACTGTTCCTAACTTATGCGAGCGGTACTCAAAGAAAAGCTGAAGCACTGAGTTTGGCGCAAACTTCTTCTGTAGTTCCTTGTCCCATGATTTCAATCCAAGCACTTGAATTGGGAATGAAGTAAACATCAACTGCTTTCGTCTTGGAAAAACATTATGTGCAGGCATTGCAGCAGGGTATGCGACGGGCCTTTGTCACTTGTTATCAGTCTATGGTGCCGTGACGTCGTTGTCGGCAGCTCCGAGCCACCTAAGCTATGAGCAGAGATCATCTAAACCCGCTGACGACGTCACTTTCGCCAGTTCAACCATCCGCTCCCGTGCTCTCCTATGCTCGATGCATAGGAGAGCATCATGTCAATCTTATTCATAAAATCTAAGTAAAACTTTAAGACAATTTTTAATGTGCCTACATTCAAACCTCCACAGTTTTTCTTATTGTGAAACACTCTTTGGCTCGTCGGAGGGGGTCGCCAGATTTAGTGAAGCCCAAAAAATCGACCGCGAAGCTTAATGCTGAATGGCTGGTGGAAAGGCCACGTGACCAATGCCAAATGGTTGATTACAGGGAGCAAGGGAAGTTCTAAAAAACCGCCAGGCTTTAAAACCCGACTAGGGCCAGCATCTTCATTCGAGGAACTGCTATCAAGTTCATATGCCCCGTGTTAAGTTATCCGATGACGAGAGCCGCAAGCACTATTCATAGAATAACTTAACGGGATAACTTCCAAAACGTGCCGGGCTCGGTAACAGTCCGGAGCGATACCGGAACGTTGCACGTCTAACAAAATTGCCCAGAAATTTTCTATTTTCAAATCAAATATTCTTTTCAGCTCCCCTTTAAGAACAAAGTCTCGGGCCCTTTTTGACGTGGAAGAATACATGGCTGGGCTTGCAATTACAAGCATATCGAACAAATTATTTCCGTTGGGCAGTTAGTGGACAAGTAACTGACGGAAGTCTAGGACGAACCTCGGTTGACTCGTCGGTTTCGCCGTCCTCCTCGTCGTCGCTCGCTTCCCGGGGCGCCACCTCAAACCTGGAAACGAACAGACGTCGTCGCACAAAACAATAAGAAGCGGAAAAGAAATGCACAAAGACGTTAAAGAAGGTCCAACAATGCGAGTTCAAGCTCCACATTTTTTTAATATGCAACAGAACGATAACTGCGCGTTTGCGACGACGACCTACGCTACTCCAAGAAAAGAAAAGACGTGGTTTTTAATGACCCCTTGTCGAAAATGCGCACCATCCAGTAGGGACAGTGCCAATCATTCGAGTTCGCCATTGTCTGGCCATGCACTCGGAGCGTGCATTGGAAACCACAACTGCGCCAGCATTTGGCATGAACTCAACCCGGCTCGTATCAGAAACAAGTGCCGCGTCGTTGTTCGGTGAGGAATCGGATCAAATCGCACGCTTTGCGTCCAAGAAATGGCGACTGCCAACGTTGCTTGACAAAGTTTTGAGACGGGTCTATCGCGTTGAGGAGAAAAGACAGACGGTCCACTTACGGGCCGGCACAGACCTTAGAAGACCGGTATGAAACGTGCGCGTGTCATCACCCAAAAATCGCCGCCATGCCGGGCGACTTAAAGGGGCACTGACACGAGTGGTAGCGCAAAGTGGAAAATCTTTAAGAAACCTTTCTTATCTACCTGAGAGTCTACTGATCTTCAAAATGGTGCCTATTGAAAACTAATCTACTGAATAGACCTATTGCTAAATTACTCAAGCATCAAGGAGAATGCAAAGAATGGTGTTCCACGCGCCGCACGTGCCGGCGTCTGCAGTAGCAACTGCTCTAAAGCAAACGCCCAAAACAAATGGCATCTTGCACGCGCGTTCCTCAAAGCTATATTTTGGATATTTACTCACAATCTTTTATACGGAAAAAGCGCGCGCAGGCGGTGGTGTGAGCGTAAAGTTTTCAGTCACTGCACACGAGAAATTCATGAAACCTTAGCCCTATAAACAGTTTCGCTGTAAAAACAAAAAAGTGATTTTGACCCGTCTGTGCCTTTTTAAAAACGCAAGACCAGAAGCCGACGATTGAAGGGAGTGACCCACCCTGGGTGCATCTCGAGCCAGGCCTCCAGTTGGCTGGCCAGGGGCGCGTCCTTGCCCTCGATCACCTTGCCCGTCGCTGTCTCTATCACGTTCACGCGCAGGTCGCTGTGTTGCGAGCTCTCGTCCACCATCTGCACAAGGGCACCGGCTCCAAATGTTAAAACGATAAAAGAAACAAAAATCTAACCCAATCGTGGCATTTACTAAAGTCACTGATGGAGGGAAAACAGCAGGGTGCTTCTTCCGGACGCTCGGCATTCCGTAGTGCGCTCCATGCCTTCCACCATGCTCTGGCTGCTCACGAGCGCTCGAGGTTTTTTTACACTCTAGTTGGGGCACGCGAGTCAGAAAAGTAATTTTATACGAAAATTTTAGAGCAATGATGATGGCGCAAAACGCGATTTAGTTGGCAGTCACTTCCTCTCCACTTGTTTTCCGTCTTGGCATTTCGGGCGTGGAGGCGAAGTGGATCGGCTTCGCTTTCACGACCGAGGTGGTCATTCCGGAATGACCCGTACGTCATGGACTTTGTGCGCAGATTTTCAAATAAATCTTTCACCCTCAATATTGCTCTAAACATTGTTTGTTTGTTTTTTTTCGCGTAAAATTAATTTTTTTGATACACCTGTTCCCAACCAGACTGTTTAAAAATTTTGTTCTTTTCTTTTCAGGGACTTTTTAAAGAGATACTGAACCGAAATTTCGAGCTCACAAAACAAGGCTACAGTGACAGATGGGACGCTGCAAAACCCAAAAACATCACTCATACAGGGATATCTCTAACGGATCGCCGCATTTTTGGAAAAGAAATGCGAGACACGGCCGACAAGGCCGACGAGACGTATGATGCAAGGATCCTCTTTCCCCTATTCCTCGCTAAGTCCCGTTGAGCTGGTGAACCGAAGCGAGGAGGAGAGAAGGGAGGCCACCTCCCCTCATCCTCAACTGTTCCAGGAGGACCGTGACGTCGTAGTACTCGCTCGATTGCGCCCCTTTTTTCCGAAAGTACGGCCATCCGTCCAAGATGTCGATATACGAGTGATGTTCTGGAGATTGCAGCGTCCCGTTCAACGTGCCTGCAACCTTATTTTGCGAAATCCAAATTTCGGTTCAGCATCGCGAAACAAATGTTAAGCAAAAACCGCATCGGGCCATGCCGCGGCATAAGCGTGGTAAGCGTTGAAAAATGCCGCGGCATTCGGTCTTGTTGCAGCGTAAACGGAAGTTGCTATGGTTACGCCGCTCGGCGCCACAACGCGATTTGTGCTCGCAGATGTTTCACGCTTTGGTGGAATGCTCTGTGGCAGGGGTCTCAAACGATCCCAACGGGCCGCATGTGGCCTGCACCTCGCTGAGCTGCGGCCCGCAAGCATCATTGTAGCTATGCTATAATTTCATGCTCAGGTAGTTTATGCATTCTGTCTTTATTCGCATTGCGTTTTGTTTTGATGTTTGGATCTCAGCTTTTTGTCATGTTAAAATCACCTGTTTGACAATAGACGTTTTGCTAAATTACCCAAGTGCAAGGACAGTGTGCGAGTGTAGTTAAACATGCTGCACGTACTGTCTTCTGCAGCAGTAACTCTTCTAAAGTAAAAATAAGATACAAAGGGCTCTTCGCACGCGCGTTCATCAACGTCTCAATTCGGTTGTTTACTTCGAATATTTAGTACAGATAAGGCAAATGAGTGCAGCGCTTTTACTTACGTTCCGATCACTCTTTTTGGTGCTTGGGTAAATTTAGCAAAACGTACTATATTCCGCTACTAGTCTGCAAGAGAGAGCTATTTGCTCATGGACGCGCCTCGGCTGCACAGACTCTCTCAGCAGGAACAACTGTCAAAGATAAGACTATGAGCTCACGACTCTCGCATTCAAGAATATCACCATTAATATATGCATATTATATGCATATAATATGCATATTAACATGCATATAATAAAATATGCATGTTAAGCTCGATTAATTTCCGTATAAATTGAGCAATTGGAACGACAGTTTGCTTTCTCTCTTGCTCTACTAAAAATCCCAGCACGATGGTGGGGCGGTGCCAGTTTAATTCTTGTTGTCGTATCAAGCGAGTGTCCAAAGTTTCCCTGGTTTACGTTGGTCCTCGACCTTTCCTGGCTGGGCCATCTGCCCCCCACACCCAAGCGAGTTCGAGACCGCCGCTTTCTAGTGAACGATTTACCAGCCACCCCGATGCCACACAGTCGCAGCGACGCGCCGAGAGACTCACCGCCTCGACGGGCGCCTCGACGGCCCCGCCCTCTCCGCCCTCGGCCCCCGGTGCGGTGGCGCCCTCCTGGGGCAGCTTCTTCTTCTTCTTCTTTTTCTTCTCTCGCAGCTTGCGGCGCTGCTCGGCCTTGTGCTGGCGCACCATCTCAGTGAGGTTGTGGATGTACTCGTCCGTCTGGGAGAGCAGGAAGGCCAGCCGGCGGTCCTTCTTCTGGTCAATGAGCTTGCGGTAGCCCTCTTCGTCCTCGGCCATGAGCCGCTGCATGCGCATCTTCTCGATGCGCTCCTGCTCCTTCTTCTGCTCCCGCTCCGTGTTGGCGTGGTAGGTCACCACTGCCTTGTTCACCTTGGCCACCTTGCCCTGGATGCCCCGGTGGAACTCCCGGAAGTCCTTGCCGTGCTGCAGCACCGCCGCCAGGTACTCCTGCGGACCGGACAGACGGCAGTGCCAACTCAGCGGTTATTCCACTAAATTTTGCAGTTTTTCGAGTTGTCTCAGAAACCGCTTTACTACTAGAAAATTCTGCTGTTTTTCGAGTCAGAAACTGCGTTACCCCTAGAACAAGCGATAAGAATGCTTTTGTGGCTTCTTATACAAGCTCGCAATAAGAATGCTTCTCGCACAACCTGTCACCTCTTACACAAACAAGCTACAAGAACGCTTCCCGCCTCTTTGTCTTACCTGGCGTTTCCACTGCCAGAACTTACATTAAGAACAACCGTAGCAAATACTTCTTGCTTCTTTGCCTTACCCGGTGCTTCTCTTGCCTCGACTTATGATAAAAATGCTTCCTGCTTCTCCGCCTTACTCGATGCTTCTGCTGCCTCGACTTACGATAAAAGTGCTTCCTACTTCTCCACCTTACTTGGTGGTTTTGTCCTCTCGCTTACCTGGTGCTTCTGTCACTTCGATTTACATCCCCTCTGCCTCACCTGGTGCTTCTGGCGCCGCTTGCGTTCCTGCTCCAGCTTCTGCTGCTTCTCCAGCTTCTCCGTGAGCCGCGCCTCGCGGAGGCTCTGCCGCTTGGTGCGCTTGTACAGCTTGGGGTTCAGGGACGTCTCCAGGGTCGTGTCCCGGCGCATGCATTGCACCACCTCTGCCCGCAGCTGCACACACCCCGCCCGCACGGCCCCACGTCAAACCACGCTCCCAAGACGGACTCAAAACCCCGCCGAAGACGTTACTGGCGCTCAAAGGAAAAGGAGTCAAAGGGCATTGAAGCCGGCCCTGAGATTGCCTGCTGGCACAAACTCCATCCACTGAGCAAACCCCAAATCGGTCGTGCACACCCGTCTCCTCCGCTACAAAAATGCAACCCAACCTCGTGACATACCGTTACTTTTAATACAAAATGCTTAAGAGGCTGGGTCAGGTGCAAGTCACGTGGCCTCATGACGTAATGTGACTGAGACGCCAGGTGACTTGATAACAAACTTTGGATGTCGCACGCACATAGCTCATGCTTGGCTCATTCACACACATTCTGTGCGTCTCCAACCTTGATATGATCAAAACATCCCTAAATGGCCACCAAAGTAGATTTCGAGACCGTCTTCTTTTGTTCCGAACTCAATCATGTTAGAAAACCCAATAATACAATCATCTGTGACTTTTTTTCTTTATTAAAAAGCAACCAAACATTGTGTTTTAATAAAGGGAGAGTTGCTTCATTAAAATGCAACTCGACCCTTTTCTGAGATACATCTCAGAAAAAGGGCGAGTTGCGATGTTTGGGAGTGTTTTTAATGATGAAAAAGGGTTATGCATGATTGTACTTTTGAATTTTCTGAGCTGCCTAGGGCACAGAATAATGAACTACCAACTAGCCCCTTCGTCAACAAACATAGATTAAATTTAAATTATATATAAAAAAAAAAAAAAAAAACTCTAAGAAATGTATGTCAATGCCCCTTAAAAAAATTTTTGAGATGGGTCTCAGTAAAGGGGCACAACATGAGGCTCTGTTAAATCTTTAGTTGGAAAAAAACAAAAAGGACTTTCAGCCTTTCCACACTGGTGAAGAAGGAAGACCAGCGAAGCTGTACTATGGTGGGAATGAAGTAATGGCCGGCCGCAAGTCGGCAAGCCAGAGTGGAAAGGCTCGAAAGGTTGCCGCCATCTATGAGCGACAACGGCAACTAGACAACTCGCAAGCCGGTTGTCTGGTTGCCAAAACCGCTTATAGATGGCAGTAGCTGTTTGGTGTGTTATGTCGACATTTATTTTCTGGCGGACACAATCCTGAAGAAACTAGCCGTTAACAGGTCCGCCGTAAAATATTGAGCATGATTGTGATTTAAGGCTTTCTAGGTTGCTTAGACTGCACAAGTGAGTCTGCACCATACCAAGAAAATATAAAAAAACCCATTTCAGTGCCCCATTAAGCTCAAAACGCAGCACAGAGCCACCCACCTGCCGCTGGAAGTTGAGCAGCCTGAGTGCCCTAAGCTCGATCATGGCCTTGCGCCGCAGGTCCTCAGGCAGGTTGGCGGGCAGCTTGGACAGTTCCTCGATGCGGTGGGCAATGCGGCTCGTCAGCCGGTTCTCCTTTTCTTTCAGCAGCTCGATGGGGTCGATGCCCTGGGGCTTGGCCACCGGTGTGATGCGGTTCTGCTTCTGCTGCTGCATCTGCACGTCGTCAGAAGCGCCAGCATCAGATGCACCAGCATCAGATGCACCAGCATCAGATACACCAGCATTTAGATACACCAGTAACGGGCGGATCAGCGTAAAATGCAACACCGTCAGAAACCGCCAGAACTGTACATGTTCACAAGCATGGTGCCCAGGGCCGCTCAATGCACGTGCCAACGTCGGCCGCTACGTCTCTCGAATGTGAGGGACGTATTCTGTGCTTTCTGGTTTCTGTCAGCATAATCGAGCAAATGAAAACTTAAGCCCACTCCCTGTAAATAATGTTCCCCTAGTCCTTGTTCGCTCAGACACATGAGCAAACATGCATAGAAGAGCAATCTCGAACAGAGCGCTGAGAGTAAAACCTCTCAACACCGGATTAAGCAAACTTCGCTGTTCATCGTTCAAGTGCGCTCTATGTATACAATGTTCCTTTAAGTCGTTCGTACGGACATTCAGACAAACTTCTATAGAAGAGCAAACCATGAAAAGAACACCCTTCCCCTTCAACTAACTTGCACGGATGAGCTTGTAGCAAAGGTCACAAATGTTCCAAGGAGAACTTCGAAGCAAAGTGTGTGCCGGTCCCACCCCGTTCTCAAAAAGAGTGGAGTGAGTAATGCCCTGAAAAACCAAGACCCCCCCTAGAGCTAATCTTTAAATAAACCCAGCCCCAAAAAGGCAGGAAGTGATAAAGGGACAGAAATGACTAAACACTTCCTGAGAAGGATGGCTTATCGCTGTTATCAGACCTTTTTCTGTTTGTGTCTCTGATAAGACAAGGAGCCCCAGAGTACTCTTGCCTCTTTAAGACACCCCGCTCCTTAAGGAGGGGAGAGGAGGGGGGGACCACCCAAAGGATTTGGGGTTCAATCCACTAAGACCCAAACAAAAAAAACTGCAGTTACTTCAGTTACACAGATTTCGCTACAAGAGCTTGGGTTAAAAAGAAACCGATCATCTACTAGAACTCTTCAAAATACTGTTTCCTGATGTTTTTAGATTACCTTGGCAAAAACTTCCTGGGACAATATGAGCAATGAAAAAACTGAGACAACCCCTGATAACAACAATAACGTTACACTGACCCTTTGAGTGGTATTTGCCCACTGGCTAAAGCTGTGGAATAACTTGAGGAATGCCTACTACTTGTTAATCTTGTGACCAAGGAGACTGAAACTAGCACATGCCTAGCTCTTGCCATTTCCATGGCAGCTTGCATACAGTTTTAACACAAATCACCAGAAAGTCACAGGTTTAAGGATGACTATGCAGGCGATTGATCATACCGAGAAAGCCCGGAGACGAGAGGTTTTCCGGTACGACCACAAAGTCACCTCCAGCAATAGCTTTCCAAAAAAAAAAAAACAAATGAAGCAACAAAAACAGTATCAAGGTTTCCAAGTAAAAACACAAGCATTTTCAAAACTAATTAAATACTGAGTAGTTTGTGTTTACAATGCAAACACAAACTATTCAGTCTGCAATATGCAGATACAATCATTTGGGTTGCAGGTAAAAAAAGGCCTTCTATGCAGGTAAAAAAATGACCGCATCTCCACATGGTGAATGATGTTAATTGGGGCGAAGCTCTGGTGGTGCTTGCCTGCGTAAACGCTGAGCCGCAGCATGCCGAGCCTTTTGTTCGTTTTCATCCATGTCAAAAAGAGAATGTGTGGTATGAAACGTGATTATATACGCATTTGTGCATTTGACCGCAGCGCCCTCTCATCTATAAACGTTGAACCAATGCATGCAAAGTTTAACGCGATTATATACGCGTTTGACCGCAGCGCCCTCTCCAGTATAGACATTGAGCGGCTACATGCAACGTTTCATAAATGACATCCCGAGCTCTTGAGTTACTACCACATCTCAGAACCCCCTACTCGTCCCGCAGTCGTGGCCGAGTGGTTAAGGCGATGGACTAGAAATCCAATGGGGTCTCTTTGCACAGGTTCGAATCCTGTCAACTGCACAAATATTTCTTCTTTTTTTTTTTTTCCCTACACAGGCATGTGAGCTCACGAGCACGATCACGATCACGAGCACGAGCGAGACCGATGTGAGCACGGACGCCGGACGGACAAGCCTGGACCCTAAGGAGCTTCGCCCCTAAAAAATGTGTTCTATGTAGGTTAATGAAAAAGGCATACTATGTAGGGAAATTAAATATCACTCTATGCAGGTGAATAAAAAGGTCTTGTATACAGTGAACAGAAGAGGCCTTTTATACAAGTAAAGAAGAGGCCTTATATGCATGTAACTAAAGAGGAATTTCATGCAGGCCAATGAGAAAGGCCTACAAAGGTGAACGAAGGGGCCTTCTATGCAAGGAAACGAAAAAAAATTCCCTCACCTGCATCATGGCAGGCACGGACGTGGGTCCCCCGGGACTGCCTCTAGCCGCCTGCTGGGGCGCCTGGCAGCCAGCCCTGGGACCACCCGGCTGCGGGGCCACGCCCCCCGCCCCCATGGGACCGCCCCCCTGGGGAGGAGGAGGCGTAGGGGCCCCGCCCCCTCCCATCATAGGACCGCCCCCGGGCTGGAGGTGCTGCTGCTGGGACTGGGGCGGGGGCGCTCCGTAAGTGGGGCCGCCGCCCCCGTACGGCCCCTGCTGGGGTCCCATGGGGGGCCCTCCAACCGACTGGGGGGACGGGCGCATCAGGGGAGAGGGGGCACCTGAGAGGGAGACGGCAGGGGACGGGAAGAAAAAGTTAGCCTTGAAGGTGAACGTTTCAGCAGACGTCTTCCTGGTTGGGTTAAATGTTATAAATAAATAAAGGGGAAATGCCAATCAACCCCTAAAAGATCGTAGGGACTACAATCTTTTAGGACTACGACACTCTAGTGCGTCGTAAACTACGCAGTCGACGACACTTAGAGGAGACACCAAAGAAACAGGCCTCTACCATAGAGGAAAACGAAAATGCTGATCCTTGTTTGTAAATAACCAACTTTGAAGAAAACGAAGGTACCGCACCTGGTTTGAAAACTAACCACCGTAAAAAATGAAGATACTGCTCTACATTCACGGCAGAAAAAAAGAAAGAAGCTGCTTCTCTTTTACATAGCCCCCCTGAAGAAGGTGCCGAGCGGGCACCGAAACGTTGGGACCCTACAATCGTTTAGGGATTGGTTGGCGTTTGCCGTTTATTTATTTATAAAAAGTTAGTCCCTTGGACTTTTCCCAAAAGCGCTCCAAAGGCATAGCGTTTAGAATGCCTTTGACTGCAATTTTTCTGTTTATTTCGGCTGCTTCGCAACGGAGGAGCGTAGAAGCAGTCATTGGTGGTCCCGACAGGCCCGGACGTCTAACGAGCCTTTAATAAACGCAGAAGCAACAAAATATTGCTCCCAACACCGCCGGCAGTCTTTCTTATGTCCATTTTGCGAGAAAACGCCCGTGTCATGCTTGGTACAAAGCAACACCAAAGTTGACAAGCAACTGAACAACTTGAATGCATTGCAGTAGAATGGAAATGCCTAAAGGCGTCTGCCATTTGAGGACATGTTGAGCGCGCCAGTCAGAGAAGTGTAAAGGTGGCAGCAGCGAGGAAGCTCACCGGGGGGCCTGTGCATGTAGGGCCCCTGCTGCGACTGAGGTCCCTGGGGTCCGCCCACGCCGGAGGTTCCCTGCGCGGCCAAGTTGACGTGGTCCGGCACCGGCTGGTTGCGGGCCAGCAGCTTGTACGCCATGATCTGGGCCCGGAGCTGGGTCAGCTGCGGCGGGCTCAGCAGGGAGGGCTTGGGCATGGGTGGGGGGGTGCCCTCGGGGCCTGTGGCACCCCCCGCCCCGTTCGGCGCTCCGCCGCCTCCGTAGCCACCTTCGAGGCAAAGCATGTGCCCAAGAGTAGGCAATGGGACTGCAGGACGCCTACTACATTTTAGCTCGAACGGATGGATGCTAACAGCTGTGCCAGAGCCGTGTATACAGAGAGTTTGGTCAATGGGAGGCGCGGGCAGAGCCAGGGGGTGCACGACTCAGAAAGAGGGCTTGGCATGCTCGCTTGACCAACCAGAAGCCGAAAAGAATCCCCTAGCGGTGGTAGTGAGAAACAGTTCTGATCAAAGGTATATGTTCGTATATGATTTTAATAAGTGCATAAGAGTAAAGTGTAGTAACTCTTCGTGGTTGAAAATAGGGTACACGTGATGTTTTGATCATGATCATGCAGAAAGATCTAAGAAATGAATGCGCCGCTCAACTCTGTTTTGCTCGGACAGTGTGATTACTTGAACGGCAGATTCCCGGCCCTCGGCGCTTGGCGTAAGGTTTATGTCGGTCGTTCCGCTAGTCACACTCTTCCAACATCATTTTGGATGAGCGTGATTGAAACATCACGTGCACCATATTTCAGACACCGAGAGTTACTCTGATGCACTCATCAGGTTTGTTTCTCGCGACCACCGCCAGAGCACTATTTCCGGCTTCTGGTTGGTCACATTCGAATTTCTGAAAACGCCCTGGAACAAGCCCAGCTTGCTTTCGGCCAATGGCGCCTCCTCATTTGTCTCCTATATTTCCCAATGAATGGCCAAACTCTCTACATATACGGCTCTGAGCTGTGCCACCTAGCCTTCTCCGTTTGACCCCTTGCCACGCCTGAGTTTCCATGCGGGTTTCAGTCTCGATTTGCTTCCTACTTGTCCCAACTGGGTCGCTAATTTGATTTTTATGCGTAGAGCAACGTTTTGTCTCGTAAGAACACCCATTCAGGCAAATTTACGTTGTTCAACCTCATGCTCTATGGCAAACACTGGGATCTAGAAATTAGTCATAAACTACTTTAGTAATTAACTAAATAAGAAAGTTCCAGTTCCAAATAAATAAATGTCGGTTAAGGCCACTCCAAAAGAACGACCCCCCAATTCGAAAAAAATATCCCGGGTTGAAGGTACGCAGACATCCGTTAACTTTTGAGCCCCTGAATCAGTTTGTGTTCGATAAATAAATTTACATCCCAAAAGCGCACTACCGTTTTTCTGCGTGGAACTAAATTGTACGTTCGACATGCGGGGGGGAAAAAAAAAAAGGAAATCGAAGAGTTAAGGAGGGCTCTGGCGGTTTTACATGCTACCTGAACCGGCTACATTTCAAAGAGACCCGCGCTTTACTTTTCCCAGCACAAAATATATTATTCATAAATTCAGAATAGCTACCGATAAAACGGCAAATAAAGGTGGTGCCAAAACCAACGTTTGAATTCCCCCTGCACTTTCTAGGAGAGTGACGTATATCGCACATTTTTTTTCTTTCTGTCGAGGTAAGCTTCCACGGTGCTCGTTTCATACCGTCAAACCCGTAGCGTTTTCGGTAGAGCACTGCAGTTTAAAAGCGTGACAAGGAGCAAATTTGACAATTAAGTAACTCCCTGAAAAAAAAGTTATTTTGACCCATAATTTGGGCTTCAGCCGTGTCGGTCGATGCGTCGAACCGATTTCGATGCAAATCAGCTACCGTCATAGTCTTGCCGGCACTCCCCTTTAACATGCTTTGCGGTCCCTCTTGACAACCTCAACAAGACATTTAAGCGTGACTCGAACGTCACATGACACCCTGACACAGTCATTAAGCAAAATAGCTCTTATGGGGCTCTATTGCTCCCACGACTTTGACCCGTGCGTTAGTCAAGCATAATGTGCCGCTTTTCCAAAGAAACCCGGACGTGGTGGTGCGACACCATAACCCCTGGTTAGCTCAGTTGGTAGAGCGCTCCACTAGAAACGAAGAGGTCCCTGGTTCGATACCCGGACCAAGCGGATTTTTTCGGTCGCGCACCAGTCACCTAGCCGAGTTCGGAGATTTGTGTTTGCCCTTAGTACCCCTTGTTCCCTTCTCCGAGGCTTATTATCGTTACTCATAGCGCACAGGGTGTTAAAAACGCTACCTTGGGGCCCCGGCTCGGGCGTGTCGGCGCCCGATCCATGGTGGGGGTGCGACGGGGGCACCCCCTGGTGTTGCAGGGGCGGGCCCCCGCCGGGAGGCACGCCCTGCTGGGGAGGGTAGGGCTGCTGCTGCTGGTAGGGTGCCCCGCCACCGTAGGGCGGCTGCTGCTGAGGGGGCGGTCCCCCGTAAACCTGAGGCTGGACCGCGCCTAGAACGAAGCGACGGCATCAAATTAGACAACGATTCCTGGTTTCTCGCTGCACCCTGTAATTCAACTGTGGCGACAGCCAACGGAAGCTCCGCTTCGAGCACGTGCTAGTCGCCTTCTGCGAGCCTTGGCTGCGCATGCGGCGAAGTATTGTCGAAAGCATAAAGCTCGCGCTGGAGGTGGAGCATCTAGTGAATTCTTAACCTGTCACCGACTACACACATTCATGTTGCACAGACGCATTTTCCCTATAAATTTTCATGTAACGTCACCGTGTCACGTGATATTGTGTGATACCGTGGTGTATGTAACCTAACACCAACTTCGTGATTTCTGTGGAACTTCGTCATCCCGGGAATTTCGACGTCAATGGGCTCGGAAAACCTGCCGAAACGAAGCGACCGGAAGTCTCTCATGAGCCAAGACATGGCTAGTGCTTGTGAACAGAAAAATGGCCTATAGAAACGACCGACTCGACATGCACCCCCATCACGTTAACATAAGCAGACAAAGCGAAAGCTTCAACACCCTAGCTCCGGCATCCAGTGCCGTAACTGGACACCGGACACCAAAGTGCCTCGGATGGTTGGGCAGCCCTGGTGTCTGGCGCCATAATCAATCCCGAATCCAGAACCGTGCGTCGGCATCACCGTCGAGACGATCTAAACAGCAGAGAAAAGAGAAGGCCCCTCACCGGGTCCCATGTGGGGCTGGGGTGCATAGCCGTGGTGCGGTGGAGCCCCGCCCTCGGGGGGCATGCCCATGTGCTGCTGGGGCACGGGGGGTGGGCCCATGATGGGGCTGGGGGCCCCCGAGCTCCCCCCGCTCCCTCCCCCGGCGGGGGGCTTCCCCCTGCCCGCCATGGCGAGCATCTGCGAGTAGCGGGGGTCTTCCTTGTCCTCCATGTTGTTGATCGCCTGCAACGAACGAGAGAGCGCTGCGTTTTGTCGACGTCACGAAATTTGGGGGTTTTACGTGCCAAACCTACGACGGGCATCTGGCACGCCTTAGCGGAGGACTGAGGATTAATTTGACCACCTGGGGATCTTTTGACGTGCAACCGAAAGCTCGGTTACCACGGCGCCTTCTCCGCAATAAGCCTCCGTCATATTGCGGGCACCCCGGTCGGCATTCGAACCCGCCACCTGGGGATCCGTAGGCCGGCTCTCCTGCCTCGGAGCCACCGAGGCGGCTAGTTGACGTCACCAGCAAAACGGTCCGCGGCTGGGCTAGACAGCGGTGTTCCTTACGGCCACCACACCGGGGGTGGGGGGGGTAGTCTCTCCTTCCCACCGCAGGTCGGTGGGGTTGCTGCGACCTTGCAAACTCTTATGGTGCCTCAACTCCTTCTAATGAGGCACCCCTATCTCACTGTGTTGGCCTCTTCGCTCCGGGGCGAATCAATGGAATCTTGCGGGGGACTTGAGCGGAACACTTCTTTCTCGGCGCGTATTTATTGTAAGCCAAAAGTATTTCAATCGGCGCACTCCAGTTATTTTATGAGATTGTTGGCACACAGTTTCAATCACAATAGTCGAAACAGTTGTTCAAGGCGGTTCGGGCAGTACTGGGAGGTGTAACGTGTTCATGCCTCCCCTTAGGCAAAAAGAAAGAGCAAACAAAAACAAATCACACTGCTTTTAAAAGAGAGCAAAGGCTGTAAGGAATGCTACCGTCTAGCCCGGTCGTCGGTTGACACGGGGGACGAGTAAGAATGGGCCGAAGGATCTGTCGTAACCGTTTTCGGTCGTCTCACCGCGGTGCCCTACGCTTTCTTACCGGTTTCACGGACGGGAAATATGTGAACGTGCGCTTAGCCCTCGCGAGTGTTCAGAGTTGAAAGGGTGCATCTCATTTGTTGCATCTTTCCGAGCTCGCAGCCTGCGTGCTTCAGAATGGCAGGAACCGACTCGGGAAAACAGGTAAAAAGGTTAGATTTATCACGTACCAGATCTATGAGCGAGGAGCTACAGGATTTCTCTTAAAAGACATCTCTGTTTTAGACAGATCATCCGGGAAACTGTTTGCAAAAGCTCTGCGCAGTGTCTCAAAACTAACTTGTCACTGTTTCACATTGGGGAATTTTGTCAACACATGGAAGCTACCAGAAACAGGCAGGGAACAAGTTAATGGCTTCACGAAGCTACCGAGAGGCAACACAGTTGAGCAATGCCAAACCGATTTCAACACGAATGTAATAGTGTCGCGCGGCTTCAGTCGAACAATCAAGCTGCGAGCGACCCGGAGTGACGTTGCCGACGTAAGAAGGTCACCCTCCGCATCCAAAAACTCACCCTCTGCAGCATGTGGATGTTGTCGGACGGGTAGCCCTGCATGTGGCCCTCGGGTGGATGAGAGTTAGCGGGCTGCTGCTGCTGTTGTTGCTGCTGCGGAGGGCCTTGCAATTGAGGGCCCGGTGACGCCGACATGATCTCTTCGCCGGACGCCATTGTCGGCTACGTCGTCCAGCTAGACAGGTTTAAGAAAAAACAACAAAGAACAGAAAGACCGAGTTAAAGCCAAATTTGGGGGCTGTGGCTCTCAAATGATTATGCCTATCAAATTCTGGCTCTCAAATGCTAAATTTGTCACTACCACATTTAGTAAATAATCTCTGTAAAATGCTAAATTTATAACTACCACATTTAGTAAATAATCTCTGTAAAACTGTGTGGATTTAGATGGTGTAGTATTAAAAGACAAGGTTTGATTATTCAAAATATACATTGCACAAAGACAGGACAGAAGAAAGAGGAGACACAATTGCTGAAAATGCACTGCACTTTTTAATGCACTGTGCATTTTCAATCATCATGCACACCCAAGCTTCTATTCTATCCTAAAAAAGAAGCTTATAACTTTTTGAAAAAAAAATAAAAATAAAATAAAATGAGTTAGAGGTGATTTTTGGCGTATTTTTATCCTGTGAATCTGAATATCATGTTCGTTTTCCTCGCAGATGTAACTAAACGCGAGAAAACACGAAAAACCTCCAACCAGTCATGACGTCATACTATGATCTTTGGGCCGCCAAGCGCACATCGCTCATGTAGGTATCGCTCATGTAGGTAGCGCGTGATATTGCAAGCTTGCCAGGTGTATCTTTCCGCACTGACACCAGTCGTGAAGTCTATTACTGACCTTTTTTGAAAATAGCAAGAGTGCGCGTGCATAGCTTTGACAGGCGCTGAAGACGCGCGAGAGGAGAGATTATGAAAACTCCTAATGTGACGTCACGCCCTGGGAGGAAGGGGCTTCGGCGGTACTTTAAAAATTAATTTCTGCAGCCTTCGTGGACCAAATTAGAAAAAAGGATCTCGCTATTCGTGATCCTGGAGGCCAAACGAAGACGATTTGGGTGTTTCTTCTGTGCATGACTTTGCCAAGTATGGAAATCTAGGCCAATGATTGTTGCTTTTTGTTGTTGTTTAGCAACAATTTTTTTGTGTGTGTGTGTTTTGTTGTTTATGAGCGAATTTTTCTTTCCTTGATGCTAACGATCGTAAGGGCCCAAGGGCATGTCAAGCTGTACACAGCAGCTTTTTTCCCCCTTGTGTCCTTGTCATAATCGATGGAAAATAAAGATATTGCTATTATTATTAAACCAACAAGGGGCATCTGGGACGTCCCAGTGGAGGACAAGATTGATTTCGACCACCTGGGGATCTTTCGACGCGCGACCAATGTCTCGTTTCTCCGCAATAAGCCTCCGTCAGACTGCGGGCACCTCGGCAGGGATTCGAACCCGCCGAAACACTAAGCCGAGCGAACTTTAGGGACGCTCAAACGCACCAACACGTCCAAGATCGGCACACGTTAACGTCTGCTTGTCAACCGATTGTTGGAGTGATCACGCACTGCAGCCATTGCAGCGGCAAAACATGGAGGTTGCTACGCGCTTCATGGCGGTGTTTATTCGCTCGTAGACGGTTCTTTTTTTTCGCACGACTAACGGCCGTAAACAATGCCAAATGGATCCGTTTAACTTGTTTAACCTACCAAACATGGTTTTATGCCGAGTTCGGACACTGAAAAAGTCAACAAAACACTAAACATACGCTGAAAATGAAGTAGAAACGCTGGGTTCCCTCGAGTGCCGTCGCCCATTCCAACAAGGTTGCTTCAAAACAGGGCTGGTTCCTTCCATATACGTCAAGTTCAAGGGTTTCCACGATCGATACCGCAGGGTCGGACACTATACGCGTTCTAGAGTACCGCAAATTAGCTTACACCGGCGGTTCTTTCATTCATTGCCACACGTAATAAGGAAAATAAAAATAAAAAAGTAACAACGGCGACGAAAACCACCTCGGGCGTGAGATCGACACGATCGGTGGGTCGAAAATAGGACGTCGTGATACTCGGCAGAGAAGGCATAGCGCGTTTGTACACGCCATGAGATTGATTTAAAGGTCCGGACTTACCTGTCAAGGTGGCCCGCAACCTGCAAGTTCTGTTTTATCGCGCAGTTTACACAAAAAACGTCGGGAGCGACTACAATGGCGTACCATAAACGATCGGCAGCAAGCCGGAGCTAGCCGGACGCGAGTCAGGTAGCCAGTTGCGAGCCAACCAAAGCCAGAGGAAAAACACCGGCCCTTTCACCCATAAAGATCGTACATACTCTTTCACCTGCACGTTTGCGGTGTAAAAATAAAATATTAGCGGTTTTATAGTTAAATAAAATATTTCTGGCGCTTAAATAGCGTATACTGAATGTAGATTTGAACTATTGGGATACTTTCATAGCGCGAAACGCGCTAACTCAACGACCGGCCAAAACAGCGTTCCAAACAACATGGCGCCAACCTGAAACCAGGAAAAGTTTCGCTTTGAAATTTAGAGACCCACTCGGCGCCGGCAAGAAAACGTTTGTGGCAGAGTGTCTGATTTACGCATATAAAAGAAAATGACTGCGGTAGATTCAAGAAGGCCGCTAAACGTTCTGATCGGCTGTACAGGCAGCGTAGCCTCCGTGAAGGTGCCGCTGCTCTGCAAGCTCCTGACCGAAGCCGACACGGGCGACCGAAAAATCACGCTCAAACTGGTCGCGACCACGAACTCGCTTCATTTCTTTGACCGGACGCAGATACCGCCGTCGGTGCCGCTCCTTCTCGACGAACACGAGTGGGAGACGTGGCAGAAGATGTCCGATCCCGTACTTCACATCGAGCTCCGACGCTGGGCCGACCTGATGGTGATTGCGCCGCTGGACGCCAACACCCTGGCGAAGATCGCATGCGGGCTGTGCGACAACTTGATCACCTGCGTCGCTCGGGCCTGGGACATGGGCAAGCCGCTGCTGTTCTGCCCCGCCATGAACACCCACATGTGGAGTCACCCGCTGACCGGCAGGCAAATCCAGGTGCTCAAGGAGCTCGGTTACAGCGAGGTGGCTTGCATCGAGAAGAAACTGGCGTGCGGAGACACTGGGTTCGGGGCGATGGCCGAGGTACCCACCATCGTGGCTGAGATACTTCGAGCCCTACAAGTTTCGAAACCTTAGCGAGAGGCCTGCGTAAGGTACTACACATCGACAGCCATGAAAACCAAAGTGCAATTCTCCTTCATAATATTTGCTACACAACGTTTTCTCTGCTTCAACTGTGCGTACCCGAATACAAAGATTAGACAGCTCATTAATAGAGGGAAGATCATCTCACCCAACAGTGCCTTTTTGACACATCCTAATCAAGTTATATCTATGGTATAGCCTCAATGGACCTTTCGCCAAATATCCAAAGTGTCAAGGAGAGTTCCGGGAACCCAAGTACACCCTATGTGTCTAAAATATTCCAAGTAAATAACTAAAAAAAAAAAAAAGGTGGCAAATGCACATGCAAATTGGCAAATTTTAATTTTTTGCTTCAGAACAGTTACTGCCGCACATATGCCATCACGTGTAGCATGTGTAATTACACTTTTAGCATGCTCCTCGGTGCTCGAGTAATTTAGGTGTATTGAAGACACACACCACCTTCATTTTTGCTGAGCTCCAACACCAATATGCCTCATGACGACGCCACTGCAGCTGCTACCAACAGTTTGTACAACACCGAACACCAATAATCAGGCCTCAGCTGCACAATTGCTTGAATGCAATCACTTTGGTCTTTGTATTACAAACAGGACCACTATGGGCGCAAAAAATGACCACAAATTATGCCAACATGTTCGGGCCATAACTGGAAAGCCAATTCCTCTTGAATCATCCTATCCAGCCATATTTGTAGATACATTAATTGATATTGATATTTATTTGAGCTCAGAAAGCTGCAGCGCCATAGAAAGGCAAGCTGCCCATACCGTGAAGGCCTGCGGCACCACTTCTAATGATGATGAAATGGTATTGTACAGATGTTGATGATGGAACGTTGAAGAGGGTGAGGAGCATTAGACCTAACAACGGTCCTTGCAACGGTTGTCTTTGCGGGGCCGCCATGGTCTGCTGACTTCTAGCAGGACAGTCTCGAGTGCATAACGAGGGCTCCCTGCATGTCCGGCTTGCAGACAAGCCTGCCGAACTTCCGACGACGCAGGGAGTCCAGCACCCGTGTGTTGGGGCTCCAGGAGCTGGTGCCGGTGTTGGCCGGCCAGCGGTCTTCGCAAAACCGAGCGTAGAAGTCTCCCAGCTTACGGACGAGCTTGTAACCGAGCAGCGGGAGCACCCTGTCGATCGAAGACATGGCGTGTGCCACTGGTCCGGCGGGTTGTCTGACGACGGGAAAACCACGTCTTATGCCCAGCTGACTTCCTCTTCTTCGACTCCGTCTTCATCAATATACAATATTGATGAAGAGAGGACGAGGGCCAGGCAGAAATTCTGTTCTTGTTGTGCTTTAACTGTGAGACGCATAAAATCTGCCCCCTCAAGACACATATTTCAAAACAGCTGCTGTATCCATGGTCGGGCTTCCAGTTTTGCCAGAAGCACCACTCGTGGTAATCATACCTAACTTACAAATTCTATGCAATATTCGAAGACTTAAATGAAAACAGTGGAAAGCTGTCTGTAGTACAGCACACAACATTGTGAATCAGAATGGTGTACTGGATTCTTTTAACAAAATCCAAATTTCTTGCAGCATCATTTTTTTTGCCTTAGTTCTTGATGGGCCCCCCTCTGGCTTTCTAGGAAGGGTTTAAAAATTTGTGCAGCTTTCGTTTTGTGTTTAGCAAATCTTTGAAACTTGCTGACCAATTTATAATAGAAGCAACAGAGGCGAAAGCTGTTTGGTGTTCAGACCAATTTAGTTGTCTTGTTTGTTTAGAATTTCTGACCCTTCTTTTGCTTGTATGCCACACTTTCGTAGAGCATCCGTTGTTGCTGGCCTTTATTTTCGTTCCCTTTCTTAGTATTACCTTTCCCGTGTTGTCTCAGTTTCTTTTATACGTGTTGCACCCTATCCACATCTCTTCCTTTTTCATACCTTCACCAATTGTTTTTAAGGTGATTTTACTTCATGTCAAATTCCTGGTGAAGCTGACTCCTGGTGAAACTGTTGTGAATAAACGTTTTTAAGTTTTAAAGTGTCATTTCATTCAGATATGTTTTGCATTAACATGCAGAGCTTTAGTATCAATAGCTCCATACAATTTACCTGAATCTCCTGCACTGGTGCAGAAAAGTGTAAAGCAGCGCACTTCCGGAAGTATAGTGCTCTACACTTTTCAGCACCAGTGCAGAAGGCGCAGGTAAATCAAACAAAACTACTGTAGTCACAGGGTAGTTTCTACTTTAAAGAGGTACTTTGGAATTTTGTTCATAGTCCTCCAATTATTGTGTCAAAATGTTTTTACTGCGGAGCTGTTGAGGGCTAGTTTCCCGAAAATCGTGTCCCCCACAAAGAAATGTTGACACAAAACTCTGGACGGCTACTGCCATCTATGAGCGACAGCGGCAACCTTTCCAGCCTTTCCACTCAGGTTTTCACAAAGTAAAAAGGCTGAATTTCTCCAGGCGTCGTCCTAGATGTCGTCCTTGAGGCCGTCCTAGAAGTCATCCTTGAGGTCGTCCTAGACGTCCTTGAATTTGTCCTAGAAGCCATCCTTGAGGTCGTCCTTGAGGTCGTCATAGACTTTGTCCTCAAGGTCGTCCTAAAAGTTGTCGTAGAGGTCGTCCTAGGCGCCGTCCTTGAGGTCGTCCTAGATGTCGTCCCCGAGGTTGTCCTCGAGGTCGTCCTAGATGTCATCCTCTAGGCGTCGTGCTTGAGGTCGTCCAAGAAGTCGTGCTTGAGATCGTCCCATCATAGTACAGCTTCGCTGGTCTTCCTTCCTCACCAAAGTGGAAAAGCTGAAAGTTTTTTTTTTTTTTTTTCTTGGAAAGTTATTTAATTTACAATTTTGGTCGTCGCTACGTTTTCTTAAAGTGAAAGCCTCTACTGGCAACAATGAAAAAGGCGACGTCGAAGGAAGGCAGAGGATCTACAGAGGATCACCAAATACGGGATCACCCTTTGGACTGTAGACATTATTCCGAACCGATTACAAGCAGTTTTATGGTGTGGAACTTTGCTTCAGCACCCACGCAGCAGCACAAAACAAAGGCTCCGCATAGTTCATTTCTAGACTGCCCGCTCGACCTGCAAGCCTGCCTTCCTACGACGTCATGGCACTGGACGGCACAGGTACGGGGTGTTTGTGAAACGTCCGAACCCGGTTTTTCGCACCGCAAAAGCAAACTAAAAATCGCGGAGAGCTCAAACTCCGTCAGAATGTGGCCCCAGCCGTTGAGCAAGATGCCAAACTTAAGCATCAACCGTTATCTTATTCAAAAGTTATGTGATTTTTTTAAAATTTTCATTGGGAAAGTGGGTGCCATTAATGGCGTTATAGAGCTTCAAGCATTCAAGAGCTTCGTCGGCTACCATTTTTCCATTGCCATTTTCAGAAAATCGCTTATAACTTGTGAAAAAGATAACATCTTGCTTGAACGGCTGGGGTTACGTTCTGACGGAGTTCGAGCGCTCCACAATGTCTAGTTTATTTTTGCGGTGCAAAAATCTGGGATCAGGTTTTTCACAAACACCCGGTATATTTGAATGTTGATTTTGGCACCCCCATTTCCACTTGCCGAGTGATACTAAATAGCATACCGGAAAAGGTAAAGGCCCGCGATTCCGAAAATATAGTTATTTAGGGCAGCTAAAAAGAATCTCCAAAGAACCTAAGCACTTTCACACTCCACTTGTCTGAAAAATCCATACTACATGCTAGAGTTACTTGCAGGTTTAGAATGTTAGGGAGTCTACAGTCGGGGATACTTGGAGAAATGGAGGTGCCAACAACTCCCGAGCGTCTTATTATCGCTCTGCAGCTAATTAAATAGCAACATATGCTGATAAGAATGCAGAAGAACAAATCGCGAAGCAAGAAGTTAACTGTTTCGGTGGGCTTGCACTTTCACTGGGCATGCACAGCTGAAATGTGGTTTCAAGGCAGCAAGCACACACTGTATATAATGTGGTGGAAAAGGATATGATGATGATGATGGTCACGTGGGGCCCAGAGCACGGACTCCGAAAAGTGTCTCCGCTTATAATATTTAACCTATCTCTGCGACCAAAGAATATGATCAAGCACGCTGTAGAATTTGGCAAAATAACGATTTAATTACTTTCAAACAACACTTCAATGACTTTCAGGAGTGTGTAGCATACTCCAAAAGGCAAATTTCCTAACAGCTCTCTTTCATTTGTACGAAATTTATGGGGCATACTCGTGGCAGTGGCACAAAGAACGCCATGCCAATAAAAAGTGCACTTACTGAGGAAAACTATCATTAAAAAACAACAATAACACTGGAGTTTTCTTTGTGTGAAACATACAGTAGGACAGCTGTATCACAAGGCTGTAGAAATTACAAAAATTAAATTTTTTTTTTTATAAAAAAAATAAAAAGGATAGTTTTTTTTTTTTTGAGAGCATTAGGTTGAAGGAAGTGCCAGATTTCATCACAAAACAGGATGAAAGCGCAGAAAATAAGTTGACAGCCATAAACTTCACAACACGTAAGTGTGCAAACTCCAAAACGCGGCTTAGTGCATCGTTTCGTCATAAAACGAACGCTTTCCCGAACCGAAATCAGATGTGAAAAAGCGAAACCGAGACAAAATGCCCTTTTCCCCTTCAAGAGGTTCTGGCATGCCAAAAATAACTTATTCGGGAAGAAAGCATCCCAGTCGCAAGACAGAAACATTCCGACGGCATTCCTGCGGAATTTTGAACCCCCTCTAAAACTACATAAAAATTTTAACTTACAAAAAAAAAAAAAAAAAAAAAAAAAGTAGTATTGTCTTTGCCACCAACTTTTGGTAAATCATAGTCACAGACAAGGAGACACCGGACGCCTCTTTCGAATGCCAGGCCTCCAGTACGCGCCCTCTGCCTTCCCCCGTGTGGGCGCTCGAAACTCGCGAGATGCCGAAGTGTCATCGAAGGTAGGAAGCTTGCGCCGGTGGCGGGACAACCGGAAGACCCACCCAATGCTCTCGTCCCGTCGGTAAGTGAACTTACTGAACCGGGCGTCGCTTAATCTAGCGAATCCATTGCCGAGAATCGAGGCCCGTTTGCACACTTGCAACCGCTTGCGACCGAGTTCTTGTTGTTTTTTACGATGACAGAACAAACTGGCGCCATCTACGAGGTGACCCAGGAACTGCATTTCACCAGAGCAAAGATTTAATGATATTTGTGAGACCAAGTGTATGTACTGTCTACGAGGAATGGTCGTTTCCAACACTTGAAACCAAAAAATAAAAATTATGTGGAAAAAAAAAGAAAGCTTTCTTTGCTTAGAGTAACTGTATAAGCTCTGTGGCAGAGCCAGAGTATCGCATTAATTTTCCTTTCGCCGCCAATTTCGTATTGGTGGAGAGCGGTCGCGTGCGCCGAGCTGGATCCAATATTTGCGCGGGAAAGCGAACCTGCAGGTGCCGAGTTTTGAGTGGAGCGCGTTTCTCGCTTTACGTTTGCGAAATATACATCCTACACTAAAATTGAACGAACTGGAACGTTTTTTGACTGTTGAACATTGTCTGTAGCCGCTGAGTACGGTATAATTGCATTAATTGATAATGCAAGCAACGTTTTGAAACATGTTTCCAAAGTCTGCGAGAAGCAGACGACAAGGAGGACAATTGCGTTGCTCGCGTCTGCGGCGCTTGCGGAGTGATACACGACCGGCACATCTGGGCGACTCGGACCGGACAAAAACGCGCAGCTACGGCTCACAAAGGGATGACGTTTTCGTCGGCCACTACGTTTTACCGAGGGCATAGAGAGAAACGGCAAACAAATGACGGGATGACGGCGCACACGCGGCGTGCGGCCGCACTATATTTTGTCTGCTTCGGACGCCGCGGCACGCCTCCCTATGGCCACGTCATCCGCGCCTCTGGATCTCCCGCAGAAGCAATGGTCGCTTCCCGTAGCGCAGCCTGGATCCGACATGGCCACCCGAGAGCACCGTCGCGATACTCCGCTCTGCGAGAGGAGCGTACACAGTTATTCTACTCTCGTTGCAAGAAATTTGAAGAGGTTTGAAGCTAAGCAGCTGCGGGCGTGGGAACCAGTCTTTACTGCGACGTCTCGAATGCTCCGCGAGCCGGCCTTTGCAGCCTCCAGTGCCAGGCAGGGGGGTACGACGAGCCTAGGTAAGGCACCTGTACAAATGCGTCCCAACAAAGCGGCGCGTCCGTCACTCGTAGTACGCGAAGGAGACTTCGTAGAAACAGGCGTTGCCCGCCGGTAGTCTCTTCACCGCCTGGTGGTTGATGTGTTTGACGAACTTCAGCAGCCCGTTGTCTCGGTACACCAGTGCCAGGGAGTTGCTGCTGGGCTCTATCGTCAGGATCTGCGAGTGGCAGGGACGGACCTCGAGACGGTCTTGCAGCTTCCGTAAACACGGGCCTACCAAAACTATGCTTTGTTTCATTCCAAGTCGAGACGCAGACGACAAACTCATGGGACCAATCGGACGGCATAGAAAGCGCACCGTTGTGGAGTTCGTTGTGTTCTCGTACGTGTTCTAACCTCGCTGAACCAATCACAAACGGAAAGAAACAGTAACTCGCGCTTTTGACGATCCTCGATTGGTCGCGTTAGCTCGTGGCGTCGGCTGCGTCTGGACTTGAGCTGAAACCAAGTGTGGGATCGCTAACTTATCTACGCTTATGGCATCCACAATCTTTCGCTCGAATGTCTCGTGACTGAACGCCGCCATTCTGTTCCCTCTCGTCTGCTGCAAGTTGAGAGATGTGGGATAAGCTCCACCCACAAAGGCCTCCACTGTTTGCACTTCGGCGGAGCAAATGCCGGAGAGGAGGAACCTTCCAATCGTGGCAAGCAGAAGGCTTAGTGGGAGGGGCCAGACTCGCTTTACTTAACCTGCAACAGACTATCGCACACGGCGGGCGCAATCGGCGAGTTATGGTACAGCGCCTAAAAAGTATCTCTGACTGGTGTGTCTGGCTTCCTGCCCCGCCCATGCATTGAAAAACAGTCCCGAAGTGGCGACAAACGACGTCGCAAAGGCGCCATCGAACGATGCGATCCTGCAACGACGTGACACGTCCATGACGCCATCAGGGGGAGGTCGAGGAACCACTTTTTTGAACGCGGTAGACAGACTAGTCGGTACGCGTTCCAGACACTGCAGTTACGGTTCGAAGGTGAGATGTCCTGATCTTTAGATGCGGTGTCGGGGAGCTAAGGCCATATTGTTCTGCTCTGTTGCGGACTGTGTTAACATTTCTGGAGGATGGAAAGGCATTTCCTGCGGTTTCAAATGAAGCTCGAGATAACCGAGCACTATTATTTCTGGCACCTAAATGGCTGCAGTGTCGTTACCGCAAGGCGAAGCTTATTTAGTGGCATGAGTCGGAACCATCCATGCAACGGGGACCACGAAACAGAAGCTACAAGTGGGGAACGGCGCGAGGCACCGCATGTTACGGTGAGCGGCCGGCGGTACGGCTGACATACCTCCTCGTCTTCGTCCTTCACGATGTAGGTTGTGAATCCCCCGTACTCCATCTTCCAGTCTGAAAAAGAGGTGAAAAAAATTCATGTCGTATCCGAGTTTGTGAGACGACGAGCGCCTTCTGTTTACTGCAAGTAAGACAACCTGCATTGCCTGTGTTTCTGTAAGCGCAGGGAACAGAAGCCTACAAGGCTCGCCTCGACACAGGACGCAGCAATGGAGCCGAAACAAAACGCGAAGCTACTAAAAGACTCTCCGCGAAACCTCAGAGTGGCAGCTGACATATCGCTTTATCCGTTGCTGAAACATTGACCGCTATAATCCGTGGCTCACAGGAAACTCGTTTTCAAAATCGCAGCAGTGAAGGTTTTGGAATGAGCAGTTTCATGAAACCTCCCACGAAAATTTTGCACAGTATGGCTAGTAGTTGCGAAGAAACGATTTCCAGGTGGAAGCAGTGTAAGAAGAGAACCAACTTACGAATACGTCATGAATGGCCAGGCCGACGTACACCCTGAGTAGGGGCACGCGAATATTCGAAAGTTCGAAGAATTCACGAACGGTGTTCGGTATTCGATTCAAATCGCAACACACTTTTATGGTTAGCATTCCAGCTTTTTCAGACATTTGAAAATTACAAAGTATGCCTTTGGAACTCCTGGATTTCTAGCATCAAGCTTCACCCGCCTTCACACCTGAACACGCGCGTGCAACGCGGACGAGAAAACGCCACGCCGGCGTCCCCCGACGAGCGTGGGGCGGCTCCGGACCTCACCTCCCACGTTGAGGTAGAGCTTGAGGTCGAGGGAGCACTCCTGCGAGCTCGGGTCGTCGTCGTGCGCCAGGATGTAGTTGCCGTGGCCCCACTTGTAGACCTTCTGCGTGCATCTGGCCCTCGGCTCGTCCCCCTCCTCTTCTTCCTCCTCCTCCTCCTCCGAGGAGGAGTCGTCGCTGCGCTGGGCCAGTCGGTGCAGCCGGAGCCCCGTCAGGTTCGACAGGATCAGGAACATGGCGTCCGAGCGGAACACCGACAGACACTCTTCCACGACGGGCGGCAGCGGTAACGGGTCCTGCAGCGTGTTCCTGCCAATGGAACGGGTCGCCTTTTCAAAACTTGGCGTCTTTACAGGACTGAACTCGCTGGATCCTGGGAAAGCGGCACTAATGCCTTCCCCGCCCACTAGCTGGACACAGCCAACTAACATACACATGACCAAAGCCTTGAGAGGCGATTGGCTGATCGGTTTCTGTTGCCACGGCAATCACCGTTTTGGTCTTTTAAGATTTTTGCAAGGCTCGTTTTGAACCATTTGCGCCAAGATCACTATGGAGCGCCATTGCACTGAAACCGTTCCTCACCAACATAAGCGTCTCCATAGGTCTCTTATCTCCATAGGTCTCTTAGTGTCTCCATAGGTCTCTTATCTCCATAGGTCTCTTACAACCATATTATTTTTTTCGCATATTTAGAGACAGAAAAATTATTTCTCAATGCCTCCATGCATCGACGCCACATGCGGTGGTGACGCGAAGATGTGCGCCTGTTTCGCGAGTGTCTGGCGAACTAAATTCCTGCATGAAAGAAAGGTCTTCATAAAGCAACCCGTCCCCGCAAATTTGGGACGGTTCACCGAGAATGGAGGTCAAAAAGAGACTTCTCATTCGATGGACCAAAACTGCACCCATCGGCCACCTTGGCGCTACTGTCCCAGCATTTGGTGACTTTATATGGGACGTGGCAAATAGCGAAAGAGTGGTGCTCGGCATGCATCTTCAATATGTTTAGCGTGCGTTCACCGTGTCCCAACTGTGGTCCCTCAACTTTTACGCCCGACGACATCGCAGGAGTGTCACGTTCTTGCCAGGTGCAATTTTGGCGTTGTCCCAGCAGCGGTGAAGACACGGCAGACGCCTGTCCCGTTGCGGCCCGTTCTTAGCTCGACAGTCCACGGAAGCTTGTGCATCAACCGGTTTGGACGTCGTGACGACGGAAACTCTGGCGTTCGCTCGTCTTTTTCGCCGGAACTTCTACAATTGACCGCCAGGATCGCTACGTCCGACGTCAAAACACACCGGCTACTGCGATGACGTTTGTTGCCAGTTCGGGACCACTTTTGATGCATGGGTGGGGTAGGATGAGAAATACGCCAGTCAAAGACGCATTACAGCCATTGTAGCAAAAGTATGAAATCCTAGCTTTCGTACGGCACCTCTGGATTTCAAGTGAGGGCATTTTCCTTCGGAGCTGGAGCCAAATTGTCGGCCACCTACGCTGCTAGTTCTCCCAAGGGCATGCAGTCGCATGAACACTACTGCGCGGTGCATGTTACGGGAGCCAGGTTAACAGTCATGCTGGACTGTCCCCGTGCAGAGCAGGGACACCGGAGGTCCATACGACTTTCCGGCGTCGAAGCCTACACTAAACGAGTAATTTTTCTCATTTTGCCTAGCTCTCCCAAGAAGAACCCAGCTTGGTTTGGGTCATGAGCGACGGCCAAGAAATCGAGGCCAATTCTCTTCCGCCAACGTGCAACAGAAAAAATGAAGAATTTTGCCACCAACGGAACTAAAGGTGTGATGAAAGGCACTTGCCTATGGTTCCAGGGACCCATCCGGTGCCATATGATTGAAGGATCCCGCAGTGCCTCTTCCAAAGCTTTAAACTTCTCTTCCTAAAAAAGGAAAAAATAAGAAGCAGTAGCATCATATTTGTCCTACTTGTTTAATCTCTCTTCAATCTCGAAAAAAACATAACTAGTTTTGGATTGTGTTTTGTTGCTTAACTTTTATCTGCTATCTTCGTTGGTTCACAATAACAGCTACTGTATCTAGTTCAGGATGCCTATAGTACTGAATTAAGGTGAGTAGCCCACACTGCAAGACCTGCAGCTGCCAGATGCCAGAACGACAATAAAAGAAAAGTTACGGCACCGTAAAACAATCTTATTTTTCTAAGGTGCTGTCGTAATAAGAACTGTAGGGGTCGTTCTCCACACCACCTACGACGAACCGAGGCATCCAGACTACCTCGTTTAATCGTTCCAGCTTGTTCAGAAAAGAAAGCTAATTGATCAGTTGCTTGCAACTTGTAAAGTGCTTGCAATCAAGTAGTTTTTGGTGCCCCTAGATATTTTTGCAACATGTAAGTTACTTGCAATTAAGCATCGATCTCCACCCCTGCTTGTTTCGGTTTGGGGCTCTGAGTAAAGGTCCGTTCACACTCTTGCAACCGAGTACGACCGAGAAAGACCAGACCGGTTTTTAAGCCTCTTGCGACCTCTTAGGACCGGATGCGCCACAGCGGGGCTGGTCCTAAGATGTCGAAAGAGGCTTGAAGACCGGTCTTTTCTCTCTCGGTCGTACTCGGTTGCAAGAGTGCGAACGGGTCTTTAGACACTTGACGAGAAAGTCGGCAAGATTGGCGACCACCGCAATTGGCCAGCGCGGCACCGGCCAGCTGTTCCGGTCAACGCCCTCACCGAGCGTCCAACTTAGAGCCCTTCGATGAGCATGATATCATTACGCCATGACGCATGTTAAAGACACCAGAAAAACAGTAATAGTGCACTGACTAAATTTCTCATCTGTCTAACAGAGAGGTCAGATTCCATTTTGAAAAGACTAACTTCCTGCTGTCTGTTCATCTATACAACAAATGGGCTTACTCATCAAGCAGTTTCTTAATTACAACTAGACTGCCGTCCTTAATCGATTGGTTGTTCGAAACATGGAGCGTAAGCTAAGACAAGACAACGTCTCACAAACCTGCAGAAAGTCTTCGAGGAATATCTCCGAATTTGATCTGAAGGTCTTTCGGATCTTCTGGATGATCTCGTCTGCCAAGTAAATTGGGTTGATCCACGAACGGAACACGTCTAACTGGCAGCACAAGAAAAAGGCACGCAACAGTAAGCAGAGAGGAGAGCAATGACCCAAACGGAACAGCCTGATACACGGATGAAATATGTAAGGTAAACTATGAGAAATGAAAGTACCGAAGTCAAATATAGTACATGTTGCAGAATAAGGAAAATGGGACACGCCCTTCCCGCAATGCTCCCACTCTTTCCACTTTAACAAAACAAAAGCTGGAGAGGAGGTGAGTCCACTTACCTCCTCTCTGGCGAATGTTCTGCTAAAGTGAAAAGAGTGAAGGCCTGGGTGAGATGAGTTTGTCCCGCCTTCTCTTCACCTGCAACAGATTACAGGTGTACCAGATGCCAGAAAGCATTCCAAGGAAAGCACACTTTCTCGAACTCTTCGATGCAAGCAACCCTGGCGTGGGCACCAGGCATTGCAGTAAATGCCAATGACTCGGGAGCACGTAACTATCGCTCGTTTTTATGGCGACGGTTGTTAACGGCAAGGTTTTGCAGTGGATTCCCGAGCGTGTTTTGTGTGGGGCCGTAGCAGGAAGCTATATCAAGCGAGAGAAAAGTATACAGCTAGGTAAGCCACGTGATCGCGTAAGCAAAGCGTGGGGTGTATATACACCAACTGAGAGTGCTCATGCCTCGCTGAATTTAAAGGAAGGTGTCCACGTGCTGCTATGACATGAAAGGGGCACACGAGCACTTTCTGTAGAAGCAATTGTTTTTGATGGAATATCGTTTGCTGGGCTTCAGTCAATAAAAATGACCAATTCTAGATGGCAAGATGTCCTCGCAAACTCGCGGCAATGCGCCGAGAAACTGAGAGAGAGGACGAGACGAGAGCGCGCGAGGACGTCGCAACACCGAGCTGATTCGAACAATCAGTGGGAAGCACTAAAGCTAGCTTCCTTTGTATGCACGGCACTCGTTGAACGCGTTCGGATGCGAGAGCCAAATGCCGGCGTTCTGCGTTTTAATGCGTTCGACGAGCGCGGAGGAGACAAGGGGATCTAGCTTTAGATCTACACACTAATCATTCAAATCAGAGCTCCGTGTTCTGACGTCTCTGCATGCCCTCGCCTCCTCCTCCCCCTCAGGTTCTTGGCGCACAGAAATAAACAGGCACTATATGGGGGTGGCAGTGATGTGATTGACGTAAGCCGTTTTGGAGTACCTTTTGGAGCAGCCAAAACAGTGTTTTGGAGCAGCAAAAGTGGCCTTTGGAGCAGCCAAGACAGTGTTTTGGAGCAGCCAAAACAGTGCTTTGGAGCAGCAAAAGTGGCTTTCGAAGCAGATATTCTTAGACAAATAAAAATATTTGTTTAAAGTGCTCGACACGCGAGGGGTACCTTGCTCGCCGAAATAAACTAATTATGCGGAAGACTTGTCTTTAAAGTGACACTGACAGGGCATTTATGCTCGCCGAGGTTTGTATTCGTACACGACACATGAGAGCTCAACTGCCCAGAACAGAATTTGCGGCTCGAAATTCGGTTTTTTTCTGCCCGAAAACCGCCGATCAAGAACTGGCCGGTTTGAGTCGGGCTCACTCCCTTCTCCTAGTCATGTGCCGTTTCCTATGGTTTAGACACAACCACCAAAGATAATCAAAGTCGTGGGTCATCAAAGGCACACACACACAATATTAAAAAAAAAGACAAAAATATGATACCCATTTTTTGTGGCTTGTAAAAAGCTGCAAATGCATTGAATGAAAAAGAAAAAAAAAAAAGTTGCACAGCCACGTGACTTTTGATAACTTTCTCCTTTATATTTTCTTCTTCCTCCCCAGTCAAGTTTCAGTTTTGGTTTCGAGCAGTTGCATCTTTTTTGGCGGGTGTTAGTGTTCCTTTAAGGTGTCAAGCGACACTGCATCACTTAATGTAATGTCATGGGACACTGACGTGACACTGTGACATGACAACGACCTGATGTCAAGTGAACTGGTCCACATGTGATCGTGCTGATGACATTATGTGATTGACGTCTGCTAAACATGGTGGGCGCGTTCAGAGAGTGAGGTTTTTCATGGCGTCACGTGGCACTTTCCTCCGCGGTTCCAGCCCGTTTGAACACATTCCACATTAAAGCAGGGACAATAAAAGTGTGCCTAGACACTCTCTCGGGATCCTTACCTCCACGGAGCAGTAGCCGAGACGGTTCTCGACGGGTCCAACGTAGGGCGGAGGCCTCTGGATCGGAGGTCCGTGAAACCAACCCCCGATAGAGAGTCTCAGCTTGTCCTCGCTCAGCACCTCGGCCACTTGGTGGAACGACACCGGGCTCACCTCGAAGAATGCCAAACTGTTGTACCTGCACGCCAGAGCCGAGGTGAGCGAAGCGGCCGCGCAGGTCCCACAAACACCCAAGAGAGGACCAAACACGTTCCTATGTGCTACGACTAAAACGCGGGCCACAGAAGTCAACTTGCAGAAAAAGTCTGCGGGTTCGTTCTTGCCTTTGGTTCCACCACTCTGTGTTTTTGTCAGCCTTATCGCATGATGCAATGGCTCCACCGAAACTTTGTTGTGCAAATACTGCGTGGGACGTAGCTTGGAGTAAAAGAAATTAGATTACACATTCTTTGCGAGAAATGCCAGTGTTTGCTTAATAGAAGAATCGTTGAGAAACTAAACAAGAAAAAACAACAACCATCCTCAAGCTGTTGGTGAAACTTCCAACCAGGGCCGCAACCAGGGGGGGGGGGTTAGGGGGTTCTGACCCCCCCCCGAAATTTTTTTCTGGGTACGGCCCTGGTCGGTGCACTTGCAGCTAGCCGATTTTAATCTCCACCTCTGCGCACGCGCAGTGGCACCGGTCGGCTACCGGGTACCAAACCGGGACCAGTTCTTCGGTTTGCTATAACTCTCCATTATATGCCACCGATGCACATGATTCATAGGCGAAAATAAGACAAAATGGCCGCCGTTGTCCCCGAAAACCCCCCCCAAAATTTTTTTCTGGGTACGGCCCTGCTTCCAACGACAAGCAGCTTTGATTTCCGCATCTTTGCCTCGACACGCTCGCTGAAATCTTTGTCGGGACAAACAGGAGGCGGTGCAAGACTGAGCAATCGGCACGCACCTGGGTACGACCGAACGGACGATGTCCCTTGGACAGTTGTGGGTGTCCACGTCGAACAAGTCGAGCGCTCCGCCGTCGCTCTCCTTCCAGTTGAAAGTGAGGTAGAGGATGAAGGCAATGCGACGGCCTTCCAGCTCGTCGTCGTGGCACAGCAAGACGTCTGAAACAGAAGGACCTGGCCTTTTAATGAACCGGCAGCCCCCTCACAACCGGTATTTCAAATTTAATCTTTATCTTACACCCAGAATACAAAATGGGAGTAAGGGGACAGGGGGAAAAATTAATTGCAACAAAGCAGCTTGCCAGAAAAAGTAACAAAATATTTCAACAGGAATCAATAAGCTTCATATGAGAAACAATATATAGTTAGAGAGGAAAGAATTGGTACAATGTTTTTCTTCATGCAGGCGAATGCGAAACGCCTTGCTCGTCTAACAAGTAAAAGAGTGTCGATAATGTACTGAAGCGTCTCTAGCTTGTAGCTTGTTCGAGGACAGTGGTTCCCAAATGGGGGTTCGTGAACTCTTTGGGGTCCGTGAAGCCCAGCCTCATCAGTCAAGCTCGGCAATAAAAGGTGTCTTTTCTTAGAATGAAACGAAACATTCCAATTTCGCGGTGAGTTTTTTCGCGTATATGTCAATAAGAGAAGTCTACTTCACAATAGCCCTTAGTTATTTCATTTAATAAATCGCTATCATAATTAACCTATATCTTTCCCTTCCCTTCACCACAAATGGGGTCCTCCATTATATCCGTCGATCTACAAGGGGTCCAGGGCGTGGCACTTCCCATGACCCTGTGCTCAGTGGCGTAGCCAGGAATTTCTTTTTGAGGAGAGGGGAGGGGGCTGAAGCTTCATAAGCTGCTCCCTGCTCCCCCCCCCGGCTATGCCACTGCCAGTGCTGCACACTCCACATGCAATATCTTTTCCAATTAAGTTAGCAGTTTGTTGCAATGTATGATTTGTAAATTTAAGAGATGGTAGAATGCGCCTCTGATTGGTGTGTTCATACTGCGTCATGCGGTAAACACATCAATCAAAGACGCATTATTGTGAGATGGTGTGATAGTGGCGCCTCCCAAAAAGCACAGCGGGCAGGCAAGGCACTCTTTTGCCTGCTCGCTGTGTTTATCGGGAGATGGCGCTACAAGCTACAACCATCGTCAACTCGGTCGCCTGCAAACACGTCTGCCACTCACATTGGCAAGTTTGTCCCTCTCACTTTTTTCAGGATCCAGGGAGCTACGCCCTGATATTTCGCCAGGTACGACGCACCATCTAAACACATGTTCAGTAAAAGTTCAAACTTTCTTTGTGTATACAAGCAGATTTTTTTCGGCTAGTTTTATAGGCGCCAAGATTCATTGTGGGCACCTACTTACCAGTGTGGGCATACTTTGAGCAGGTCAAGCTGATCTTCCCATCTAATGGGATGTCTGTCACATCCTGTAGCCAAGGGACCATCTTTTCAGTCAGACAGTTTCTGTGAAGCAAAAGATGCTGTCAACCATGTATCCATCCCGACTGCCTAGCATGATCAGGTGCAGGCTTACCTGAATGCCTCTATGTAGGGTGTGTCAAACTGTTGCAAATCATCAGACTGAAAACCAAAAATGACGATGTCTGTCAGCCCACTTTAGAAATGCGCATATGAATGTTTATGCTGCTTACCTGCTGGAACTTATACAAATCATTGTTCTTCTGGTGAAAGTCGATGTCAAAGAGCTCATTCTTCAGGCTTTCCACATTGTCATTTCCGACCAAGAAATGATGCAGGAGACAGAAGTTAAAGGGCTTCGAAGTGAGTTCAGCAACATTTTCTGTAACATTGTTAAAGTCTCACTATAATCTCAGTTAAAAGGACGCTCCTCCCAGTGCTGTGTTAACAGCTCCAAGGAGGTGTTGGTTAGGTGTTGGCTGTGCAAGCCTTACGCGAGGAAACACAACCAAAAGTTCACATTTCGGCCGTCAGGGCACTAGGGGGCCTAAGGGGGGCACTAGGCTTGTGCGCGAGCCCCATGCTTTGACCGTAGCTGCCGTGCACGTGCGCGTTCGTGCAGTACATGTGCAGTTGGTAGTGTTGTGCAAGCGCTGTTCAAAACAACAGCCACTAGCCTGTGGTCAAATGACTGGCGCTCCAGTGACATTCCTTAGACAGGGTCACACTGGAGCGGGGGGGTGTTCCAGGGCTGCCAATACCTTATTTTTTTTTAACCAACGTTTTAGCATTTGTGGGTGGTAGCAGACGACCAACATGGCTCTAGATAACGCAGACAACAAAAATAAAATCACGCAGTAACTCACCGATTTCACACGGCTTTTGATCACGAAACGCTTCTCGAATGTCATTTTTCGTCGGTTCCAGGAACAAGCTGCGGTTCGCTTCCAACACGACGCTGTTCTTTTTGCGTTTCGGTTCGACAGTGGCAGTCTGGTTCTTCGGCTTGTCACTATTCATACGCTTTGACGAACTCATAATAACATTGAAGAGCAGACACAGCTCTATTTAATTCCTAGTTTTCGCAGTTTCTGCGCAGTTTAGCCCTTTAAATAGCTGCTGCACGCCGCAAACACGGACCCACGATCCACGTGAGAAATGTCACCGGAAGTTTGAGTGACGACATTAAGTTTAACTTCCAGTACGCAACTTCCGGACTTGGCCACCACTTGACGATACTTCCGGTAGCGTCCGGCGTTTCGATTGCGTTCAGTGGAGTGGAGCCGGTGAGTTGTTGTAATTTACGCTGAAAAGTCTTCATAGCCAAAAATGGTAAGTTCGAACTGAGTTTATAAAGTTACAGATTTGCGCGAGACGCGCCTCAACATCGGTGGCTTGTAATGAAGGCCCAAGTTGCACGAAAGTTAAGAGATTGTATCTTCCCACAGTTACCGCTGTCCCTGCTTCGGACTGCACAAAATCATCCCATGGTAAGTAAGCGTCACAGCTTTGTTTGCTAGTTAAGTTCGGTAACTATGTGATCGGGTGAAAGCGCCTCCGAAATGTATGTGTTTTTATCTTCTTTTAGCTTGTAGAGCTCAAAAACGGAGAAACCTACAACGGGCATCTGGTGAGCTGTGACAACTGGATGAATATCAACCTTCGAGAAGTCATCTGCACTTCGAGGGTATGTTTGTGCACAGAAAAACAAACAAAAGCGTTTAACATAGCCCAGGGAGCTTGACATACCTGCCAAGGCGTTTGGACTAGTGAGCGTTTTGTTAGGAATTGTTAGTAAAAAAAAGTGCAAGTCATTCTTAGCAGTGAGAGAGTGCAGGCGAGCTGGTAATCAATCGTCATCTTGTAAAGTCATTCTGTTGTTACACCTGTGCTGAGTAGGAGTTCTGCATTGCACATTGCATCACCACATCTTCACGTTCCCGCGACTTGAGAAGCATCTGTGGGATGTGTTAGGTGTGGTGGCAGGGGTTAATGATGTTGTCAAAGCACTATGCGAACAAACCTAATAATGCACAGTTTACATATCATGCACAGTATGATGCTATAGATATCATTCCTTATAATAAGGATTACAGTCACAAAGAGGAGGTTAGAAGATTGGTGGGAAAAGATTAAGCATCATGTCGCACAAAATTGGCCGGTTAGACAACTTAACGAGATGGAATTTAGAGCAAAATCTAAAGGAGTATAACCTCACTAACCTACATTTTGAGTCAAGTTTCCGCACTTTGAAAGGGAAGGAATGGGTTTAATTCCAACGACATTGGGAAGTATATTTTGTTCAATAATAAAACAGCAAAAAAATTTGCGACAACTTACGAGTAGAGAGCGTGTATTACAGAGAGTTTCCAACTGCTGGATGGGGGTCACGTGGTTTATGGGCCGCGTCTGCAGTGCGAGCTGCGACAAGTTGTCGAAATTGTTTATCATTTGCAAACATCTCTGCCTTTCCGTCTTCTTTCCTCCCCGCCGCGCGAAAACAAATCTCCGCAGCAGGCGTCCGCCATTAAATTGCTATAGCTTTCAATGGTTTGAGACGGACCCTCTACGTAATCTAGGCTCTCTACTTATGAGGGAACACTGGCGCCATCCATCAAGTAGCCCTGGAATTTTCTCGATCCGCGTACGACTAGACCAAAGGTTTTGCAGTATTTGCGGAATCAAATCTACGCTGCATCGAAGAGAAATGGTCACTCGTAACATTGTCAGAATTCTTTCCAAGCCCACAGCGTGAGAATGATGCGTCAAAAACGAGAAAATATAAACGTCCGTCGGGAATGCTCCAGGGCTACCGGATAGATTGCGCAGCACGTTGTATTTTTTCGGAACGCACATATTTTCATTATTGATATCACCCTACACCGAGTGTTTGTCCCTCCCCGCTCAGGACGGTGACAAGTTCTGGCGGATGCCGGAGTGCTACATCCGCGGGAGCACCATCAAGTACCTCCGCATCCCGGACGAGGTCATCGACATGGTCAAGGAGGAAATGCTGGTCAAGGGCCGGGGCAGGGGAGACATGAACAAGCGGGGAGGCATGGGCCCTCGTGGCGGCAGGGGCGGAAGGGGTCAGTACCTAACCCTCGATGCGGAAGTCCCGCCCCTCGAACGACGACGGGAGAGGTGCTCTTAACGCCTGTCGACACACTTTCGTTTCCTTACGAACAAGTAGTTGCGATCCCGTACGACGAGAGAACACATTGGCACGTGGACTCCGTCTATGAAGTGGACCTGAAACTGCATTTCTCTAGAGCGAAGGTTGTGCTGTATTTGCGAGATGATGTGCACGTAGCGTCTCTGAGACGTGGTCGCTTATAACATTGTCGAAAGTTTTTCGAGCCAACAAAGAAAGAACGACGCGTGAAGGAATGTGGGAATTATACAAAAATGCCGAGTGTTCCACAGCCACCCGATAGATAGCGCAGGTGTAGCCTCTCGTCATAAGATTCCAAGAGGTTTAGAAGCACCCAGTCGTAAGGATTCGCAAGTGTGTGAACTGGCCTTTTATGGTCACCGGCAGGATAAGAATGACCTGGAGGACTTTCAGTTTTTCTGCCTCTGGCACAAGTTTCCTACCTTCAACGACGCTTTGGTGTTTCGTTAACTTCAAGGGCGGTCATGTGGCGGAAGTATGGTGGAATGCGACAGGTGCATGCTGGAGGCCGGCATCTGAAAGAGACGTCCAGCGCTCGTTGTCCTCTTGGTCACTATAGACGTTTGCAAGCAGCCACGCTTCAAAAGCCAGTCTGGTGCTTGCAATCACCCCTACTTCAAACGCTAGTCTGGTATATGCTATCACCCACACTTCAAAAGCCAATCTGGTACTTGCAATCGCCCACATTGGGAGCACTTTCCAGTAGCTAGTCATCTGGTGAAACCTGGACCTTGGGCTCGAACAAATGTGAGACCGTAGGGGGATACAGCGCCATCTGCGGGGTTATCGCCTGTTTTGCATGCACTTGCGCGCACCGTAACGAGTAGTAGCCGATTTCTTGTCGTGCTTTCGTGGCTTGAAAACATTTTGTAGTATTGTGATAGCTAGAGCACTCCGCCAGTCTTGGCGAAGTCTTGCAATTGATTCCCCGAAATCAGCCGGATTTTTTCGGCGGCCACCAGTTAGCAGGAGGGTGTGGGTTGCGCTGCATTTTGAGTGGATGCCAATTTGTTCTTCCTTACGTACGTGTGCATTCTCTGGCATTGTCGAGCCTTTCGGATCGGTCGATGTAGTGGTACAAGACTGGCCAAGTTAGTTTTTGTTTCTATAGTCACAGGCAAGTTGGTAGTTTAACTTTCTACAAACAAATGGTAATGAGGATACAAAATGGCTGCATATCTAAACTGTGCGTCATGTTGTTTAGACATCTCGAACGTATACAGGCCTCATATACCTTTCATCGTCCTCAAGGCTGCCATTAGTTTGGCACAGAGGCCATACATTGAGATGATGATAGTGATCACAGTTGCCAAACTGAATTTCGAAAAGTCTAGCGCACATTGAATGCCCATACCACCATTCTCTCTCTTTTGCAGGCACGCCATTTGGAGGCAGGGGCGGAGGCAGGGGAGGTCCCGGCGGCGGGGGAGGCCGTGGCGGTGGACAGGGGAGAGGAGGAAGGGGAGGGCGTCCCGGCCTGGGATAGACTCGCGTCCGGGCAGTGGTTTCTGTTTAGCACATCCCCCGTTCTGCAGTGTGCGAAGAAGATCGCCTCATCTGTAAATAAATCGCCCCTCCTGATACGCCCAGACTCCCGGCTCGCTCACTCGGCGAATCGGATTTGACATCGGCTGCAAAGTGAGTGTCCGGTGGCCGTTGCGTTTCGAGCGCTACATGGTTCGGAAAGAAGGGTTGTGGAATGAATGCAACCAGCACCCGCTTCGAAACCCAGCTCGTCAAATATCTCCAAGGAAGTGTGTAAGCGTTGTTTCGATGGTAACGTCTAAATCCGTCGCTTTCAATCTTGTTAGAAAATACCGGGCAGTTGCCTTTACGTTTACCGTCCCATCCAACCCATACATCGAAAGTGGTCCCGACGTGGCAACCAATGGCGTTGCAGAAGCCGGGGTGTCGTGTCGTCCAATGTCGCGATCCTGGTAGCAGGTGCTCGAAGTCCTGCCAAAAAGGGTGAGCGAAGACGAACGTCTTTGCGGCGTCCCAACTTCTGGCTGACAAAGCTTCTGCGGACTGTCGAGCCAGAGAACCACCTGCAGCAGAACACATGCACCGCCCCTGCTGCGACATCGCCAGAACTGGGGCTGGCGGCAACGTGACGCTTCTGCTAAGTCGCCGGGGAGAATTCGAGAGACTACTTATTAGGACGCAGCAAGCACATCGGTCAGAGACACGTTACAGGCACGATGGTTGTGGTAATCATGTTTTCGTTCGTTTCAGTGCCGTTACTCATCAACGCATCCGGCGATAGAACGGCGATACAAAAGCTTTCCCAAATGGTAATCAGTTTCGTCCCGGTGCTACCTATGGCAGGGAGTCGCTTCCCTGAGAGCAAGGACCTGCAGGAATTGATTTTAGTCTTTGATAGTATGTACAGTGTGCTGAACTGTTAAATGTAACGCTCGAGCGATGGCTGAAACTGATATCACCGCCACGTAACGAAGATGTCTCGGAGAATAAGACGGCTCTTCCCGAAATTGTTGCCACTTCCCGATACAAGTTGCATGACCTTGTCATTTTTCTTTTTTTGTCAACCTCGCCTTAAATTTGAACTTTTTTCTTTCCCACCTCGGTAAATTTTTTACTACAACTACATTGCAGTTATCTTTGATACGACGGTGAAAAACAACAGCAGGAGGCTATATTTATATTTGGCACATTGACAGCATCCAAGCCTTATCGGAATTTGACTGTGTTTTACAACACTCCCCGATAAAGGCAAACCTAGTGTAAACAGAACAAAAATAGAAAGTGAAAAGGCAACATGTTTTGTTATGTTACCCCCTAAGCAAGCATCGGTCATTCCGTCCATACTGAGGGTGTAATGCAGGAAAGAACAGCGGTGCAAGCAGCAAGACTGCACTAGCAGACGACGTAGGCAACGTCTGGTGCCCATGGTCGCACATTACATTGGACAACTGAACACACTGTGGATATTTATTATAACCAGGCATGAAGACATGCTTCTACGAGATATGCATTAACAGTGTATACAAACTGTGAATAGAACAACTATTTTATTCTCAGTATTTTTATGTCCATTGGCAACTTTTTTTTACCGTTATTCTCAGTTTTTAATGGCTGCGGGAGACAAGCTGCCAAACCACAATGCCAATATTTTAAAAACAAAATACTGAAAGACGTTGGCAAATTTTTCTTATTACTTAAAACAGAAAACCTGCGACATAGCCACAACTCTTGTCTTTTGCTTTTCAGAAGTGATCTCCATTGTGAAACACGCGTTGATGACAAGGTGTGTTAGGAATCTGGGCAAGCCACATATGTTGAACTTCATTTAGTGGAATGACCATCGCAACTACAGTCCCAACTTAAGGAAAACGGGCATACTTTATTACTTCCAGGGAATAAGTTACTATGTACAGAGCTCGACAGAAAGAGGGCACGCTAAAACTTGCCAATGCTTATGCTGTGCAGTCGACAACCGCTGCCACAAAAAGCGGCTTGCTAACATCAACGAGAAACTTTGAAAAAAAAAAATAAAGAATAGAAAGATGCGACGCTCTACCCTAACTCAAACGCAATGTCCGAGGAGTACCAAAGCCGTAGTTTAACAACAAAATGACTAGATGACGTCCTTTGCCATCACCAGAAATCATCACGAGGCAAGCCGACAGACGAGGCTTAGCAAATATGGTAGCGGTTGCGTAGAAAAATCACGGTGAATACCACGAAATCAAAAAAGTGCTCCTAAAGTAATCAATCTTTTCCAAGATGCGTGCAAGCTCACACTTCTCGCAGGGGAATGGTACGTTTCGCTGGCTTTATGGCAAACTTCTCTTTCTTGGGGCAACACCTACGTGGGTGACAAAGCGAGTAACGGTCATAGATTATTTTGTTTCTCCAAGATTACCGATACAATTGTCTTATATCGCTATCGTCTTTTCCAAAACCAGTCACGTTGTCTGAATGCGATTGTTCTCGAACTGCTGTCTGCACGGCTGAACTAAAAACAAAGCGGTGTGCAAAAGCATTGACTCCTTGCATCTCGTCATTGACTGCACCGTAATCCGGACACTAACTGTACTGCAAGAGCACTTAGGTTCTTCTCTCACAGTTGCCAACCCATGCTCACAGCTTAGACGACTGAATAAAATCCGAGACAAATTAGTGTTATTACAGAATCAAAGCTTGTAAAGAAAAAAAGCAACACCTCTCCTCAGCAGGACAACACGTGGGCCAACGTGGGGCAAATATCGGAAGAGCCCACACGGGACAAATTGCATGGCAAGAATTTGCTGCCCGCATTCACGAAACAAAAATAAATGTTTTTCAGTGGGAGGCGCGGTTTTCAGTTGCTTCCAGCACGAAGCTTCCGTCAATTGCCGGGAACTATGGAGAGCGTGCTTGTCGCAAGGTCTCCCTCTTGCCACCAGCCCTACCCCCTCCGCACGTGTAAGAGCCGACGGAGTGACGTTGAAGGTTGGTCCCGCCGCCGCGCCGTCTGCGATGCAGGGTGCAATTCCTCCGCCCTCAGGGCAGTCCAAGGTCCAGTGCCGACATTGGAATGCGCAAGGATCCGACAGTATGGTTCGGGTCCCGTCAGTACGGCGTCCTCTGGGTGATGTTCACCAGGTCGTGTGTGCTGGAACGCCAAAGAGGACATAGTCAAAATTGAGGCGCTCCTTTCGTCTGCTGCCCAAATGACCCGAGTGAAGAACGCGGTAGCGATAGATATGCAAAACTGGGCAACGTGATGTTGCGCGACACCACAACTTCGCACCGCGAGTTGCGCGACGTCGCGGGGTCTGGTATGGCCCGCTTTGCGTCGTGTGACCCCTAATGGCATTAGTTGCGTGGCTATGCGACACGCAGTGGCGTTTTGTTAAACTTATTTCATGACAGCGCAGAACGTCTGTGGCGACGTCACAAGAGATCCCAACTCCGCTTCCATTAAAAAGCGTTCTGCATTCAAATATGGTTAGGACCAGAACAGTTCTATTTGAGAAAACAAGAAAGTTGGTCTCAGTACCAGCAAACTGTTTAAACCTTGCTTTAAACTGAACTAAATATAACTTCACCAATAAATGAGTAGTACGGATGTTCGTGACAATAATAACCGCCGCAGTGCAAGGAACTAAAATTTCGTCGGATATCGGATACTCCAGTGTAAATTCGCGGGATCACAACGCCCTTCCTCTATCGTCGCCGCTTCCAAGTAAAGTGTTTTTCCAGTTTAAACACTGTCTCAGCAGATCTGAGCCAGCCGAACACTCCCTCCTAATGTGCATTATCGATTCCAAAGTCTGTAAGAGGGTTCTACACTGCATTACAGAATTTATATTATTTATATTACATTAGAGAATCAGTCCTGAGACCAAAAGGGGTCGCTCGAGGTAAAAAGGCACCTATCCCTGGTCTACAGCAGAACTGCAGCACTTAGCATTTCTCTATAAGCCTTTATGTGTAGCACCCTCATTTCCCACACAAAAGCAAAGAACTTGGCAAACAAACAATGTGCAGTGCTTACCAAGGCACGTCATGGTTTCAGTGGGGAGAAGCAGGAAAAGCATGCTGCAAGCAGGCTGGGTCAAAGCGTGGCATGTTCAGCAAGAGTCAAAGCGAAGCCCAGAGTGAGGCAGAAGAGAGCCGCAAGTGTGCAAGGCAGAGCCGCCCAAGAAGCAAGAGAGGCGCAGTCTGGGGTACATGCAGGAGGGAAGAGCAGGGATTACGACGGCATGCAAGGACAGACAAATTCCGTGCAGGCTCGGAAACAATCCTTCTCGTTGTCAGGAAAGTCCCAACCCTAAAATTAATTTCTGCGCTTGTTTTTTTATGCTGTTCGTTAAAGGAGTTAAAGGGGTCATGAAACAAATTCTGGGCTAGGATGAAGGAATTGACATTGGGATTTTACTATTAGCATATCGTTTAGTGAGCCAAAAGAAAGAAGGTAGAAAATCAAAAGCCTGATTTTCGGTACAAAAATTTGGAAACGTACTTGGATGTTTCGTTTCTCCTTCCCTTTGAAAGCTCTCTGCCTTTTCACTGTGATACATTTGCAGTATCCAAAGCACGTCACCCTGCCCCAAAGCACGCTACACGACACCAGTCTTGGGTAAGTTACTTTTAAAAAGTAATTTGTTACAGTTACTTTCAGAAAAAAAGTAGGTAAGTTACCGTTACAGCTACTGCAACCAAAGAGTAACTCGTTACAGTTACTTTTAAAAAGTAACGACATTACTTTTCAGGAAAAAATAGAAAATGCCTTTCACAAAGTTTTGGTGCATAAAATTAAAATGTACGCTTTTTACTTCATATTGTAACTTAGCAGAAGTTGCTTTTCTAAGTTAGTGTTTGAAAATTTCCACGCCAAAGTAGTGGCTCAAATCAAAATACGAGACATGCGCAGTGCCCTCCGCGTGTATTGTTGTTTCACGGTTGATTCACTCGATTAAAAAGCGTTTGCACAGAAAAAAGAAAAACCATAACGTAGGTGTATTGCTTCAAGACACTAAGATGTAAAGGCTCGTTCACACAGAAAGCATTTTCTTACGTTACGTTACGAAATGTTACCAGGAAATATGTGCTTCGTAGTAAGCATGGTACCCAATTCAAGGAGATAGCCTGGCACACGACATTCGAGACGCGAATGTTTCGGTGACGACGAGCTAGGACGGTGAGTTACTGTGGCAACGAAGGACACAAGGCTCGTCGTAACATAACATAAGGAGTTGAGCTCGGTTAAATTTTTCACACTGCACCGTTTTCTTACGTTACGTCTAAGTTACCGAAACATTCCGTGTCTCGAATGTCGTGCGCCAGGCTATCTCCTTGAGTCGGTTGCCACGCTTAATACGAAGCACACATTTCCCGGTGACTTTTCGTAACGTAACGTAAGAAAACGGGTCTGTGTGAACGAGCCTCAAGTGTTCAGTTACAAAGTACAAGCGCATGCGTAACGATAACTAGGTTTTTTTTTCATGAAATTAACATGTGGCTATATTCGGGTCGTGACTTGTGAGAAAGAATGTATTCACAAGGTTGTGCAAGGCCAACTTGACACTCGAAATGTCGGAATAGACGATTTGAAAAGTGCAAGGAAAATCTAAATTGTACTCGTTCAGTGATATATTATTCATAAAACACTGGAAAGTAACGAAAAAAGTAACGTCGTTACTTTCATCGTTACCTCAGAAAAAAGCAATAGAACTACAGCTACAAGTTACATTTTAAAAAAGTAACTCGTTACAGTTACAAGTTACCAAAAAAGCAACGAAATTACAGTAACGCGTTACTAGTAATGCATTACCACCCAAGACTGCACGACACCATACCTCACTTAACCCCTAAGCTGACAGTGCGGTGGGAGCTACGCGCTTGCCGGTCCAATCAGCCGCCTCCCTTCCATCACCTGACCACAATCTCTGTGCGTGGGTATCTGCAAGGGAGCATGATCATGTGGCAAAAGTGTGGCTGGCCGAGTGAGCACGTGGCTTCCCACAGCACTGTCAGCTTAGGGGCAAACAGGGTGGGGAAAGCAACTTTTGTCCGACGTTTGAGCGATGGGCTAATCTTCTAGGGGGAGAATGGCTGTGTCCGGGTACACAAACGAGAGTCCGAGCAAGAGGGGACACCCCCCTTTCCGTCTTCTTGAACTGTTTGGTATGATGCGCGATTTGTGAGTTGAGGAGGAAAGCTAAGAAGGAAAAAGATGAAAAATCGTTTCATGGCCCCTTTAAGACAGGACACTACTCAGGAAGGCACACCTATTAACCGCCTGTCATTTGTACGAACGAAATTTTCAGGGTACAATCATAGCTAGGAAAGAGGATGATATGCAAAGTTCTAGGTTTATAAATTTATCCTTCCAAGACTCCCATAAAAGTATGCCAAGCAAACACTGCACCCCCGAGGAAAAGAATAGTCTAGAAAATGTAATGATAACGGCCAGTTATTTTTCTGAAACATACAGTACGACACCCGTGTCAAGCGACAGGAAAGGAACTGCGGAAATTAGACCCCTTTTTAATAAAAAATAATAATCTGAAAAAAGTTTTTTTTTTGCTTGCGTTCAAGATGCATGCAAAAAGCCACGAAAATTCAGAAAACAAGTTCACCAGTTATGCTCCTTAAAATTGCCACTTTCTTGCATATTGCAAATGGACTGAGGTGCTGCACACCATACAGCACACAATCATTCCTCATCATCAATTAAAATTTGGCAAGGGTGAAAGGATTGTACTGTAACGTCGTCGATTGCGACGTCGCCCGTCCCAATTTCCCCGCTAGATTTACCAAAAAAACTTTTCCCGCTAAATGTAGCGGGTATAAGTTTCACGCGACGTCACGTGGCATCAATCGTAGTGTCGCACGACGCTTAATGGTGCCACATATTCCCCGCCAAATCTTGTGGGAAAGTTTCTCCGCTAAATTTAGCAAAGAAATTCTACCGCTAAATTTAACGAGGAAATACTTCATGCGATGTCTGCTTCGTGTGAAACTTGGCAGGCCAAACCGTACAGGTACCAGAAACGCTAGGAAACTTCGCCAATGACGGGCGTCGCCATAAAAGAGAATGTCTGCCTACTTTTTTCCAAACTTGTTGTGGATGACGAGGAAGACGAAGGCCAGGGCGAGGCAGAGGCTGCCCACCGCAATGTAGGCGATCCCCAGGAAGGGGTTGCGGCCGCCCAGCCAGGACGTGTTGGACAGGATGATGCGCTTGCTGCCCTTGAACGGCGCCACCGGGTAGCCTTGGCAGCGGGGTGGGCCCCCCAGTCAGGGAGAATGACCCTCCGACAGTCGGGCTTCCCCCCCCCAAAGATGTTTCGCAATGGTCGGGTTTTTGTTTCCAAAAAAGGAATCAATGCGAGGGTGTTCTCTTAATTATTTGCTGGGAGCAAGTACAATGCTTGCAAGTTGTTCAGGTTTGGAAGCATCGAATGGAAATATCGAAGGTGATATGCATCATTTTTTTCTTCTCGATGAGTCGAAAAACTTGCGACAATATTATAAAACACCACTTTTCAGAAATAACACATACACTTGATGTCGCAAATGCCGCAAACGCCGCAAAACCTTTGCTCTAGCAAAATGCAGCTCCAGAGTCACCTCGTAGGTGGCGCCAGCGTGTTCTCGTTGTAAGAAATCACGAGAACTCGGCCGTAAGCAAAAGCCACGTGACGCGGGCAAACCAATGACTGCAGCGACGCCGTGAGAAGATGGGGTCGAAGGGGATGGCGAGCTGATGTTTATGCTCCCTTGAACAGCCCCGCTCTTTAACAAGCCTCCGTCGTCGCGGCCTCGGCAAACCGGGGGAAAAGGATACGGTACTGGATCTCGAGGTCGTACGTGCCCTTGGGAAGGGCGTTGATGAAGTACTCCTGAGTGTGATCCACCCGTCCGTACAGCTTGCGGAACGTCGGCAGCGCCGCCGTGCGCATCCACACAATCAGCGACTCGTTCTCGAAGCCGCCGACCTGTTCTGCCGGCAGGGGCCAGTTGGGCGGCTTGGCCGTGCCGTTGAAGTTCATGCCTGCGTGTGGAAGAACATCGCGGACGAGTTCTGGCAGTGCATGACACACACTTGGATGTACAGCATACACTCCTTGTCGTACGAATGTGTGACGATACGCTTGAGCAATACACTCTTGCGTCTTCGTTTGCATTCATAAAGTTTCTAATTCTTTTTAATTAATCCAGGCGTGTACCTGCATTATCCCGCTTTAGAAGTGTACTTTTCTCCCAAGCATTGCGGGCGCGTGGAGGAGAGGGGGATTGGCTTGGCCATCATGTTGAGGTGAAGAGAGTGACTGACCATCTCGTTGTGGTGGGAAGAGTGTGCCAACATTCCGCGACGTCATAGACTTTGCGTGCGAAATTTAACCACATCGGACATGATGTACTGCATTTAAAGTGAAGTACTACGAGTACTTTTGCAATTGTATCTGTCTTGGTAAGCTCTCGTCCCAACTACACACATCTTCAATGGAACAATGTACAAAATATTTACTGCGTTACTTAGCCACAGCTTTGTCGACAGTTCCAGTGATTTATCATGCATCAAATTTGAGAAATGGCACTGAAAGTCCACTGACGTAGTTTCCGCTGAAAATACAAGAAATATCGACACCAAAAAAAGTACAAGTTTGAACTCCTCAAATGTATTCGGAGCAAACTCTGAGCACACAAAAAACCCTCTCAGTACTACTTTGTGTGAAAAGTATATAGTATTAGGTATCTTGTATAGTATATTTCAAAAGCAAATTAATAGTACTCGTTTGAAAACAATTTACTTAAAAACCCCGCAAGTACCATATTTTACAGCATATAGACCGACACTTTGTTTACAAATAAGTCCGTGTTTTCCCACACCAGGTGTGGGCACTGTGCGTGCGCAGAAATCAAATTCGGGAAAACTGAATGGTTTGCGCATGTGCAGTGCCGTCGACAGCGCCACCGCAGCTGTGTGACGTCAAGACCGCGTGTTGGTCTATAAGTCGCATTTACTCTTCGAGAAGTTCCTTCGGAGTGTTCTATACAACCGTGCGATGTATGCACATTTTTCTTCATAAGTATGGACGTTACCTGCGGAGATTCAGCACGGGGGTCATGTTTCTCGTTCAGTTCATTGACGTGAATGCTGAAATTTGCTCTCGCTTACGCATCTATTGCAATAATAACACACGTGTGCGGGCTTTTCAACGCAGTTTTGCCGCATCGACCATACAAATATTTAGGTGCGACTTATATACCAACTTTCCTCTGAAAACAGCCGTTTATAGGGAATGTGCGACTCATACAAAGGTGCGATCTGGACCGGAAGATGGGGCACTTTACAACGCCGGTAACACGACTGGCCTATCGAGGCGCAGCGTAAAAGAACTGAATGCAGTCGCAGATAAGGCAAGCACGAGCTCGCATTCAAAGCTGCTCGTACAATGCCGTGAAGCGGCCCTTTCGAGGGACGGACGACTCTCCCGCCGCTGAACTTCGCTCCCCTGGCTCACCTGCGGGGTTCTTGAACTTGACCCTACGGTCCGTCGGCCAGGCGATCTTGTCAAAGAGCAGCTGAACCGTCCGAACCTCGCCCATCTCCTCGTGAGCGTTGTGGTACTTCAGCATCAGCGTGTCTGCACGGCAAGACAGGATGAAATTCGGCGCCACCTGGTGCCTCGAAAAGCAGTTTCACTTTCGACAAACTGATGGCGGTCGTGAAACTACTTCGTCCATCACTATCGCGCGTCAATGGCAGACGGAAACTGGTTCTTCGATCCCCTCGTAATTCTTTCGTGATTTTGTTTCAGCTTCGACAGTGTGGACGCGAGAACCGACTGGTACAAAGCGGAGACCCAAAAGCCTCTTGACTATATTTCCGCCATCGAAGGACGTTAGAGCCAAACTAGTATCAAAAGATTGATTGGACTGCACTTTAAAATAAACGCTTACGCGGCCGTTACATCTACCCCGTGCGTCGTGTCGTGTTTTACCGACATCTCTAATGCACGGGCCTTCATGCATTCTCCGCTTGGTAGAATCTTCAACTTCTTCCTTTGCAGTCTTCAAGGAAGTCACCATTAGTTTGGCACAGGCGCCATTCACTAAAATGACGATAGTGATCAAAGTTGTCAGACTGAATTTCGGGAAGGGTCTAGTATTGGTCCAAAACGCGGATGCGCCGAGCCAGGATATGGTCCCGTGCCACGAATAAGGATTTCACGAACCCGTTAATGTTCGAGATCAACCAGGTTTAACCTTTAAGAATTTCCAACATAAAGCTTGACAAAACTTCAACTTTTGTACACATGCACAAAAATTTAGAGACGAGCTGATGCCGCCACCTGGCAGAGGAAACATGCAATATTCGTTGAACATGTCGTTTTATGGTTTCACATTAGTGAACTAACGAAATCATCAAAAGTAGATATGTTTGCTTTCACACAGCGTAAACATAGGTAACCATTTTATACAATGTGAAATAAACTACCTGGTAAATTATTTGCTTTATTAAATTTGAAAATGCCCCCAACCTAGGCCGTCCTCGCATCCCCCTTCTGTTTTGTCGTAGAACAAATATAACGCCTTGACAAAAGTGCTTACGAAAGTCTAAACAAACCACAAATATATTTTTTCTTAATGCCGTGTGTTATCTACAAGGACATGGTTCCATAGTGAACATGCACCATCGTCCAAGCTCCCCTCTAGAACTGGAGAGTCCTAGAATACCCTAGAAACACGAAATCCTGTCCCTAGACCCCCCGAAAAGTTCCTAAAAGTCCCCAGACATAAGAACATATATCCCCACCGGCCTGCAACACTAACTTACAGTCCGTTGCAACCTAAGAACAAAGGGCGAGGGTAAGACGGGCCGGGGAGGAGGAAGCAGACGGAATGCTGAAGAAAAGAGGGGGAAACCTCCTTCCCTCTTTAGCGTTCCGTCTGCTTCCTCCTCCCCGGCCCGTCTTACCCTCGCCTTTCGTTCTTAGGTTGCAACGGACATAGGTGGCCATATTCAGCCCCATTCTGCCACACGGAGTGAAGGACAAAGGGCTTAATTACTCTCGTCTCGGCAACACTGGCGCAATGATACCACCTCTGAAGCCTCGAAGTGGATGGGGGACACGCACCATTGAAGATGCTGTTGGCGATGGCTCCACAGGGCGCTATCGTGCGGCCCTGAGCGTCTTTTGCAAACGGCTCGCAATCCGCATTCGACACCAGCGGGTCCCCCAGCAGCTGAATGTCGCTTCGTGACTTCACATAGCGCCGATGGTTCTGGTAGAAGTTGGTCAATCCGTAGTAGACGTAAACCTCCGACTGCAAGCCCAGGAGGGAAGGCATCAGAAGACGGACATACCCTTGCCCCCCGAAATTCCCTGGCCGTCCCTGCCCCCCAGTAAAGCGTTAATCCAGTTTAAAGGGCAACTCCGGTCCATACTTTAGATTTTGGGATTATGACTGTTTTTAGTGCAGTCAGCGTCCCTGAATTGCAAGGTGTAATTTTTTTCTTGTTATTGTGCGTAGTTTTAAAGATATTGACGCCTAAAAGTTTTTTTTGGGGCGCGGCCAACAAAACCGAAGCTAGCCGCTCGAGGCCCCGGCAACACTGGAAATCAGCCGCTATGTGAACGTGACGTCAAGATCGTTCTCGTTCAACGAGTACGCAGGCTGAGCGCCACCTACCTCTGTTGCGCTAGCCGTCTAAAGATAGGAGGTAAGCTGATTTTGTTTTAATTCTGTATATGTGGTAGTTATCGAGCATATGTAGCAAGAGTTAGTGCGTATATCCAAAAGCTAGCAACTGGAAAACCCGTGAACACGTACGGTGTTGTACTCGGTGGTCACCGCCGTGCGTGCGCTATGCCCTACTCGTGGCTTGTATACCCAAAAGCTAGCGACTGGAAAACGAGTGAACTGGTTCGGTGCCGTACTCGGCGGCTGTCGCCGTGTGTGTGGTCTTCCGTACTCGTCGCTAGGCCTAAATTGTCATCTGGGCTCCGTGGATGGAGCGGCGTTGCTTTATGCCGCGCTGCCAGTGATGTACAGTACTGGGGGCCCTCTCGCTTTCGCGCTTCGGGTCAGTCCCAGACAAGAAGGTTTGAGGATCTCCGGCGCGGGCCGCGGCGCCCGAAAGCACGTGTGTTGGGCTGTACACAAATGTTTTTTTCGTTTTTTTTCCCTCGGGCGCGTAAAAGCCGAAGTCCAAAGTTCACTCGTCGTACAGCGTTCACCCACACCCTCTCCAATTTCGGGTCCGACAGACACTTGTGAAAAAGCACCTCCGTGTTGCGCAGCGGGTTGTTTTAGCAGCCCACAGCGCTACAAGTTGCACTCGGCATCTTTCGAGGAACAGCTGGGCAGTCTTGGGCGCACCGAGTTGCTCGCTAAAACAAGTCTTCCTCACAAGCAAATAAACAAAAGGCCATGCAAAAGCTACACGGGCTACAGATAAAAGCAACGGCTAAACACGCCAATCACAAGCCGAAGTAGCGGTGGTAGCGGCTCAAAGAAGCGCACTCTGCGCAACGCCCGAACCAGAGGAAAAAAAAGAGAATGATATGGACGTCACGGCCCAATGTTGCTTTAGTGATCGGCAACCCGCTGGCCACCCGCTAAGGAGCAGCGGCTCGCGGCGGGTCGCATTTTTGTTATCCGCATTAGTTGAGAATGCGGCGTCCTACGGACTAATATTTTGGCTGGGGTCGTATTTTGTGTCACTACAGCGATACCAGTAATTTATTTAATTTTAAGTTTTGGCCGGAGTTGCCCTTTAAAGGCCGACGACCAGACGCGAGATTCTGCAAGGCAGAACATCCTCCTCACCTTGGGGGAGGGGGAAACAGGCAACGGTCAACAGGGTAGAAGGGGGAAAGGAGGAAGGGGGGAAAAGTGGAAAGCGCGAACTAGTTCGGTCGTCGGTCTTTAAGCCTTATTTTAGGAGAACGCAGCGAAGCCACTGGTCATCAAACCGTGGGGCACCCTACTGTTCGAAGACCGGTGGCTTCGTTGCGTTTCCATAGGAGTTAAAACTTTTCCTTTCTTTACTTTTTCCTCAAATAGGTTTGCTCTGAAAATTTTACAAAAAAAAAAATGCACCATTTGTGGAAAATGCTGCACAAAATCATAGTGAGATAGGTTAAGAAACCAAATTTGGTGGTCAATTTAAAGAGCCTGGCCACTATTTGGGACACCCAATAGTCTAGAAACTGCACAAACTAATCATTATAAGCAGTACATCGTTATAAGGGGATCGCACTGTATAATGCATCGACGATGTTAAAACATAAATAAAACGGGCCTACCATTATATATCATTTATTATGATACAGCCCAAATCACAATAGTATGGTAATTGTTAGAGTGACCAGCCGCCCCGTTCTAGCCGGGACAATCCCAACTTAGAGGTTTGTTTCTACTGTTCTGTCATTTTGTCCGAACATGGCAAGATGCTGCAGGTCGCACTGCACCCAGGCGGTCGACGAAAACTGCATCAGACACTCGCGTCCGCTCGCCTTTTCCGCCGGCATTTCTACCACCAACCGGCGGGATCACGCCGTCCGAGAGCGTGACGCACCCCTGCCTTAACTGGCAAAATGTGACACCGTTCCCAGCTGCACCGACCCACCTTGAAATCTTCCGTCAACTCGATCCGTTCGAGGCAGGTGCACGTCTGCCTGACGTCGCGCTGGAGCACCGAGGCGCATGTCACGTTCTTCCCCTTTTCCTTGCACTCCGTGTAGTCGAACTGGAACTCTTGAACCTGGAAATGCAGGGGCGAAATGGAACGTCTCCGTGTCGGTCGCCACTTCGTTCCGGGGGAGCGAAAACTTCTCAAGTCGGTTCTACGGATGCAGGAGCCAGTAGACCTCTCAATCTTACGGCAAACGGAACGACGACGGCTGTGGCACCCTTGTTCCTCGACTACCCCTGTCAAAAAACTAACCGTGGAAAATGGCATCTTAAAGGGACACTGATAGGGTATTTATGCTCGCCAAGGTTTTCATTCATACATGACATATGAGAGCCCAACTACCCAGAACACAACTTGCAGCTCGAAATTCGTCCGCCCAAAAACTGCCAATTGAGAACTCACCGGTTTGAGTTGCCCTCACTTTCTACTTTGTGGTCATGCGCCGTTTTCTATAGTTTAGACGCAACCACCAAAGATAATCGAAGTCGTGAGTAATAGAAGGCAGATACTATATGCTAAAAACAGACAAAAAATATGATATCCATTTTTGTGGCTTGTAAAAAGCTGCAAATATTTGATTGAAAAAAAAAAAAAAGGAAGTTGCACAGCCACGTGACTTTTGGTAACTTTCTACTCTATATTTCTTCTTCCTTTTCAGTCGAGTTTCGGTTTCAATTTCAAGCAGTTGGAGTTAATTACTTTACTAAAAATATATGTGATGCTGTAGCAAAATATTGATTGGGTAGTCTTCTGATGCTATAATGTATTGCCCGACAAAAAATAAAAACATTTTTTTGGGAGGCCGCCAGTGTTTCTTTCAAAGGATACTTCAACGAAATTTGAAATATACCCATCATGTCCACAAATAGGCTGAATATGATCCCCAATATCCGTAAATGACAATCGCACGCTTGTATTTTGAGCCTGATGGCTGTATTTTTCGTTATAAACAGCCCACTCTGGCAAGCGCTCGGAGAGCAGCCAGCGGAGAGCACGTCATATCTGACGCAATCGTGACGTAGGTTGTCTTGGGACAAGCAAAGCTGCAGTGAGGCTGACGTCGAGAGGATGTCCTAGTCATTTCGTCATTCCAGCCACCGAAGCGGCCAAAGCATGCCAGCGATCGGGCCACCGCAACTAACCCCAAGGGAGTTCCTCTTTCCCCTCTTTTCTCGTAGTGGCCAGAGGGGAGACAGTTACCACCACTACCTGTTAAGGTTCCTAGACGGGCGTTACAAACCAGGTGTTAGAGACATCCACCAGGTGCTCTTTGCTAATCGTTTAATTCATTTTAAAAGTCCTTTTCGTGTCTTTTTTAACGAGAGATCGGTGCGTCCGATGTGATAATGCTCCCTTGAACACTAATCGACCAAGAAATAAGCGCCGAAATTTCGTTGTAGTATGCCTTTAAAGAAACGCTGAACTTAAAAAAAAATCACAGGATGCATACACCACAAAATAAAGTTTTGACAAGATATTTTTTTAGACCATTTTTTAACAATCGAGAAATGAACTTACTGCAAATGACTTAATTTTTTAGAAAAACTTATATTTAACAAAACTAACGACTTGAAGAAAATTGACCTCGTGATTAGAACACTTCATCGAAACAGATACATAGCACGTCCCACCATATTGCAATCTTTTGTACACGGCAAAATTTGCGAAATACCGAGCCTGCGAACGTCGTTTAGAGTATATTTCAAGGTTAACAACCAAAACAGAAGCACCTTCCAGAATCCCTCCTAGCTCGAAATATGTGTTGTGACACAAATATTGAGCTAAAAACTTCCTCCTCCTTAAAAATTTAGTTTTGTTACAAATACATCTCATCTAGACACTTTAAAACACATCTTTTTGGGGAGTTCAGCATTTCTTCAAGAATACGGTCCCACTAATTCAGAGTGCCATTCATTTTCACGACAATAACACGCTCAACTTAATAAACAACCACCTTGATATAGGCACATATGTACTGACCTGCATCTATATCCTGCCTGTCCACCAATTCATTTTATAATTATATGTGAGATTGAGACATTTTCTAAATTGTAATTTCTGCTTTTGAGCGGAAATCAAGAGACCCATCAAGTTGCGTTACAATGTTACGGCAACGAAACGTAGAGCCCACACACATACCTCATTGGAGGATACCAGGAGACCGATCCCGATCGGTATGAAGGCGAGGCCAATCACGAAAAAGGTCGGCAGCACCGTGCCCGCCGTCAGGATGGGCTGCCATGCCGACAGCCGCTGCTGCTTAAATGCACTGCCTACAGGGGAAAAAAAAAGGAAGACGCAAGCTTGTGATTTGTATCCTTTCTTCTGTTCACTTCCCATGCAGGCATTCATACTTACTGCTGCAACTGCTAAAAAGAAGGCGGGAATAAACACGCAAAATGACATTCGAGTAAGTTTGCACGTGCCTCTTGCGTCGCTCCACGGAAGCATTAAATAGTGCTGCAAGTAGTGGACCTGCTTCCAAATTTTGGCTTGGATTATTCGATAGTGAAAAGCAGCAGACGTACCCAAGCTGTGCCAGATTTGTTGTACAGACGTGTCTCCTTAATACCAACCCCAGATTAATATGCATAGCAAGCTATATGAAGAAGAATTTCAAGGATGAACTGGGCAAATACATGCATTTTTGTCTCGTTATTATGGACGACTGAAATTGTCTTGGGGGAATGCAGGCGTCCATATTAATGAGACATTAGTGTACCTTAACCTTGTCTTTCGAATAATGATTATGTGCCGCTGCAAACACTGTGGCGTGCACTTAAGATGCAGCTGCTAGCTGAAATTAGTCTGCTATACAAAATCAAATACACGGAGAGTATACACCTTTCCAAAAAAACGCTCCTAGGCCGCCGCCATGTTGCTGAGGCTGATGCGGCTGGTGCGACTCTCGCGCCCTCTATCAGCTAGAAATTTTCTGCCACTCTCTTGGACTGTGAAGACCCGCTCAGCGCGGTTCTCTACCTACGTTTTTGCGCTTTTGCATTTGACGTTTTCTCAACTCTCTTGAAAGTTTCCACCTAATTTTCTTATGGGAGCTGCATACCCTTTCTGTGTTATCTTCCATTGTGACAAATAGGGCTGGTAAGTGCCTGCCATTCAAGCGTTTCTGCTCAACATTCACCGGAAATGAAGGAGGGAAAGAGGGAACAATGATCGCGATTTTGCGAACATTGTTCTTCCCCCTCCCGAAGATAATCTGCGTAGAGTCCTTCTCAGTCATAGCCAAAAACAGTTGTCCGGGTTGGGGTGGGAAACGAGTCAGTTGCGTTCGTTCCTTTGCCTTGGTGTTGTTGTGGAAAAAAGGAAACTCTCCACAAAATGTGCTTCAAAACAAAGTCATCTTGGATTCCGTCCGATCGTCAAGATGTGACTGTCATTGGATTGTGACTGTGTTATTTGAGATCTTTTTCAAATTAATTCTTTTCAGATAACACTGCATCGTGTGGTACATACAATATATTGTTTGAATGTTAACACTCGCTAAATCGTATGTCTATGTCCTGTCCATCGGTAAACACGTTATTTGTGTGCGTGAAAAATGCACCCCTTTCGGCTATCTTCTGCTGTAAATTATTTTTGACAGCTAAATACTTTGTCATTTGACATGCGGCGAATCGCGCGGCGCCTTCACAACTTATCGTAAAAAAAACAAAAAAAAACTAAAACTATACATTCCCGTCGCATTTGTTCTGTTGCGCACGTACCTAAGAAAAATAGTTTATAGGTTTTTATTGCTTTTTATTTTTTTCAAATATGGTACAATGCTTTCTCAATGACCTTGGGAAAATACATGCACCATGAAACACAAAATACAGCGGGATAACACGAGAACTTGGCCGCCAGCAGTGTTTGAAACTGTGCCTACGCGGACTGTGCCTATGCGGGCTGAGCCTATTGAGATCACAGCCCACTCGGTTAGGGTTAACAGGGACGCCAGTGACAGTCTCGCCTCAAACCCAGCGGATGGGCTTGAAAGCGGTTTGCTGCCCCTGGGGTCGAGTGTTTCTTGGGAAGGTGTGTAGCACTCTTGGCGGCAAGCTCCGGCACCCGTTTCTCACACACTGTTTCTGACTTCGTCCTTTTTAGACTACCTTGATCAGTGTGCGTCACCAATTCTAAAAATCCCCACGTTATCTACATGTGTTTCCCACTCGTGCACGAAAAGCGCATCACAGGATTTATATGCCTTATCCCTTTTCAGGACTAAAGACAAACCTTCTACGAAAAGAAAAGCAGAAAAAAAAACAGAGTGCAATGATTGGTGTACACCACCCAGCTCCAAAGAACGCAGGGATTGGCGTACACCACCGTGCGTTTGTGTGAATGGTGAGTGTGCTGCTCTCCTTCTTCACCACATATAAAATAAGAACTAGCACGACCTCAATTAAGTCTGCACTTCCTTTGGGGTTGGACGACTCACCAATAGCCATTTGCTGAAATCGTGTATGAACCACTCTATACTTACTTTTAGCACAAGAACTGTAGTGAAAACAATAGGTAGCGCCCATGGTGGAGCGTTACTAATCAAGATGCTATTTCAAGTCAACAGCAATGCTAACCCTTCTCCTCTCAAGCCTCTTATGCCACTTCCCGTTTTCAAGACGGGTCTTTGATGTTTTGCAACATAAGAGCGGGATGTACAAAAATGTTAGTTGCAAACCGGAAAAAAAAAAAAAAAAAAATTTAGTGCGTCTTGAAACCTGGCCCATGGAGCACATAGGGAGCAACAGGTGCAAATGAAGAAAAGGCAATTCTACTGTCTTCACTTCTGCTACCTTCTCCACTCTATTAGGGCAGTCTTTCCCTTTCCACTTGCGCTACCCTCGCCCCCAATGCCCCTCCAGGAAAGTGCACAAAATTTGAGTCGGCGTCTGTTGGAGCCCAATGCTCTGAATTAAAACCACTGCCGCAGCGTGTTATGCACACCTGCAACATTACGCTGTGCAACAAGGTTTGCCGAGAGTCTAGAACGAGGTTCGACGTTGTTTATTTAGAAGGCAACCAATATTTCTGCTTTTGCTTCCCATCCGCACAGTCAAACTCCTCGCCAAATAGCTACGGACAGCGTGACTCTACCATAAAATATACAAAGATGTGGCCAAGGGATCTGACTACAAACGGATGAACACATCACGGGCACTTTCATCATCGTACGTGGTCTCTGAAAAGGCAATAATCCAAATATGCAGATGAATGAACCATACTTGATAGAATGAATCAAAGTCTACGAGCCTGCCGAAAGACAAGATCTTTGGTGGAGCCAGGATTTGAACTCTTGGTTTCCCAATATCCAGTCGGTTATGCTAACCACTGCGCCACTCTATAGTGGTGTAGTAGTTTAAATCTCGGCTCCTCCAATAATTTTGTCTCTTGGCTGCATCGCAGACTTTGATCCGTTCTACCTAGTACGGTTCATTCATCTGCATATTTTCGGTTATAAATGGATGAACAGATGCGGAAGTCTTTTCCCGTATTCTCAGCACTACATGTCTAAGAGTTGAAATTTTGCACGGATGTGAACCATACAAGGATTCGAATTTTAGACATCCATTATGACATGACGAATTTCGTTAATGGCAGATTATGTTAATGATGATCTATGTATGATGCTAGCTTGTTTATGACCTAATAAAGGAGGCATTTGTCAAGATGTGCTGTGCGTGAGAAGTTTTTACGTTCCGACTAAGCACCAGTCTAAGAAAAAAAAAAAACCTCTTTTTCAATCACAATATTTAGTCCAGAAAACTACAAAGTGTTCTCGAGCGATGTTCGAGCGTAAAATTAACCGCATAAATCGGCCAATAAAGTGAGCGCAAACGAAACTCTTCACAAAGGAGTCTTTAGATGGTGTATTTATCATATACTCAAATTTCGTTTGTAGATGTTTCCAGAAACCAAAACGAGAAAGAAAAAACACTATATATATCTATGCATGAGGGGGGGGGGGGGGGGGGGACATAAACAAACTGGTTGATGGTGCCACTCACAAATGGTGCCACCATTGGCGATGCACATTCGAAATGCAGACGATCTGACCGTACACTTGCTGGGAACTGCCTTCGGGTGTTCAATAAAAGGAAACTTTCCTCAAGTTTCCATTCGAATAGTAATTCCATGTTTTAAAAAGGATTCCTTCAGCAACATGCAAAGCAGACGTTGTCGCCGAAAACGACCTTGCTATCGTCGGCTTTGTCACTAAGCCTCCTTTCTGGTGCTCACCCCCTACACCGGAGTTTACGTGTTTTTTAAAGTCGCGGCTCCTTTTATTGTATTTTTTCTTTTCTTTTTTTGTGATGGTTTGGCGTGCTGTATGAATAGAAGAGGTTGTTGGCCACTTCCTTTCCTCGGAGACAGTGAGCACCGATGCCTAATTCCGAATGTTACAGGAGCAAGTATTCCCGGAGATGGAGGCATACTATATATATATGCCAGTGGTTCTCAGTTGAGGGTCCGTGGACACTTTAGGGTCCCCAAAGCCTTGAACCGTCAGTCAAGCCAAGCGCACAAAACTTTTTAAAAATTTTTTATTAGTGCTGGCTGTCTTGCAAAGCTAAATAGACCAAACCACGTGTACTGAGTGAGTAGGGTGGATTATTCTCAGTTTTATAGCCTCAAAATTGTTTCGCACGCATTTAGTTTCCTTCCTTTACTCTTTTGTATGCGTAATCATCCAATACCCGCCACTCCCTTTTGGTGAATGGGGTCCCCCATCATTTCTGTCGATCCAGAACGGGCCTCCAAAACATCAGTAAACGTGAACCACGGCCATATGCAAAAAGAAGTGTGCACATTTTAGCAGGATAGGGCACTTGCGCACTTCGCCATGTCAGTGCGACAGTGGCTGAATAAGACCTTCCCGGGTCTTTGGATGGGTCGCGGGTCTTTCAACATACCATGGCCCCCGCGTTCGCCCAGCCTGTCCCTTTGCGATTTTTTTTGTTTGGGGCTATATCAAGGCAACAGCGTACACGGGCCTGATAGTATCTATGAAAGAGCTGAAAGCCCGCATTAAAGCATCCTTTTGACACTATTAGCGACCGTATGCGTAAGTCACGCTAAATAAATATGAACAGCGATTGCACAAGTGCGTTGCACTGAACAGTGAACATGTTGAGCTGTAGTGAGATTTTTTTCTTTTTTTAATTTAGCGTTGTGGCGTTTTCTTGACACAACCACACAAGCAGCGCCTCCAACGTTTCACGCTGATAACCTCTTCTGGTATGGTGGCGCCATCTGTGAGCACTGTTTGTTTAAGTTCTTTTACCCCGCGCAGAGATATAGCGTTTTTTTTTTTCTTTCTCGTTTTGGTTTCTGGAAACCTATACTCGCAAAATTTGAGCATGATAAATGCACCACCTAAAGACAGCCTTGAGAAAAGTTTCAATGCGCGGATACACCCTGTAAAGGTTTTCAGTTCAGCATGCAACTATTCCACGAAATCATTCGACGAGACAAACATCGTAGCGCTCGCAAACTCTGTTATCAGAGAATTCCCAAAGCTTGCGTCGACCTAGATTACGGGGAATTGGCTCCGCCTTTCACCATTGACGTAATCCGTTTTACCATCACCGTAATCACCTTTTGAACGGTGCAAAGGGTTCGAAGTAGCCATAACAAAAAGGTGTCGTACGGACCACTGGTTTTGCTGTGTAGTTTCGACAACAATTTGTTGCCTTCCGTGAGCCGAGGCGGCTCACGGAAGGCTGCGAATATTTGCAGCCGAGTGGCAGAAATAAACTCCCGTCAATCTTCTATTACATATCGAAGGCCGTGCGGGCTTGAGGAAGCTACAGGCAGTTTACATCTGTAGTCCTCCTTTCAAACTCTAGACGTTATTGTTGAAGATGAGCGTAGTCTACGCTTAAATACCCGTTCTGGCAACACAATTCTAGTTGCACAATCACATCCGAACGAAGAGTATACTCACTCGAAGGCTTTTTGCTCTTCGATCGCCTCTCGGGGGTGGACATTTTTAGCGTTCAAGAGCGCCGGAAGTGACAGAGTCACGTGGTTTCTCGGCCCACGTGATGCTTTACCACGTGACATTCATTTCAACTTCCGGCGCTACACCCGAGCGCCCGAACCGCCGTGTGGGATGTGGCGAGAGCAGGGAAACCGGAATCGAAGGTAGGAGATACGTTGCTTCCACCGTGGCAAGAATTTCCCTCGCTCTTCGATTCAATTAGCAGGCCATCAAACCGGCACTGGCTAGCGGTCATCGTACTTTTTCTACCGAGAGGCTAGCTTAGGACCCTTCCGAGGAGCTTAGGACCCTTCCGAAAACCCTCGCTGAAGGATATACCTTTACGTCAACCGCTTCAGGAAGTCACAGACGAAACCACGATCGTGCAACTAAATTTACGTAAGGAAAAGAAAAAAAAAAAAAAAAAAAAAAATATATATATATATATATATATATATATCTGCGGGGTAGCTGAAGATTGGGCACTAAAAACAACGTCAAATAAATTCCGTCTTAATTTTTTTTATAATTTTTTTTTATTTTTTTTTATAGAAATGAATTTTACAGCTGGTCAACCAGTCTGTAGGAATGTACCGGTTGCGAGGTATGGAAATGTTGATATCTCACATAAAATTCTCTGAATATCAAAAGAGATATTTTATTTATATACATATTTTTTTTAGCTAACGGTATGGTATGTTGATCTGATACATGCATTTGCCTTGACATACCTTCGTTGTCGGCCCCGAGTTATTACAGCGAGAATGTCAAGTATCTTAGGCGGTGCCCGGTTGCCGGTGCACTTAGTTGATTGGTTCCGCGTTGTGCTCCCAATGCCACACGTGTGGAACAATGGCATAGGTCAAGGCTATCATCCTGAAACATCGCGAGCTCGATATCAATGTATAAGATTTGTGAACTCTAATTATTTGACAACAAGTAACATAGATGAATAGTCTGTGTACGGCGTGATGGAAAAATGTTTGCCTTCATAGAAAACACGAAATTTGTTTCCATTTGCATCCGTGTGGCGCGCGCGCCGATGAGGTAATTGATCAATTGATTTTTCTCTGCGATTAAAAGACTGCGACGTTTTTTTTGTTTTGTTTTTTCGTTTTTGCTTTCTAGAAACCGGTTTCGCAGACTGGGTAACCCAGATTTTGTGTGTGTATCTGTATACATTCAGGTTTTTTTTTTTTTTTTTTGTATTATTATATCGGGTTTATATAGATCCTGGTAAAGTACATAACATCTTCCTTTATTTTTTTAATATTTTTTATGGGTTTTGTTTTGGAACAAGTTTGTTATTGCCTTGGAAGCAAATTTTTGGCTCAGGGTCGGAATTTCTAAGTAGATAACCCGTTTCTAAAAGCAAAGAAAAATAAGTTAAACTGGTTATGTAACTAGCTTCTAGCGCGGACTTGGCTATTCGATATATACACTGTTTTCTAATAACTGACATATATATCGCGGGCTTTACATATAAGCTTGAGTATAAAAAGAAATAACAAAAAGTTGGTGCCCTCTATACACTGCTCGCAAAAAAAAAAAAAAAAAAAAAACGAGAAAAATTAAATCATAACACATAGCAAACAGAATGGCGTGCATTGACCATTATTACCATCTAGTTCAGTTAAGTGTTCAGTTTCCAGTAATAATGATCATTTTCCATATCTTCTAAGGGTTAACGCGCGCCAACACCTCGAATTACGTGTCGTGGATAAAGCCGCTGGGAGTTCGTCTGATAACGTAAAGTGTTAATTGCCTTTTCGGAAGTCTATTTTCTTTTTATGACTCATGTTTTGCTTTCTTTCTTTTTTTTTTTTTTTTTTTTAGATACGGCTTATTAGTCGCCGGCAATGGTTCCCGAGCCATCCGCTACGCAGGTTGAGGCGGCACGGGCTGCACACTGCCCACACAGACACAGCCCACCAAGGCAAGGTGCGTGCTGACGTGCGCCTTGCGTCGTCTGCTCTGGCGCCTCGAGTGCCGTCTGCTCAAGCGTCGTCTGCTCCGTGTCGTCTGCTACAATATCGTGCTGTGGTCTCAATATTATTATTTTTTTTTTAACAAGAGGATGCCAGTTGAACAAGTTCATGGTCACGGCGACAGCGGTGAATGGTAACGTCCTCATGATTCTTCTTATATTATTTAATTAAAAAAAAGACACAGAAAGTCAATTATTTTGTCTAAAAAGAAAAAAGAAAAACAAATGCTGTTTCTTCGTTTTGGTGGAAACTGCTTAAACATGACAGACCCGATTCAAAGCAGCCGTAAGTCGTTTTGTTTCGTGAGTGATAGCGCGAAACCTGTAGAACGGGTCGTACTTAATCTACTTTCTTTCCGTTGTTGTTGACGAAAAAAACTAAAAACGACGAACGAAAGAAAAAAGAAATTCACCTTTCTCACCCCCTGAGAAACATCGCGGCAGGTTAAAGTTTAACGATCTACCTACCCTTTGCTCACCCCCGTAAACCTTGGTCCGAGCGTGAACGGGCTCTGTGAATTAATTCATCGCACCGGAAAGCTCTTACACAAGAGTTCGTGTTGTCCGTCTGGAGGCCACAATCATTATAACGGTGCAGCGGAATGCCGGCAGCGACTGCTCAAAAGAAAAACATATATATTCTTTGTATTTTTTTTTGGTATGTTATTTGTTGATGGTTTATATCAACTTTCAATCGGCGTACGCACGTACCCGAGAAAGCCACACTTCCTCCTCATCCTTTTTCTAGTTTCGAAGTCGGTCAAGTCAGATTTTTTTTGCTGTTTTAATTCTCGTCCTCGCAGTTTTTCAACTCTCTCACGACCAGCACCTTTCCTTTCTACAACTCGCCTTCCCCTTTCCTTCAATTTGTTACGTTTCCTTTTCTCTCTTCTTTGCGGTTGCGAGTGTCTACAGGTCTTGATCCCTTTTTTCTTTTATATTTTGTTTTGTTTCTTGGCTTTTGAAGCGCTCTCCCCTGTGGTTCCCACACTCTGCCGCCTTCAGTCGGTGCCTTGCCGTGAACCGTTTTTGCCGATCTGGAACTCTGTGTCTTTCGCGAGCACACGTGGGACCTCTGGAAAGTCATCTCCAGCGTTCACACTGTTCGTTCTAGACCGACGTGTTTTTGAACGGTTCGGACAATCCGTCACTTTCGCTGGTTCTACCATGTCGTCAGCTAACAGCGAACGGTGAGATAGCCTTCCTTATCTTTCTGTTTAGTGCCGAGTTCTGAAAACGTTGTAGAAGCGGTGCATAACAAGAGAGGAGGTCTTGTGTTGTGGACAGATTTTTTTTTTTTTTATCTGAAAACTGATGTGAACTTTATGATAACACTGTATCCGAGCAAATACGCACGGGTAATATCGCGTCCTTAGTTATATGCCGCTTCATCCAGATCTGTTCCTCGCCAATATGTGGCGGCTCTAGCATAGTTTTAGTCATCCACTGCAGTGACGCGAACATCGATCCTAGGGTAATACCGTTTGCATTCGACATCGAACGTGAATATCATGAGCTGGACGTACACTTTCTCCCAGTGTGCATATAGGCGATTTGTGCTTTGCACAGTTACGAGCACCCATTAAAACAATATTTATAAAATACAAATTTCTACTTGTTGACAGTATCGTAGCCTACAAACATTAGGCGACGTTTTATATGCTGTACGTTGTGCAATAATTGTTTTTAATGTATATTCGTAGCGCTGGTAAATGGTAGTGAAACGAGCAGACGACGTCAAGCTAGACGACGTGCAGACGATGCAATCTGTACCGCATACCCCTGGCGCGCGCGAACGCACGGCACACAGTATGGTAATGAGAGAAAGCTAGCCATTTTTTTTTTCTTCCTATACTGCGTTTTTTTTTTCTTTTTCTTTCTTGAAACAGAAATAAAGGCGGGCAATCCTTTTTGTTTGTTCACTTCGTGATAGCAGAAATGAACAGGTACACGATCTGCTTTTCTCGCCAAATGAGAGATTCAACTTGTTTACATTCCACCCGCCTTATATGCACACTTTTGATCAACACAATTTTGACAACATCGGCAGTCACAAAAATGGCGCTCGGTAACTACCCAGTCCCACCAATAAATGAAGTTGGGTTGTCAACATTGGTAGTCGCTATCAAATTATTCGAATTATCGGATTATCCGAATCAGAACTTCTCGAAGGAGCCGACTGCTGAGCTGATGCAACGTTGTTCGGAGCTAGTGCATTGGTTCGCACACTTGGTTGTGAATGCAACTTAAATTGACTGAAGCATTTTTTTTTAAGAGTTTTATCTGGGTCGGTGGAAAGTGGTCTGGAATTTAAAATGGCAGTATACGTTCGGCCTCCGCTGTCTGGGCAGTAAAAGCCTTCCGGAACTAGAACCGGACTACCTTGGGTTCTCGCCGAAGCGCCGAGGTCTTTGCAATTTCTGCTCAAAGACAGGTTTTTTTAGGTTTCGGTGGCATTCAGACCGCGCACGAGCGGGGTATCTAGTAGCAGACAAGATGGATGAAAAGAAAAGGAAGACAGACACGCTCTTTTGTCGTATCCAGCATATTTACTTTTCCTTCCTAACTGGCTGTCGCTTCTTGTTTTATTCCTCGTCACTTACTTTCCGCAGTGAACGAGGAAGCTAACTAGAATGTCGTGCACTCTAGTCATTTTTTGTTCAGCGCGCTTTTTTTCTGAGTCAGAAAAAAAGTGCGCTGCTGATGCGGCTTCGAATGCAGAACCGAAACTAACGCCGACGGGCCGATAACTAGGATTCGAAGTTTGAAGGCCGATATCTACCTAATTCTCCTAACTACATAATGAATTATAATATTACGTTCTTCCGTTATAAACATCTGGTCTTTACAGAAATAAGTGTCTTTAGTTTGTACTACGAAGACAAGATGGCGCAAGCTACCGTAAAACTTCAAGTCAAAGGAGAAGGAGCTGTTGTCCACTCAATGAGATTGCTTCTTTCTTTACGCTTCCATCGATCCACTAGTACGCGCGGCGTCTGCCTCGTCTGCCTCTCGCCTTGTTTCCGCGCCCCACACACGTATCAGCTCAGCGCCAAGAAACAACAAAACATAATTCACTGGGAGTGCAATAACTTCGATCAGCGTCGTCTTGCGATAACATAGCAGCGTGTCACAATCTTTCAACTAAGGCACGAGTCGCGTTTGAGTGGGCGATCAGCGGAACCGACAGATAATTTTTTTTTCTCCGTCGGAAATCTGGGCCGATCGCAAGCTTACAGCACCCTGGCCGCAAGTGCGAGTTCGTACTGCCGTGCGGACGTGAACGATGAGTTTGTACGTGGTGCGGGGACGGCGCTTTGAGCGCGTACATTCGGCAACTGCGTCGGTTGTGCCCGAAACCGTTGGAACTGCCGGAATCATCGTTGACGACGACGACTGGCGAACTCCAAGACCGTGAGTCGTGTTCAGCGCTACGGGTAGTAGCGCAGTGGGCGTTGCTCCACGTACCCTCTTTCGGTGTGCTTTTTGATCTGATATCGCTAGTCCTGCGCTCACGTGAAACCAACGCCTAGTTGGAGTGTATTTTCTAAAAGTTTGTTGGGGGCTGCAAATACTGAACTTCATATTGTTATGATGCGCGAAGAGCTGTTTTCAGACGTCTGTTTGTGAAAATAGCTGTTTTAAAACAGTCTTTTTCTGTTTTCGTTTTTGGCAGACGAAATTTTTTGAGCAGACGATCAAGTATTTACAGACGATCAGATTTTAACAGATATCTGATTTTAGCAGGCGAAAGGTAACGCAGGCATTCCTTTGTTTTGCGCTTCGCAGACGCGTATGCAGGTTTCATTTGCCGAGTTGCTTAGCTCACAAAAAATCAAGAAAAAAAAATCTAAGATTGAAAGACGAGGAGAAGGATACAAAACAAATTGCTATCTTCGTCAGTCTTGTTCACGGAAAACAATTTCGAATATATTTTCAACCACCAGTTGTTGTGTGAAAAAAACAAAACAAAAAAAAAAACATATTTTTTGGGTATCCCTAAAGTGTATCAGCTTGTTTTTTTTTAACAATTATACATTTATATCACAAAAAAATATAATCACCTGAAAAAATTGTTTTAGTCTCAATTGTTTCCTGTGAAGCGCTTCTCGTTCAAACAAGCCTCGAGTTTCACCCTCACACATCTGTTAACGACGACATATTTAAAAAGTAAGAAATAAGTGGCAGTGGATCGAGTCTTCTAATCTATGCCAAGACGTTTTTGTGGCACTCGAGAAAGTGCCTCGCTAGTGTAGATAAAAGAAGTCCACAAGCTCCTCTTCTCGTTGCCGCAAGCGGCCCACTTCCCCTGTCAAAAGCCACGACGCCTCCTTTTGTCGGAGACAACATTCCCAGTTACGTGTTGTTTGTGTCGCGCCCGACGTTGTTCCATACGTGATGGAGTTACGTCTGTCGTAGCGATGAATTTAGCTTGTTGGGGCAAGGCGGACACGGATCTGGGATACAAAGCGGATATTCCATCTTTGGTGGCGTGACCGTTACAGCTGTCAACGCAGAAAAACAAAACTGTTTTCCCCACGTGTTCACACGACAGACGCACAGCTGTTGCTCGTTAGTTTCGGTAGATTTCTGCATAGTTTGTTTATGGTTCTGATACAGACACGAGTGCCACTTCTGTGGATCCATATCGTTTCTAGGTTAACGAGAAGAAAAGGAGTAGCTTCTCGGATTGGAAGCCGGAATGTAGCATAATTCAAATTGATGTAGTAGTCAATGTTCCTGTAAAAGCGGGGTCTTCTACGTTCACGTCAAATAAAGGCAAAATAGATTTTTATTAATCCAAGGGGCATGTTCTGGCAGGAAGAACTTGAAGAAGAAACTTCCCGAGAAACAATTACCACCGAAGAAAAATGTCAGGTGCCGGTTTTAGGCATATTGGCAGGTTTGTTAGGTCTTCAACCCCCTCTAAGACAATGTAACATAAAGAGGGAAAGCAAAACAGATGGAACTCGATCCCCACTTGTGCATTACCCAGTCGCATTTCTCCAATGTGGATAACCACCAGATTTTTGTAAGTATCGTTTCACGTTACGATTACCACACAAATTCCATGTCCGCATATTTCGAAAAATAGTAGCAATAGAGCAACCTATCGAGTCCAAACTCTCTTTCTGAACGTCGGACCCACCAATTTAGCTTGTTTTCACGCACCAAGTAGCAACCTCGCTCATCGAAAACGCGCATTTGTTTTTTTAAGCACATTATTTTTAAAACTAGGATTGCTCTATTCTAATGACGCATCGTTTCCGCACAAGCGGAGGAGTGGTACTCCACGTAGCCAGCAGCCGAAGGCAAACAGAGCCGTCGCTATCTCGCGTGACCTCGCTCAAATAAACAAAAGGGTTTAGGCTCCTTCAAAGCAGCCAGAGGACGAGATACGTGCCAAGGTCAGGACGTGTTTTTGCTCGTGTCTCATTTTAGGTTCACAAATGAGGAGCTGGAGGACATGCGAGCTACGCTCAATGCCCACGGGCAAGAGCACCTCCTGCAGTTCTGGCCGCAGCTGGACGACGACGAACGTTGCCAGCTGATGACCGACCTGAGGTTAGTTTGCATATGCCATGTTCTGCTCGAGGTTTTTGGCAGATGGGCGAGAGGGGGATTTTGCCCCTCCTTTCCCCGAATTACGGCGATGTCTCGTTAATGTTGGCACCTTCATTCCCACAAAAAAAGTGCCCATAAATCTGAGCTTAATTACGTGACGAAAAGGCCCGCATTTACCCGTTCGTCTCTAGAAATGCTGTTGGCAGGAGCGGGTGATTGCTGCCCCCACCCCCCGTTCCAACGCCCCCGCCAGTCACTGTGCCAATATTTCGGCCGAAGCACCCGCTGTGTGGACGTGGGCTTCTTGCACCGTAGGCGCCATGCAACTGAGATTTCAGTTGTGTCAAGGATCTCCGGGTGGTCTAAATGAATCCTCAGCGCCTCGCTGAAGTTTTCCAGATTCCTTAAGGTTATAGAAAAAATTGTAAGGGTGCAGGCGAGCTGGTGAATAATAACCATGTTGAATTAACCTGAGACTGGGGTAGAGAAGAAACATCAAAGCGTAGAAGAGAATTGAGACGTCGTCCTGTCTATTTTCTGTCTCTTCTACGTTTTTGATGTTTCTTCTCTACCCCAGTCTCAGGTTAATTTAACATCCTTAAGGTTGTTTCGGGGCACGAACCTTGCCAAAACATCCTCCCAGGGGTCAGCCCAGTTACGTATGGAAAGAACAGGTTGGGAGGAAATGAGTCTACGGTAATATCCCTAGAGATAGCCCACCTAAAATCGAGAGCAAATCGGGTGAAAATAAGGAATGGACTATCTTTCGGTGTACATTTGAGAAAAGTTGAGCAAAGGCTATTTTTAGATCATGTTTTCCTGCCAAACTTGTTATCGTGACGAGGGACAAAAAAGGAAAGAGGACCGTACTTCCCAGTCAGTGATGTTCGCTTATATCCTGCCACAGCTGACTGACTGCGTTTACACCTCGGTCATCATTGATCTGAACACCACGATTGAGCGGGCTATTTTTCGGTGTTTAAAAGAAAAGGGCAAATCAACCGAAAAATAGAGGTTTGCTATCTTTCAGGGGTGGGGCCATCGGAAGCACAAAAAAGGTGAGGGGCCACTCACTGTCACGTAACCTCAATGTCAATCACCCTTATAAGGTCCTTCCACAAAGCCTTCCACTCTTTCCACTGTGGCAGAGCAAACGCTGGAAAGGAGGAGACCAGCAATCATGGAGAGCAGAGTGCTTTGTGGAAGGGGTTGGTTCTACTATTCTAAGCCTGTAACAGGCTATAGTAAGATGAGGACCCAAAAAACCATCTTGTTTTCGTAGAAAGGTTTTCGGCACCGGTCGATGGCAGCGAGGTCAAGGACTGGTCTCGGAGGAGTAGCTCCCGCGTATGTGCGGTTGCACCGTTTCCGAGAGTGGCATGACGCTTGCAGGTACATAGACTTTGAGCGGACTTCGAAGGCGTTCAAGCAGGCGACCAACTCAGGCTCCAGCGACCCGGAGAGCCTGGACGACCTCCTGGAGCCCATCCCTGCCGAACAGCAGGGCTCGGTGTCGCGCTGCTCTCGGGAGAAGCTAGAGGCTTACCGGAATGAAGGTTGGTGCTCCGCCTGTGTGCACGTGCCGTGCAAGCGGCATTATGTCATGAGCGTGGACCCAAGCGGGAACATGTAACGTGTGCAGCAACAGGTGAGACTAGAAAACACCTTGTCACAGCGAATGAGATCGTAGAATGCAGCAGCCAGCAAACGAGATCATATAACACTCGGAGCAGTAAATGGGAACATGTAACACTGTAAGCACCAACTGTGTTTGTGCAACACTTACCACAGCAAAATAGCAAATTGTTGTGTGTGTGTTTATACAGCCGGAAGGTAGTCTGCCGTAGTGGGCGTCTGGTGTCTCGGCAGTAGATGAGCAATTTAGCCGTTGCGGTACAATTGCTAGCCTGAGGTCTTTAACGTGCACTTTGCGGTGGTGCCACAGGAAATGGCACTATGTAACACTCGCGGCAGTTATAGGATAGTACCACGTAACACTTGCGGGAGCAAATAGGACCGGGAAACAGCTGTGACGGGAAATGGGACGACAGAAAACTTGCGGCAGCATAGTACAGGGTGTCCCTCAAGAAAACTTACCGGGTTTTCTTCGTTGCCAAAATAAAATATGCATTACCGATTGCTCATTTTCCGCTCAAGTGTAACCCTAGCAGTCCACACTAGATGCCAAAATTTGAGAACTAACTGTTACCTTATTCAAAAGTCATAAACAATTTTCTAAAATTTTCTATCGGAAAATTAGCGGCTGATGGACCTCTCCAATACATAGAGCTGAATGACGCCAGTCACCGAAACCAGGCCCCATTTACCCATTAAAATTTTCAGAAAATTACCTATAACTTTTGACCGATATAACGATTATTTATGGAACATCGGCAGCTGCTTTGGACCACTGATACTACATTTGTGCATTCGGCGATGCATAGCCCATTTTTGCCACGATGAAAATGGCGTAAATAAATTTTGGGGGTACATGCCGTAGATAGAACCAACCCTTGTGGCAGTTTGTTTGCCCCGCGACTGACGCCGTCGCGCCTGCGCAGGCCTGCGCCTGGTGTCGGAGGGCAAGGTGGCGGCGCTGCTGCTCGCCGGGGGCCAGGGCACGCGCCTCGGGGTGCCGTACCCCAAGGGCATGTACGACGTGGGGCTGCCCTCCCACAAGACCCTCTATCAGCTGCAGGGGGAGCGCCTCTACAGACTCGCGCAGCTCGCCGAGGAAGTGACTGGCAAGCGCGGCAACGTGCCCTGGTGAGTTCCCCGCACCGACGCTTTATTGGACCGCCTCTACACGCTCCACACCTAGACGTAGCTCTTTACACGCCTTTGTGTTCGACCATGACCAAATGTGTTGCCTTTTCCACTCCTCTCCAACTGTTTGGGTCACACTTTCGCCCCTTTGCCTTTGGTGGCGCTTCGTGCAACTACATTATAGCTGTCATGTAACAGCGAAGCTGCGACTGTGACTGATCACTCTCTCTTTCTCGTTCCATGTTCAGGTACATCATGACGAGCGAGCACACCAAGGAGCCGACCCTGGAGTTCTTTGCCAAGCACGACTTCTTCGGCCTTCAGGAGGACAGCCTGGTGGTGTTTGAGCAGAACATGATGCCCGCCTTCACCTTCAGTGGCAAGATCATCCTTGAGACGCCCTGCAAGGCGAGTGACGCGACCTGAGTTGCACGATGAGCCGCCGCTAGGCGTCGAAGCGTGCCCGAACTTCCATTCTCCGGGGCACTATGGTGTTAACAGGGAGCCGTCGCTTGACCTTAAAAAGGAAGGTAACGAAGATACCTAATAATTGTAAGTATGTGGGCATATTACAAAACAGTGTACAGTGTGCGGCGGCAAAACATATTTACGGCAGCGATGCGATCCCTGCACCTTTTGCGCCACAGCGCTTACTCCGCTACATCCCGCTACATTTTGCCAAAATGGGATGAATTCGCGCCAGCGTTGCTCCAAAACTGGTTTTCGCTTTGTTCATACTGAAAATATAATAAATAAAGCTCCGTTACACGGCCAGATCGTTATTGTAGGCTGGTGGGAATTTTTAAAACTCGATTGTCGCCCATATAACATTCTATTTGATTTGATCTTTGTATCAAACATTGACAGTACTCGGAAGTTTCGCAATTTTTCTCGTGTTCATTGTCTGTTCTGGTTGGATAGCTAGCATCGTTAAGTGTGCTTGTCATTGTGCAGTGGTATACAGCAGTGAGGCGACAGTCACGTAGTAGGCGTTGCAATTTTAGATTTTTTTTTGCTTTGCCGCAGCGCATCCACGTGCTGCGGCAAAGCACACATTGCATCATCGTTTGAAAGCATGCGCATATACCTGTGCTTTTAACGAGGGACTCAACCCCAAACGAAGCGCATGATTTTTCATCAAGTCGATAGCACTTGGCAACAGAGCCTTTCATAGGACATCTGAGACACATTTTTCGGTGGCACACAGAGGCACACTCAATCTGACCACCAAACTGAGCTGATCGTTCATTTTGAACTCTAACTTTACAGCTTGGCCGTCCAAAGTACAGTCAATAATCTCGAAACTTTTGAAGAAGCCGCGTTCTGCCCCTTTTGTATTCTCAGCAGAATACACATTCTTTATACATTGTGTGAAAATGTTTTGAATCGTCACCCACAGGTGGCGATGTCTCCTGACGGGAACGGCGGCCTGTACAGCGTCCTGCAGCGCAAGGGCATCCTGGCGGACATGGAGCGACGCGGGGTGCGCTACATTCACGTCTACTGCGTCGACAACATCTTGGTCAAGATGGCCGACCCCACCTTCGTCGGATACTGCGTCTCCAATGAGGCGGACTGCGCCGCCAAGGTACGTCGCTGTGCATCATCGTGTCTCTGCATTCACCCTGTCGCGGTTAGTCGGAACGCGTTGCCTCACCGCGGAGCAAGTGGGTCGAAGACCCGCTCCCGTTTCTGCAAAACACCGTGAGATGGCGCAGCATGACAGGAGCTCAAGGAGTTGTCCTTATTTGTGCCCACATTTTCGAGGCCGTGGGGCTTGCAACCGCGCCTGTGCGAAAGCCGTACGGTTTGCGATCGTGCCTGCGCACAGAGCCACAACCCGACGGTGCCCCGCTGGGGGATGCGCAAAGTCGGAGTGGAATTTTGGCCCCCTTCCTCCTGACCTTGTAAATGATTGAGTGCGTTAACAGACAGTTCGAGAATAGTGAATGCTAAAGCTTTGCGTATGCAAAGAATAGCGTCGTCGCCACTGCGCATGCACCGAACGCTAACTATGTTTTGCACTTTTCGCACGCTATTTTAGCATACGCTATTTTTCGGAATTGTCATGCATATGCAAAGAGTCGTTGCTTTACTCCAAGGAGGATTTGTGATGAGAATTTGGCTCCCTAGGCCCAAGGGATACCGGGGGCACTGCCCTCGGCCCTGGGGGGGAGGGCTGGTTTGCCCCCCACTCAAAAACAAGTTGATACGCCACTGGTCACCGACTATCCCGAATGCCTTTTGAACTTTGCGCCGGCCAACCCTAGCAGAAAGAGCAGTGACTTATGCACAAGAGGACTGTTCAAAGCTTATAAGCTGGTTCACATACTACTTGCAACTTCTTACGACCGTGTGCCTCAGAACCTTTTCAAAGCTCTTGACAATGAGGGATCACACTGGCTCCATCGATTGGGTAGCCGTGGAACTCTCGCAGTTACATTTCCTTTTTGTTTTTTTAGCGCGTCATTCTTCGTATTTATTTGAGTACTTACATTTGATCTTGCAAATAGTGCAGAGGCTTTGCTTTCGTGAAATGCAGTTGCAGGGCTACCTCATAGGTGGCGCCAACATGCCAGCGTGTTCTCTCATCGTAAGAGACAGTGAGAACTCTGTCCTAAGCAAGTAAGGCGATTGCGTGAACAGGCCTTAATTAACAAATTTTGGGCTGGGATAATTGAATTTAGATTGGGATTTCACTAATAGCTTAATGTTTAGTAGGCTAAAAGAAAGAAGGTAGACAGTCAAAAGCCTGCTTTTCGTTACGAAATTTTGAAAACATAGCGGACTATTTCATACCTCCTTTCCTTCGAAAGCTCTCTGCCTTTCCACCGGCTCTTTGCCTTTTTATTGTGATACATCCGCAGGCTCAGCTCACGCATTGGACGCGAGGACTGCGTCACTATGCGACTCTGTTCACCCCTAACCTGACAGTGCGGTAGGGGCTACGCGCTTGCCCGACCAGTCAGCCGCCTCCCTTTCATCACCTGACCGCGTTCTCTGCACGTGGGTATGCGCCAGGGAGCATGATCACGTGGCAAATGATAGAAGTGTGGCTGGCCCAATGAGCTTGTAGCTTTCCACAGCACTGTCAGCCTAGGGACAAACAGGGTGGGCAAAGCAACTTTTGTCCGAAGTTTGAGCGACGGGCTAATCTTCTAGGGGGAGAATGGCGATGTCCGGGTACACAAATGAGGGTTCGAGCAAGAGGGGAGTTCATCCCTTCTCTCTTCTTGAATTGTTTGGTACGTTGCACGGTTTGTGAGTTGAGGAGGAAAGCGAAAGATGTTGAAAAATCATTTCACAACCCCTTTAAGAATCGTAAACTAAACACAAAAGGACTGTTTGAAGCCCCGAATGGTCGCGGTTGCTTGGCAGGTTGTGGAGAAGGCGTTTCCGACGGAGGCCGTGGGCGTGGTGTGTCGAGTGAAGGGCCGCTTCCGGGTGGTCGAGTACAGCGAGGTGTCGCTGCGGACGGCGCAGCGGAGGAACGCCGACGGGCGGCTCACGTTCAACGCGGGCTCCATCTGCAACCATTTCTTCACCTTGGACTTCCTCAAGCGAGTCTCCGCGTACGTCTGTGCCCTTTCGTTTTTTTCCCTTTCCGTTTTTTCGACGGCAAGATCTGTCTCTTTGGTTCGCGTTACACTGTGCGGCTTCATCAATTCTCTGAGTTCAAACTGATGCCCATGAAGAAAAGTCAGCAGGCATGAAACTGGCACTGTGTAAATGTTGAATTTCTTTAACACCCTCTTTTTAATCTCGGATGAATTGAAATTTAGTATTTTGTTTGTCAACATTTATTTACACATAAAAAAATACACATGGAGAAACAGTGAAAGATTAAGGGCTTGTTACGGGACCTAGTTTCTCTAGATTGCAACTTTGGCACTAATGTTTGCGTAAAATGATACAGTGCAGTTCTACAGTGCCCAAGTTCTAGAAAATGCAAGGGCATTGAGTGGCAGGCAGATTTTAATACAAATAAAAGATCTACAAAACTGCAACCAAGCATGGAAGTTAACTGAGCACAGAGATGAACCAAACTGTATCAAACCAGTTACAACATTCTGTGAAACATGAAGGCAAGGCAAAGGTGTCAAAAGAGATTTCCGAAATAACAAATCGTGGTTGTAATGATAGTAAAGCTCAAGGCAGCTGTCACATACAATCCGAATCAGTCTTTCACGTGAGAAAAAATAAGCTTGTGGTTATGTACAATCATTTTGAGTACGTACTTCTGACGTGGTGCCCTTTTGTCTTCTGCAACCCCAGCGGGAGCAGCCTTCAGTACCACGTGGCCAAGAAGAAGATTCCGCACGTGAACGACCAGGGCGACATTGTTCGCCCCGAAAAGCCCAATGGCGTCAAGCTCGAGATGTTCGTCTTTGATGTGTTTGAGTATGCAGAGTGAGTGCGGCCAAGACATTCATCCTGAAGTCATTAACAAGGGAAAGTTTTGTTTGAGGAAACTTGCAATACTTCTAACCCCTCAAAGGGAGCTTTTGAGGGGTTAGAATGTCATTTATTTGACTTCCTATTGAACTGTTCCATTCATGCACGGCTATGGAAGTGGTCTCAAGCGGTGTAAAAGTTTTGACTCTTCTCTCTAAAGAGAGGGTGTTGTTAGAAAGGTAGAGAGCTATTTGAGTTTACTTCTGGATTATTTCAGTCGTATTCAGCGCTGTGAAAGTTCCTATTACCCTCTTTGAGGAAATGGTGTTGTTAGGACAGTACAAAGCTATTTGACACTTTCTTAAAAAAAATATTGTGCACACTGCTATATAAGTCGCCTTGAGCATTCAGAAACTGTACTACACTTTTTTTTTTTTTTAAATAAGGGTGTTATGTTGGGGGAGTTAGAGTTCTGTTTAAATTCCTTTTTGATTATTGTATGGAATACAGCTCTATGTAAGAGTGCAGAGTGAGAAGTAAGCTGATTTTTTTTTGGATTGCCAAGAAGTACCACAGGAGAGCTGGCTTATTGCCAGCTTTCCCTCCAGAATATTCTCTTCCTATTTATTTAATTTTAGAGCGCAGCTCTTAGGCGCCAGTTTCCGGGTTGAGTGGCGTCTCCGTCGGCGTAACCGCGCACGTTGTACTATGGGACGTTTCCCTGCTAAATTTAGTGGAGGAATTTTGCCGCTAAATTTAGCAGGAAATTTTCTTGGTAAATGTAATGGGGAAATTTTTCCGCTATATTTAACGGGGAAATTGACGTCCCATGACCTCAACACCAATTCAGTTTCCCCGCTAAATTTAGCGGGGTAAAGGACGTCACGACTTCGTGTCACCCCACTCATGAACGAAAACAGCGGCAAGAAAAAAAGGAGGAAGAGAGAAGGTGGGGCATACCCTCCCCTCCGCACCCTCCCCTCCTCTTCCTCAATAGCTGTGCTCTAGTTTCGCATTACAGAGATTCGTAAACGTCTCTCACCTTTTTTATTTCAAAGGATTCTAAGAGATTTGGTGAAGCTGTACAACATTTTCTGATGGTAGTCACTGCAACGTTTGTTACATGGCAGTAACTTCCACGTCTGGGAGGTGCTGCGAGAGGACGAATTTTCGCCGCTCAAGAACGCGGACGGCGCCGAGAAGGACACTCCCACGACTGCCCGCCACGCTCTGTACGGACTGCACCGACGCTACGTGCTTGGGGCGGGCGGAAAGTTTGTGGACGACGACGGCTGTCCCATCTCTTTGATCCCAAGGTATGCAGTTTTCTTTTTATTACTCAATTGTTTTTTGTTTGTTTTTTCGAACTGTCGTTGGTACCTTGCACTCCTGGAAAGATGGAAAAAGATGGCACGTGAACACTGTCTTGATTCCTGTGTGTTTTGCATGAGGTTTGACAGCGTTGCTTCGAAGCTGTCGTCTGCGGAATAGTTTGTTCCCAGCAACTAAGGAATGTTGATGTTTCTGCATGGGCTGTTTTGAAATTTAGTTTGTCTTAGTGCTGAATGCTGAAAGTTCATGGAAAGTTTCTTGGTGTAAACCAGTATGTGTTCCTTTGGTAATGTGGAGATTTGAAGTGAAGGAGCTGAGTGGTGTTTTGATGGAACCTCAATGCCTTTTCCCTAGAGTTTATGTTTTTATTCTGGTGGTGCGAGCAAAAGAGCTGGGATCGTTGGAACGATTCTGTTCTCGATTTCAAACTGGCAATCTTCCATTGAAAGTTTGAGGTTCTAGATGGAGTTTTGAAAGACTCCTCTGCTTTGTTACGGAGATGAAAGCAGTCTCATGATTTCAAATTAGTATGTTCTTAATCTGTCTGACTGATAATTTTAAGAATAATGCATAGTTAACAATTTTTCCGTAACTAGTATTGAGACCTTACTGACACTATAGTGCAATGCATGCTTGTGTGTGTGATGTTTGCATCTTGTGTTTGCAAAGGTAATTTTTCTCAAATAATTCAACGAGACATTCCTTCGATGAATCCTCTTCGTGCTTCTGCTTTTCTCTTGCCGACCCTGGCTGTAATGCCATGATTGTGATTTTCGTAGTGACACTGATGAAAAAATTATGTATGAAGTTCTTTGTGCTTGTGCAGTCGTTAACTACGAGGCCTATGCTAGCTTATAGGCATCATACATACACACTGGTAGGTGCATGAAAGCACAAATAATTGCAGTGTATCGCAATGAATGGCCACTAATAACAGAAGCAAAATATTTCTTGAACAGTTTGCTACTAACCACATAACTAACAGCTAAAATAGTTAAAGTAGGTAGAATATTATCGATACATTCTTCAGGGCACCATGGTAATATAATGTATTATACATAACCATCTAACAATCGATAGTGCTTTTTTTTAAACCTTAGATGAGGCGGAAAGCAATTCTCATGGAGCAATTTATTTGGCACATGCTTTTACTGCTGTGGAAAACTATAATACTAATTGAAAAAAAAAGATTAACTTTTTTTTAGAACTGTTACTTAAAATTGGGTGCCTACTTGTAGTAGTAACCTAAGAATGTCGACCTGTAAAAGTGGGCAAGCTTTGCGATTGTGTCGAGCTAACCCAGAGGCTCCCCCGTGTCGACCGCTACTCTCCTAGCGCGCCGGTGCAAAGCGCTGAAACTCGACGCGCGTGCCAATGCAATGAGGGGAAACTCGACGCACGCGTCAGGGGCATGCCATTGTGCGGTGCACAATTACAAAGTCCAAACTCCACGCGAAATAAAACAAGCGTAACCAGGGCAACCGAGCACAACAGAAGTGTGCATGCCATTTAAAGAAATCTGCGATCATTTCCTCCAACCCCGATTCAGAAGCTGGCAATTCTGTTGAGCAGTGCTTCCTGAACTTTTCTGTATTGTCAAGCACTGATATAAGGCATGTTTCTATAATGCTCTATGAAAAGAACCCGCATACTTATTTGTATTGATAGTCGGTGACAGGTCAGGAGTTCAGGGGTAAGCTTCTCCCACTTCCTTCCTATTAAACAGAGCAAATGCTGAAAGGAGGCGACCTCCTCTCCAGCGTTTGTTCTGCTAAAGTGGGAGGAGTTTTCCCCGAACTCTTAATTTAGTTTTCTATTACCAATCAATCATTTATTGAAGAAAGGTTGCAAATGATTGGCTTTTCGTGTTTGTGTACTTTGCGACAAGCTACACAATGCAGATTTACTTAGGAAAGACTCGTATAAATATGTTTAGGGATCCGCTTTAGAGAGCATGGCCATGCCTGATGCACAGATTGGATATCTGTATGGACATGCTTGGATCTAGTATAAATTTGTTGAGCCTTGCCATAGCTCTGCCACTGTTGCATGAATGTGCAGTGTAGTGACACGCATGCCTTGCCTTGCACGAACCCTTCCCCACGTCAGCTCTGCGGAAAAGTCGACGGAGAACGGACACGGCGATCACAAGAGGTAACAGGGGCTCCTCCTTCTTTAGTCGAAGTCATTGTGAAACAATTTTTACTTCCCGGGCTGCATACCTTCTAAAACCTTAGTATTGGCATTAGTTTTCTTATGTTTCTAGTCAGGTGGTAGCATTTCTTGCTGCATAACTTCACTAGTAATCTTACACAGTTTTGCAACATGAAGCCTCACATGAGCAGAACCGGGAACCTGTCTAGTCATGCGACTAAAGCGTATAATAAGGCCTTTGGCATAGGGATTTTCGGCATCTCAGGGAAGCGGAATCGGAAACCCATTTATGCCAGGTTGTCTAGAGCAGTTCTCTGGACCTGGCAGTGTATCACACGTGTTATGTGCGGAATACTACTGAATGCAGACGTGTCGTCTTTTTTGCAACGTGCGAGGAGAAAAGGTGGCCATCATATAAAAAACTTAGTGTTGTGCGAATATTCAAAATTTCGAGTAGTAGTTTCGAATAATACGCTATTCGACATTCGCTTCCAGAGGAACTGCGATATTCGTATCTTTCGAAGTGTTGGTCGCGGCGGGTTAGCCCCGTTGAGTGCACTTCTTAACCGAGCATGGGTGCACTGCGGAGAAGCAACACCTGCGGAAGCAAGCTTCGTGGGTGCTGCTTCTCCGCAGTGCACCGGTGCTCGGTATGAAGCGCACTCAGGGGGGTAACCCGCCGCGATCTACACGGTGTCACAAAAAAAAGAAAAAACTTCACAGGGTTTTTCACCGCAAAAATAAACTAGGCATCGCCAAACGCTCATTCTCCGCCCAACGGTAGCGCTAGAGGTCACAATTAGATGCCAAAGTTTCAGCTTGATCCGATACCTTATTCAAAAGTTAAGAGTGATTTTCTGAAAATTTCAATGGGAAAATGGAGCCCGTGTTCGGTTTCTGGTGCCATAAAGCCCCATGTATTCGAAAATTCCGCCGGCTGCCAATTTCCCATTGAAAATTTGAGAAAATCACTCACAACTTTATACTGAAACTGAAGCTGGCATCTGGTTGTGACCTCTAGTGCGACCTTTGGATGGAGAATGAGCGTTTGGCGATGCCTAGTTAATTTTTGTGGTAAAAAAAAAAAAAAAAGAAAACCTTGTAAATTTTTTTTTTTGTGACACCCTGTACACTTAGAAAAGTAATAATATCAGAGTTGCATGTTTGGGAGAAAAGCACACGTTCAGAACGGGATGGTGCACGCGCGTGCCTCATGTATTTTACAAGAAACAAACAAATTGTGAATGTTGATATCTGCATTGCAGTAAAATGTTCAACATTGAACTGTGACTGTTATGCAAGAGTGTGTTAGGCAGAATGATGAACGCATACCTGCATTCATCATTCATGATTCTTTTTTTTTTTTTTAAGTTCGAGATTGAGGAATGAGTATTTGCACATAGCAAAATTTGTAAATCAACTCAAATAGGTGTAGCGGTTTTATTTTATGCCAAACCTGTTGTTTACTTGCTAGCCTAAGGCATGGGACTTTCTAAGGTCAAAGTGCATAAATATAGATTAAAATTAGCTTAAAATGGAAAAGTGGAAGCTTGGAAAGAACCTTCGCAAGTTTAGCTGGGATTTCATTTAAGCATGGTGCAACAGTAGTGAAAGGCTTGGAGAAACTACTATTCAATATTTGAGTTGACATTGCTCGGCCAAGAAACCACTACTCGCTTCACATTTGCTTGGAACACGAAGTCCACTATTCGCACATTATTAATTGATTGCGAATGAAGTGCAAATAATGCTTTGTCCCAAAAATGGGAAGTGAAGATTTGAACAATGCACTTACCTTTCCTGCACTTCATATTTTGCCAAGGTTATTCTGTAGCCAGCAGTGACGGGTTATCTCTGTGTGCGCTCCACAATGCTGCACAGTTGAATTTGTTTCAAAATCCGTGTTAACTGCAAAGAATTCTGTGCTACGTTCTCGGGCCAGGGCAGGGTTGAGAACTCTTGTTGTGCGAAGCATTTAGTGTGCCAAAAGTGCGGAGGCAGGAGCTTTACAAGTGCTAACTGAAATCTGGTTTGTGCTAATTTCTTGGTTTCTGTTTTCTCCCTTCACGCAGCCAAAAAGAGGACCTCAAGTATGAAAACCCCGTGGTGTGTGAGATCTCGCCCCTTATCACTTATGACGGCGAGGTGAGTAAAACAGTTTGGCGATCACCCTTCGAGTTCGTGGGCAAACACTCATTCACTTGCATGCTTTGCTGAGAAATAAGTGTGAGAGTTTCTCACAAAAGACTGAGACGATGGAAGCATCCTTGGTTGGGACATTGACTTTTTTTTTGTCGGGAATAAAACAGGGTTGCAGTAAAAGCAGTTCTGATTGCAACATGAGGTAAAAATTAAACTAAAATAAAAAAAAAAAAACGTGACTTTAAGCTGGGATGTTGAATGTTGCCATTGCCTGTTATTTGCGACCCTCTGGTAATGTTCCAAACAAGGTTCAACATCTCAGTGGGCACAATCTCAGCGGCCTTAAGGCCCGTTCACACTCTTGCAACTGCTTGCGACCTCTTAAACCTGGGTTCCTTAAAACTTCTTAAACCAGAAAACACACTGGCGCCATCTATTGGGAAGCAGTGTAAACTCGGCGGTCCGGCATATTTTTTTTCATTTCTCGCGCAATATCCTTTCTTTTTTTGGCTCGAAAAACTTTTGTCAATGTTATAAACGAGCCTTTCTATGGGTATTACGCACATTTGACCTCGGAAATCCTGCAAAACTTTCGCTTTTGTGAAATGCAGTTCTAGGGTCACCGCATAGATGGCGCCACAATGTCAGTGTGTTCCCTCATTCTAGAAACATTTAAGAAGTTGTAAGAGATCTCGTCTCTCTCAGTCGTACTCGGTCGCAAGAGTGTGAACGGGCCTTTATAAACATTTGTGGCGATGAAGCGGGTTTAGAATCGAATCAAGGTGGATTAAGGTTCATTTTGTTTAGTGACAAACGGGAAAACGACACAAGAAATTAAGAAGACTATTTGACGTTCACAGCGTGGAAACTGGTATCCGTCTAAACGCTACATTTCTCGCAGGGACTCGAGGAGTACGTCAAGGACAAAAAGTTCACTCCCCCTACGCTTCTCCAGTGTCCCGACGAGGAGTCCATCTTCGCAAACGGCGAGAACGGAAGCCGAAAAGACTGAGTCTTCGAGACCGGCCATCGAAATCCATTTACGTTTTTCTCCGGAACATTCCTTCGACGTCTTCTTTTTTTTCATGTAGAGGCGCCCGAGTACTGCCATGCAGCACAAGGGCGTCCTTGCCAGATGGTTCCAGGGACCCGGGAACGCCGTAGCACTGTAAATATGGCAGCTGTACATAGGGGAAAAAAAGGGTGCACCGCTTCCAGAACGGGGCGTTTTTTTAAAGCCGGCACACGCCTGCAGCCGAACGTAGGGTTGCCGTGAGCTCTTAGAGCTACGTTAACTCAACTTCGAGTTAATGCTTTGCACGAAAAAGACCCACACGTTTTGCCTTACGCAGGGCACACCTACAGCCGTTCGTTACCGTTTGCAGTGGAGTTCTATCAAACGATGAGGTTCTGAGATTACGACGATCTTCACTATAATCGGTGAGAGGTTAAGAACCCGCTAAACATACCGGCCTCGAGTGCAAGCTTTCTGCCTTTTGTCAACACGTCGTGCCACGAGCCGTGGGGCACCTGCTGGATTCCTAGCCTGGTCACCGACCGTTGAATTACGAGCGGGTGAAATGTGCTCGACCATGTCGCCAGGAACCAACCGTTGCCTCTGCCTCCTCATTTGGTGAGCGACTTCGGTAGATACAGCAACGACTTGCTGTTTGTGTGTGTTGCTGTAAGGTGGATACGCGAGTCGTTTTGTTTTTCGTGCGAGTTTCTCCATCTCTTCTGTATATTTTATAGCTTTACTCCCAACTTCTCGCTTCGCCGAGATCAATCTATACTCATCCTCGACGAGCGATGTATCGACTCTCGACTGCCGGACGTTTTTTCTGTGAAGGAGTTCCGAGACCATGTTTCTCTTGTTATGCCTGGTTGGGAAGTTTTCGGTACTACAGTGGGATTCCTGGGGGCTTGAAGACGATTTGCTTGTTCTCGCAGTCCTTTCGAGCTGCACTGCATCTTACATCTGGCAAAAACCTAAGCTTTCGGGTGGTTCTACAGCTATTTTCGCGCATGTTTTGAGGGTGGTGTAATGGTATCTGTTATGCATCTTTTTCTTCTTTTTAGAGTATGTAAAAATTGTCATTGGTTATATAAGATTCTTGGGGGATGTATTGTGTCACTTGGTCGGGCATTCGGGCTGCCAGACCGTTTTTAATTAAAGTTCTACTCGTTTTTGTAAGTTTTGTTTTTAATTTTTTGATGCTGACGGTGGCACTGCTTTCCCTGTTTTGTGCAATTTCCATGCATTTATGTGTCGTGCAGGATTATTTTTCCGGTGTGCACTGTAGGTCGTCACGAAATCCCTGTAGCTAATATGGCGGCCTTTGTCGCCCAAAGTGGAAAGTTAGGCTAGTTTGAGAAATATTTTACATTTTTCACTGCCTCGTACAAAATAAATATATCTGGAAAAAGCTTTGGCTTCTGTTTTCTTGAACTTGGCCACGGATCACAGAGTGTTATATTTTCCAAGTCGGATTTCGGATGGCCGGATTTAAAGGGATACTTCAACGAAATTTGAAATATATTCGTCGTGTTCACAAATAGGCTGAATATGATCCACAATATAGACGCTTTGCAGCAGCTGTGCATGGACGCCGCCATAACTGACCTTTAGTTTTTGTTTCCTCCTATTTCGCTTATTTCACTTCATCATTACCATAGCAGGCCAGGTTATTGCCCTATAAGATTCATCTGTGTCCTTTTCTAAAGCATCGACCTTTGTAGAGGATCGTCAACTACCGTTTCAGTTGCTCGGCATCTCGGTAAGACAAGAGAAGGTCAGCAATGGCGGCTGTAATTTGGCGCGTGTGTAAAGCGTCTATACGTAAATGACAATCGCACGTTTGTATTTTGAGTTTCATGGCTGTATTTCTCGTAATAAACAGACTACTCTGGCAAACGCTCGGAAAGCAGCCAGCGGAGAGCATGTCACATCCGCCGCAATCGTGACGTAGTTCGTCTCGGAACCAGCAAAGCTGCGTCGAGGCTGACGTCGAGGCCGACGTCGAGAGGATGTCCTAGTCCTTCCAGCCAGCGAAGCGGCCGAAGCACGCCAGCAATCGGGCCACCACAACTAACCCCAAGGCTGCTTTTGTACGAATATTGAGTGACGGGTTTATCTTCTGTAATTTTGTATAGGACAATAGCAACGTCTCGGACACACAAAAGAAAGTCTCGGGGAGAAGGGAGTTCCTCTTTCCCCTCTCGTGTAAGGGCAGAGGCGAGACAGTCGTCGTCACTACCTGTCAAGGTTCCTAGGCGGGCATTACAAACAAGGCGTTAGCGACTCCACCAGATGCTTTTCGCTAATCATTTTTCGTGTCTTTTTCAACGAGAGATTGGTGTGCCACATATGTGATACTGGTCCCTTGAACACGAATAGAACGAAAAGTAAGCGCCGGAATTCCGTTGTAGTATCCCTTTAAAGGGATACTATAACGAAATTTCGGCGCTCATTTTTTGGTCTATATGTGTTCAAAGGAGCAGTATCACATCGAACATACCATTATCTTGTTAAAAAAGTCACAAAAAGGAATTTTAAAATGAATTAAACGATTAGAAAAGAGCGCCTGGTGGATGTCGCTAACGCCTCGTTTGTAATGCTCGTCTAGGAACCTTGACAGCTAGTGACGGAGGTTGTCTCGTCTCCGACCACGGCGAAAGAAGAGGGGAAGGGGGAACTCCCCTCTTCCCGAGAATGCCTTTTGTGTGTCGCAGAAGTCGTTATTGTCCCCCTACAAGATTATAGAAGATTAACCCGTCACTCAAAATTCGTACAAAAGCAGCCGCTTCGGTGGCTGGAACGACTAGGCCATCCTCCCGACGTCAGCCCCGCCGTAGCTTTGCTCGTCTTGAGACGACCTACGTCACGATTGCGTTGGATGTCACGTTGTCTCCGCTGGGCCTTCTCCGAGCGCTTGCCAGAGTGGGCCGTTTATAACGAAAAATACAGCCACCTGGCTCAAGATACAAACGTGCGATTGTCTTTTACGAATATTGTGGATCATATTCAACCTATTTTTGAATACGACGAGAATATTTCAAATTTCGTTGAAGTATCCCTTTAATGTGATGATTGTGGTTTGGGAAAAGACGGCGGTACCACGAATACTGGCCGAAACGTATTGTCTGAACGCGAGCCAAATCACTCTAGTGGAAAGCATGCATCACGTAGATAAGAGATTGATGTAGGATATGTATCTCTTGCATACAAGGGCGGGGAAATGAATAACGTCCGGTGTTAGGTTCTTCATTATTTTCGAGATTTTAACTTTTTAATGGGTAAATCTAAAGGCATAGTTTCAAGTAGAAGCATTCTGGGCATCCTTGAAAACCGCTAAATCCGCGCACTTAAAAAATAAAAGGCACTGGAAGCATTTTACAGCGTTAAAAAGCAAAGTTTCGGTTTCCTTTCAAGACGCTTCTCCGCGCCAGCGGCCCTGCGTTCCACGTGACCAAAGCGCGCAACTCACGTGCGCTGCCACGCACTTTTTTTACATGATGCAGGTGAACCCAAGAAGCCTTCTACAAAGCCTTTACAAGGAAAACGAGGAGGTAGTCGCGCGTGCTTTGGTCACGAGTAGCAGGACCACTTGCGCGAAGATGCGCTCCGATAGCAAACCCAAACCAAAAGAACTCGTCTAAATTCAGTGTTTCTTCTTTTTTTTTTTTTTCAGAATGCCGTCAAATGTTGCGCATGCTTTACACTTTTGTGAGTGTGCTCGTAAACTTGCTGCTCGTAAAAGGTCTCCCAAGGATTCTATTTTTAGGGTGCACCCATGGGCGTACCAACCGGGGGGATAAGGGGGGCGCTTGCCCCCCCCCCCCCCCCAAGTTCTCGGAGTAGGGGGGCAAGGCATGTGTTTTGCCCCCCTGAAACAGCCGCCACTGGGCAGGGCAAACACTGGCCGGCGGCGCCCAAGGAATACCAAGGCCACCACCCCCGACCCGCAGAGGCATATTTTTAACGCGCAGGCGATACAAACCCTGACAACGGCGCTCACGCCGGATTAACTGGCTCGTGGAGAGAGATCGATTTTTTGATTTTTTTTAGGTCGAACGCACGTTGAGTCCAACGGGATTTGCGAGATAGTCCAGGAGCTGATGGTATTACGCCTAAACTACAAAAGCTTACTCTGACATTTTCCAGTGATTTGTTCCAGCTTTTGTTTCAACATAGTTTGGATCAAGGATTATTACCTAAAGACTGGAAACACGCGAAGGTTATTCCGGTCTTTAAGTCTGGAGACGTTTCGCTTGCTAATAAGTACCGTCCAAATTCTCTAACAAGCATACCCTGCAAACTTCTGGAACATGTGATCTACACCCACCTCGCTAATTACCTTCTCGATACTAACTTCTTTTTACCGAGCCAGCACGGTTTCCAAAAGGAACGATCTTGCGAAACTCAACTATTTGAATTCATTACTGATATACATAAGAACATTCACTCACGGGTGAAGACGGAAGCTATTTTCGTCGATTCACAAAGGCGTTTGACCGAGTTTTGCACTACTAAAATTTAAACTTTAAACATTCATCAGTCTCGTGGTAACTGGAACAGGGAATTTCTCTCCCTTAGAACTTAGAATCCGTTTCAGCATCTAACGCGAAATTTTGGTAAAATGTGGAGTTCCTCAGGGATTGGTCCTTGGCCCGCTGCTCTTCATAGTTTATGCAAATGATCTTCCCAACTCCATTTGTTCAAAAGTCAGACTTTTTGCGGATGATTGCGTAATATATAGGCGTATCGTCTCAACAGACGACAGCCTCACCCTGCAGCATGATCTAGATGCTCTATCATCATGGTGTGAGAAATGGCAAATGACCATCAATATCTCGAAAACTAAATTTCTTACTTTTTCTACCAAAAAAGCGACGATTACCAACAACTACGAAATAAGCGGCTATAGTATTGAAAAAGGTTACAAATTATAAATACCTCGGTGTAAAACTTACTGAAAATCTAGATTGGAAAATGCATATCGATTCTATCGTTAGTAAAGCAAATCGTATCTTAGTTGTTTCAGAAGGAATTTGTATATGGCATCTTCTGATGTACGTTTGCTGGCCTGCAAGTATTTTATCCGTTCGACGGTCGAATATGCTGGAATAATGTGGAATCCCTGGCAAGACTACTTATTTAATAATCTGTGCAAAATAGAGCCGTTCGTTTTATTTTTAGGGATTTTTTTTTTCGTCAAGCGTGACAGCTCTCAAGTCCAAAGCTTGCCTGACATCACAATGCTCTAGGCGGAAAGTATCACGCCTCTCATTTCTCCACCAAGTTTTCTACCATAATCCGAATCTTAGAAATGTGATTCTACTACCCCCTACCGAATTTTTTCTCGACTCGACCACCAGCAGAAAATCAGCTTGCCATCAAGTCGCACAAAAATGTATTCAGAATCTCCTTTAAACGTAACTATTGGCGAGTGGAATAACCTACCTGAAAGGCGCGGTGAGCAGTCCTGATTGCATTTTATTTGGAAATGCTTGCGAGGAAATATCGTGCTAAACTTGTTTGTATACATGCAATTTGAATGAGTAGATACCCTTTACTTTTTAGTTTTGTGTAATCCCCATTTTTTTATTTTTATGTGTTTTATGTATTACAAATGTGTTTCGCACTCCTAAGCAGTCCTGTTTGGATTTTTTTTTAGAAATCTGCGAAGAACTATTTTGCTAATTTAGTTTGTATACATGCAATTTAAATGAGTAGTTACCCTTTACTTTTTATAGTGTTGTGTAATCCCAACTTTTGACTTTTTTTTATTCTTACGTATTTTGTGTAATTCAATGTGTTTGCAATTTTCTCTGCCCCCTCATGTAATGCCCTCGGGCGATTTCAGGTAATTAAATGAAATAAAATGAAATCAAATAGGCGCTGCCGCATTCAACATAGGCAGTGGTTATAATGCGAGTTTCCGAAGCGGTAGCGAAACTTAGTTGTAAATGTCTGCCTCATACGTAGCAGACCCGGGTTCTATCCACGATGTGGGCTTACTTTTTTTTTCCTCGTACATTTTGTTTTGTCGAGGCATTTCGCGATATTTACGTCATTTTTTTGTTACGATTAACACTGAAAAAAAAAAAAAAAAACTAATGTTGGCGGACGAAACATTGCTGAACTAAATCGTATGGGACACTATTTACGGATGTGCGTGGAGGACAGCGAGGCTTGGGTTGCCGGTTACGAAGCGGCGTGTAAGGGGTAGAAGAGGAAGGGGGGGGGGGGCGGCTAAGTGGTTTAATAGTTTGCGATTAGTAGCCGCACACTGTCGCCACGAAGCGGCGGGAACGCAGGCGCGGAGGGTGGTGGGTGGGGGGGGGGGGGGGGGGGGGGGGGGGGGGGGGTTAACGCGCTTTGAGTGATACACGCGCCGTCCGAATCCGAAAATTAAGTTCCCGC